CATGCAATGAGAGCGCGTTACTGTCTGTCTGTATGTTGCCAATCAAATGTTTCAAACACTTTTAATATATGCCCCCGACTTCCCATAGTTTAGCTGGTGTATATAATATATGAGTGTGACCTGTTTCGTGTGCTCAGCGATCTTACAACGGCAGTGAAGAGGCACTAGGTGTGGCAGGCAGTTCTCTTGCCTCATGGTAGGGGGCACTCGTGAGCCCAGAGATTCTTATGTTTTAGTGAATGAATTAATATCAGGTTATGATATTGATTTATTTTGTCTTACTGAGACCTGGTTGTCCCACGAGACGTATGTTAGCCTAAATGAATCCACCCCAGTCATATTAATACTCACATTCCTCAAGGCACTGGCCGAGGAGGTGGAGTAGCAGCCATATATGATTCGAGCGATTTAATGGACCCTAAACCTAAACTAAATTATAATTCATTTGAAAGCCTTGTTCTTAGTCTTTTTCACCCAAACTGGAAAACACTGCAGCCAGTTCTATTTGTTATAGTGTACGGCGCTCCTGGACCGTACTCTGATTTTATATCTGAATTCTCAGAGTTTCTATCAAGTTTAGTCCTTAAATCAGATAAAGTAATTATTGTAGGTGATTTTAATATTCATGTGGATGTTGACAATGGCAGCCTTAGTAATGCATTTATATCATTAATAGACTCAATTGGCTTCTGACAGAGTGTAAATAAACCAACTCATTGTTTTAATCACACTCTTGACCTTGTTCTATCATATGGCATTGATATTGAACATTTAATAGTCTTCCCACATAATCCTTTCCTATCTGACCATTATTTAATAACTTTTGAATTCATGTTGTTAGATTATAAGCCATTAGGCAAAACTTCCTACAGCAGATGTCTATCTGACAGTGCTGTAGCTAAATTTAAGGAGGAGATTCCTTCAGTGTTTAATTCAATGCCATGTCTGAATTTAACAGAATCCTATAACGACTTTAGTCCCTCTGAAATTGATAATCTTGTCGATAGTGCTACAGGCTCACTACGATCAACATTAGACTCTATCGCTCCTTTAAAAAGGAAATTATTAAAACATAGGAGACTAGCACCTTGGTATAACCACCAAACCCGCCAGTTAAAACAAATAGCTAGGAAATCTGAAAGGAAATGGCGCTCTTCCAAATTATCAGAATATCGCTCAATTTGGCAAGATAATCTTAAAACCTATAGAAAGGCCCTCCGTAATGCCAGAGGAGCCTATTATTCAGCACTAATAGAAGAAAATAAGAATAACCCTAGGTTCCTCTTCAGCACTGTAGCCAGGCTGACAGAGAGTCACAGCTCTATTGAGCCACATATCCCCATAACCTTAAGTAGCAATGACTTCATGAGCTTCTTCTATAATAAAATTATTACTATTAGAGAAAAAATGAATCACCAACTGCCATCAACAGTTATCAGTGGCTCTCCAAGTTCAGGGACTTCTGTCAATGTAAACTTAGATATATATTTAGACTGTTTTTCTGCTATCGATCTTCATCAGTTAACTTCAATCATTTCTTCATCGAAGCCATCAACCTGTCTATTAGACCCGATCCCAACTAGGCTGCTTAAAGAAGTTGTTCCCTTAATTGGCACTTCTTTACTGGATATGATTAATCTTTCTTTATTATCAGGATATGTACCACAGTCCTTTAAAGTAGCTGTAATTAAACCCCTTCTTAAAAAGTCCACTCTTGACCCAGAGGTTTTAGCCAACTATAGACCGATCTCTAACCTCCCCTTCCTCTCTAAGATTCTGGAGAAAGTAGTCGCCAAAGAGTTGTGTGACTTTCTACATAACAATAGTTTATTTGAGGATTTTCAGTCAGGATTTAGAGTTCATCATAGCACAGAGACAGCTCTGGTTAAAGTTAATAATGACCTTCTGACTGCTTCTGACAATGGACTTGTCTCTGTACTTGTATTATTAGATCTTAGTGCTGCATTTGACACCATTGACCATGATATTCTTTTACAGAGACTTGAGCATCAAATTGGCATTAAAGGAACCGCACTAAGCTGATTTAAGTCATATTTATCAGATCGTTCGCAGTTTGTACATGTTAACGATGAATCTTCAATAAATACTACAGTTAGTCATACTACAGTTAGTCATGGAGTTCCACAAGGTTCTGTACTTGGACCAATACTATTTACTTTATATATGCTCCCTTTAGGCAACATTATTAGGAATCACTCCATTAACTTTCACTGTTATGCAGATGATACGCAGTTATATCTATCAATCAAGCCCAATGAAATTAATCAATTATCTAAATTACAAACATGTCCTAAGGACATAAAATCCTGGATGACCTGCAATTTTCTGATGTTAAACTCAGAAAAAAACGAAATTCTTGTTCTTGGCCCCAAAAACCTTAGAGACTCACTGTCTAAAGATATAGTTACTCTAGATGGCATTAACTTGGCCTCTAGCACCACTGTCAGGAATCTTGGAGTTATCTTTGATCAGGATTTGTCATTTAACTCCCACATAAAGCAGACCTCCAGGACTGCCTTCTTTCATTTACGTAATATTAGAAAAATTAGACACATACTATCACAGACAGATGCAGAAAAACTAATCCATGAATTTGTTACTTCAAGGCTGGATTACTGCAACTCTTTATTATCAGGTTGCCCCAATAAGTCCATTAAAACGCTCCAATTAATTCAGAACGCTGCAGCACGAGTACTGACAGGAACTAGAAAAAGAGATCACATCTCTCCTGTACTAGCTTCTCTGCATTGGCTCCCTGTAAAATGTAGAATAGAATTTAAAATCCTCCTCCTCACCTATAAAGCTCTTCATGGTCAGGCCCCTTCATATCTTAAAGAGCTCATAGTACCCTATTACCCTACTAGAACACTACGTTCTCTGAATGCTGGGCTACTTGTGGTTCCTATAGTCTCTAAAAGTAGAACAGGAGCCAGAGCCTTCAGTTACCAAGCTCCTCTCCTGTGGAACCAGCTTCCAGTTGTGGTTCGGGAGGCAGACACCCTCACCACATTCAAGAGTAGGCTTAAGACATTCCTCTTTGATAAAGCTTATAGTTAGGGCTGGATCAGGTGAGTCCTGAACCATCCCTTAGTTATGCTGCTATAGGCCTAGACTATCGGAGGATTTCCCATGGTGCACTGAGCTCCTCCCTTCCTCTCTCTTTCTGCACTCATTCATGTCCCATTAATGCATGTTACTAACTTCACTTCTTCCCCGGAGTTCTTGTGCTTTCTTGTCTCACAGGTTCTTGTCGATCCTGGTGGAGCCTCCTGCCATGGTCCTGCTAGATTGCCATTGCCAATACTGTTGTTGCTGTGCACCTGTCTGTCTGTCTCTCGCTCTCTCTCTCTGCCTCCCTCTCTCTCTCTCTCACCCCAACTGGTCGAGACAGACTACCACCCACCTAACTTCTGTTATGAATTGGCGCTATACAAATAAAATTGAATTCAATTGAAATTGAATATACGTTAGATATGTTATATACTTTATATACGTTATGTAGTTTGTGTATGTTGTATACTTTATATATGTTATATACTTTATATACGTTATATACTTCATATGCGTTATATACTTTATATACGTTATATACTTTATATACGTTATACTTTATATACGTTATATACGTTATATACTTTATATACGTTATACTTTAAATACTTTAGATAGGTTATAGTTTATATATTTTATATACGTTATATACTTTATACTTTATATACTTTATATACGTTATACTTTATATACGTTATATACTTTATATTTTATATACGTTATATACTTTATACTTTATATACTTTATATCGTTATATACTTTATATACGTTAGACTTTATATAGTTTATATATATGTTATATACTTTATATACGTTATATACTTTATATAGTTTATATATGTTATATACTTCATATACTTAATGGACATGATATTCTTTTACAGAGACTTGAGCATCAAATTGGCATTAAAGGAACCGCACTAAGCTGGTTTACCATATATGTTATATACTTTATAAACGTTATATACTTTATAAACGTTATATACTTTATATAATACGTTATATACTTTACATACGTTATATACTTTATATATGTTATACTTTATATACTTTATATACTTTATATATGTTATATACTTTATATTTCATATACGTTATATAGTTTATGTATGTTATATATGTTATATACTTTTACTGGACGGCGTCCCGCAGCTACCTCCTGATAGGGTGTTAGGGGTTAGGGTTAGGTTGTGGTGCTGAGACTGGGAGCTGCAGTCTGATCTCTTATTGGCTGAGTCACGTTTAATGTCACAGAAGGGGGTCAGCCTCAGTGCATCCACCCTGCAGCTCCTCTACAGGGTTACTGCCTGGCTCAGGGGCACAGCAGCTGCTGGTTCAGGTCATGTGACAGGAAGGTAGTGTGGGAAAGATTCGCTCAGTTTCGCCCTGCAGGCGTTACTTTCTACAACCGTCAGACACTTCAGAGCTTTGTGTTCCTGTTTGTTGTCTTCTGTCTGGTTGTGTGAAGCTGGAGCATCGTTTGCATTATGTTATTATATATTGCTGTTTACATTGTGTTTGTATGTTATGCAAGAGATAAAGCTAGAGGAGGGGTCCATAATCAGGAATTAATGTATGAGGTGACGGTCGCCTCTGTGAAGACCATTAATTCCTGATAATAAACATTATCCCACTTATACATGGTCACACAATAATCATTATTTTATATTTTCAGCTTTTAACAAGCCATAACTGCGTCTCCCTCGTTACACCTGAGGGTTGGACTAATACCTGGAAGATCATTAGCATGCCATGTTCGAATGAAATGGAAATGTTGTTCATTGCTAGTAAATAGGACAAACCATAGATAAGATCTGGCAACAGGAGATAGTTATAGTTCCCTCCGCTCAGAGAGCAAACGTTACGCTACAAGCTAGAGAGCTACCGAGCCATATGTGTTGTGTTATATTGTGTTATAATCTCTCACCAGTATCTGGTTTGGAGAACTCGAGGCAGAGGATCTCTGAGTCGTGAGCCTGAACATTCATGATCTCCTCCATACTGTCCAGCTCATGGATCCTACACACACACACACACACACACACACACACACACACACAGTATCAGTGTGTGTGGAGACCGTCTTCTCTCTGGACTCAAACATTGACTCCACCCCCATCTCACCTGAGGACTCCCATGCGGTCACCAGAGGCCAGGTGCTGTCCATCAGGACTGACTCTCAGGGTCCTAATGCCCGCCCTGCTCTGGTCCGCCTGCTGCCCCTCTGAGCCCGATGACCCCGCCTTCTCTGTGTTGGCGCTCTCCGTATCCAGGAGGCTGGTTATGTTGTCGTCCACGTAAATAACCTTCTGCAGGTCCTGAGGGGTCAGAGGTCAGAGAAGTGAGGAGGGTGTGCAGGTGTGTGTGTGTGTGTGTGTGTGTGTGTGTGTGTGTGTGTGTATAAACGTAAAGGTAAAGGTGTTCTTGTACGTGGCTCAGGATGTTCCTGTTGACAACGTTGTGGCCATCGATGTTCCACAGTCGGATGGTGTTATCTGAGGAGCAGGACAGGAACGATCCAGGAGGGAGATGCACCGCACCTCCTCCTGCTCCTCTTCCTCCTGCTCTCCACTCTGGGTAGACCTGCAGGAGACATAAGAGGATTTATATATATTTATAGAAATGTAATTATTACACTGATGTTTGTTCAAGGGTTCATTTTTATCAGCAGTTTGGTTTTAATGAGTAATTTGAAGATATAAAAATGGTGGGAGTATCAGCAGGGCCTCGATACCGCGGCACCGACCCCGATCACGTCTTTGGTCTCTCACACATCAAATTAAGGTTCAAGATTCAAGAGGTTTATTGTCATATGTACAGTAAGTAACACCGGGGTTTATATGTACAATGAAAAACTTACTTTGCCCGACTCCCTTAAGCAACACACAAATAAAAGAGTAGAATAAAGTTAAAATATAAAAGTTTTTTTTTTTTTTTTTTTTTTTCGGGGCTTTTATTGCCTTTATGATAGTGACAGCTGAAGACAGACAGGAAAGGGGGGCAGAGAGAGAGGGGGGGATGACACGCAGCAAAGGGCCGCAGGTCGGATTCGAACCCTGGGCCGCTGCAGCAAGGACTGAGCCTTATAGTGCTATCCATTTGTCTCGTAAATCCCCCGCCCGAGTTGCTCTGACGCGAGAACGTGACGTAATTGCCTGGCTTGTACCACTTATAGCGTTCCATTTGTCTTTGGGCATTACGAGTCGGAAAGAACATGTAAGCCACCAGTGCAGCAGCTGTCATGTTATTGCTTGTGGCTCTAAACAAGCTGAATGTGAAATAATAACGTTTTTCTACAGAAACACTAACATTTCAAGTAATTCCGTTATTGCAAGTCTTACATTTTAATAATATTTTGCCATTTTCGCCTATTTCAATTTCAACAAGTGTTGTCGCGTTTTTCTCGAGTGTTATTGTTAGCTACATTAGCCTATTTAGCAAACCAGCTCGAAAACAAAACTTTACATTGTATTGCACACACAGCAACACCGTGCAATGCATAAACCGTGGACCAGACTAAAGCAGCAATGTAAACAAGTGTGTAAGAGCATTTAAAATCAACATTAAAACGACCAACGTAGTACAAATACAAAGAAAATACATCTCAATATGGGCACAGCCATCTTTGTTTTGCGAGTCGTACGTTCACCCTCGTTTAGCTCGGTGTACCCTGAGGAGCCCCGAGTGGGATGGCTGAAATTACAACCAAAAGGGGGTGTGTCTCGGTGAAATGTCGCGAGATAGCTGCAAGATTTACACTTTCCAACTCGGCCGGGGGATTTACGAGACAAATGGATAGCACCATTAGTACATGGGTCGCCAGCTCTACCCACTGAGCTAACCGGGCTCCCAAAAATATAAAAATTTAAACATAAAATGTAACTAAAATGTGAACTTATCCATAAGTATATTTACACTGACCCACTTTAAATTATTAAAAATATAAAAATACTATGTTCAAGTGAAGCACTGATTGATTAATTAGAAACACATGTATGATGGCTTGAATTTGTGACGTGCTACGGTAAGCGTACTGACTAATTTCCGGTTTACTTCCTGCTCTGTGTACACTGTTCGGTGCTGTAGCTCTGTCAGTGAACCCTAAATCTAAATTTGTTTTACTCGTTACAGCTATTTTCCCACTTAACATTTATACGTAGACTATTTCTACCTAAACACTCGGAGTTTCTCCTTCTTTTAGCGACTTTTCGCTACTTTCAAAAGTTTTTCCACACACGCTAGTTTCATTAGCATTAGCAGTTAGCTATGGCTTCTTCCTCTCCCTCTGCTCTGTCCTGCTCAGTGTGTCAGATGTTTAGTTATTCCTCTGCCTCCTTTAATGATAATGGTTCTTGTCTTAAGCGTAGTTTATTTACTGCGCTGGAGGCGAGGCTTAGTAGAGGAACAGCACCGCACCACAGAGATATCTTTAGCCGCTATAGTTAGCCAGCCCCAAGTAGCCAGTGTGGTCCGACCGAAGGTAGCTTCTGTTAGCCGTCCTCCGGTAGTTCCTCCGGTAGATCCTCGGGTAGTGCCCACGGTAGTTCCCCCGGTAGTTCCTCTGGTAGATCCCCCGGTAGATCCCGAGCAGCCGGGAAGACAGGGAGGCTGGGTGACTGAGCGTAGGAATAATAAAACGCCGAAGCCCACAGTTCACCACCAACCGATTCACGTTTCTAATAAATTTTCCCCACTCAGCGATACACCCGCTGAGGAACCAACTCTGGTTATTGGCAGCTCCATAGTCAGAAACGTGAAGTTAGCGAAGCCAGCAGCCATAGTTAAATGTATCCCTTGGGCCAGAGCGGGCGACATCGAATCCTATTTAAAACTGCTGGCTAAAGATAAACGTAAATATAGTAAGATTGTTATCCACGTCGGCGGTAACCCTAACCCTAACGCCAATCGGAGGTCACTAAGATTAATGTGGAGTCAGTGTGTAACTATGCTAAAACAATGTCGGACTCCGTAGTTTTCTCTGGACCCCTGCCCAATGTGACCAGTGATGACATGTATAGCCACATGTCGTCATTCCACCGCTGGCTGTCGAGGTGGTGTCCAGCAAACGATGTGGGCTTCATTGATAACTGGAAGCCTTTTTGGGGAAAACCTGGTCTGATTAGGAGAGACGGCATCCATCCCACTTTGGATGGAGCGGCTCTCTTATCTAGGAATATGGCGAAGTTTATTTCTAAAACCTGACAGTCCAGAGTTGGGACCAGGAAAAAACCAACTCCTCAGTAGCACAAAATAAGAGAATGAAATGTGGACTGTTAAATATCAGGTCTCTGTCCTCTAAAGCTGTTTTAGTGAATGAATTAATATCAGATTATGATATTGATTTACTTTGTCTTACTGAGACCTGGTTGTCCCACGAGGAGTATGTTAGCCTAAATGAATGCACCCCCCCAGTCATATTAATACTCACATTCCTCGAGGCACTGGAGGTGGAGTGGCAACCATATATGATTCGAGCGTTTTAATGGACCCTAAACCTAAACTAAATTATAATTCATTTGAAAGCCTTGTTCTTAGTCTTTCTCACCCAAACTGGAAAACACTGCAGCCAGTTCTATTTGTTATAGTGTACCGCGCTCCTGGACCGTACTCTGATTTTATATCTGAATTCTCAGAGTTTTTATCAAGTTTAGTCCTTGAATCAGATAAAGTAATTATTGTAGGTGATTTTAATGTTCATGTGGATTTTGACAATGACAGCCTTAGTAACGCATTTATATCATTAATAGACTCAATTGGCTTCTGTCAGTGTAAATAAACCAACTCATTGTTTTAATCACACTCTTGACCTTGTTTTATCATATGGCATTGATATTGAACATTTAATAGTCTTCCCACAAAATCTTTTCCTATCTGACCATTATTTAATAACTTTTCAATTCATACTATTAGATTATAAGCTATTAGGCAAAACTTCCTACAGTAGATGTCTATCTGACAGTGCTGTAGCTAAATTTAAGGAGGAGATTCCTTCAGTGTTTAATTCAATGCCATGTCTGAATTTAACAGAATCCTATAACAACTTTAGTCCCTCTGAAATTGATAATCTTGTCGATAGTGCTGCAGGTTCACTACGATCAACATTAGACTCTATCGCTCCTATAAAAAGGAAATGATTAAAACATAGGAGACTAGCACTGTGGTACAACCACCAAACCCGCCAGTTAAAGCAAATAGCTAAAAAATCTGAAAGGAAATGGCGCTCTTCCAAATTATCAGAATATCGCTCAATTTGGCAAGATAATCTTAAAACCTATAGAAAGGCCCTCCGTAATGCCAGAGGAGCCTATTATTCAGCACTAATACAAGAAAATAAGAACAACCCTAGGTTCCTCTTCAGCACTGTAGCCAGGCTGACAGAGAGTCACAGCTCTATTGAGCCACATATCCCCATAACCTTAAGTAGCAATGACTTCATGAGCTTCTTTTATAATAAAATTATTACTATTAGAGAGAAAATTAATCACCAACTGCAATCAACAGTTATCAGTGGCTCTCCAAGTTCAGGGACTTTTACTAATGTAAACTTAGATATATATTTAGACTGTTTCTCTGCCATCGATCTTCATCAGTTAACTTCAATAATTTCTTCATTGAAGCCATCAACCTGTCTGTTAGACCCGATCCCAACTAGGCTGCTTAAAGAAGTTGATCCCTTAATTGGCACTTCTTTACTGGATATGATTAATCTTTCTTTATTATCAGGATATGTACCACAGTCCTTTAAAGTAGCTGTAATTAAACCCCTTCTTAAAAAGTCCACTCTTGACCCAGGGGTTTTAGCCAACTATAGACCAATCTCTAACCTCCCCTTCCTCTCTAAGATTCTGGAGAAAGTAGTCGCCAAAGAGTTGTGTGACTTTCTACATAACAATAGTTTATTTGAGGATTTCAGTCAGGATTTAGAGTTCATCATAGCACAGAGACAGCTCTGGTTAAAGTTAATAATGACCTTCTGATTTCTTCTGACAATGGACTTGTCTCTGTACTTGCATTATTAATTCAATTCAATTCAATTCTATTTCTATAGCGCCAATTCATAACAGAAGTTATCTCAGGACACTTTTCAAATAGAGCAGGTCTAGACCGAACTCTTTAAAACATTATTTACAGAGACCCAACAGTACCACCATGAGCAAGCACTAGGCGACAAGGGCAAGGAAAAACTGCCTGTTAAAAGGTAGAAACCTAGGACAGATCCTTCGGCTCTAGGTGGGTGGCCGTCTGTCTCGACCAGTTGGGTTGAGAGAGAGAGAGAGAGAGAGAGAGAGAGAGAGGGAGACACAGACAGACAGAAAGACAGACAGGTGCACAGCAACAACAGTATTATTAGATCTTAGTCCTGCATTTGACACCATTGACCATGATATTCTTTTACAGAGACTTGAGCATCAAATTGGAACCGCACTGAGCTGGTTTAAGTCATATTTATCAGATCGTTCGCAGTTTGTACATGTTAACAATGAATCTTCAATAAATACTACAGTAAGTCATGGAGTTCCACAAGGTTCTGTACTTGGACCACTACTATTTACTTTATATATGCTCCCTTTACAAACATGTCTTACGGACATAAAATCCTGGATGAGCTGCAATTTTCTGATGTTAAACTGAAATTCTTGTTCTTGGCCCCAAAAACCTCAGAGACTCACTGTCTAAAGATATAGTTACTCTAGATGGCATTACCTTGGCCTCTAGCACCACTGTCAGGAATCTTGGAGTTATCTTTGATCAGGATTTGTCATTTAACTCCCACATAAAGCAAACCTCCAGGACTACCTTCTTTCATTTACGTAATATTACAAAAGCTCCTTTCCTATGGAATCAGTTTCCAGTTGTGGTTCGGGAGGCAGAAACCCTCACCACATTCAAGAGTAGGCTTAAGACATTCCTCTTTGATAAAGCTTATAGTTAGGGCTGGATCAGGTGAGTCCTGAACCATCCCTTAGTTATGCTGCTATAGGCCTAGACTATCGGGGGATTTCCCACGGTGCACTGAGCTCCTCTCTTCCTCTCTCTTTCTGCACTCATTCATGTCCCATTAATGCATGTTACTAACTTCACTTCTTCCCCAGAGTTCTTGTGCTTTCTCGTCTCGCAGGTTCTTACCGATCCTGATGGAGCCTCCTGCCGTGGTCCTGCTAGATTGCCATTGCCAATACTGTTGTTACTGTGCGTCTGTCTGTCTCTCTCTCTCTCTCTCTCTCTCTCTCTCTCTCTCTCTCTCTCACCCCAACTGGTCGAGACAGACGACCACCCACCTAGAGCCGAAGGATCTGTCCTAGGTTTCTGCCTTTTAACAGGCAGTTTTTCTTTGCCCTTGTCGCCAAGTGCTTGCTCATGGTGGTACTGTTGGGTCTCTGTAACTTCTGTTATGAATAGGCGCTATACAAATAAAATTGAATTTAATTGAATTGAATTGAATGTATTACCACAGAATATCTTTAACCGTGCTGTGTCTGTCAGAGACCCCGGCAGCAGAGTTACTACCACCACTTGTATCTGTGGAACCTTTGACCTCTCAGGAGGAGGTTCACACACTGACCTCCAGGCTCCACACACAGGATGAGTGGTAGAGGGCAGAGTACAGCTTTCCCGCCCTGCGGGGGTCGCGGAGGTCTCGGACGTCCCACACGTAAACACTGTGGTCGTTGTAGACGCACGACAGCCAGCGGTTGGCGGGGTCGTAGGTCACCGCCACTGTGTCTGGGTAACGAGCTTCCGGTCTGCAGGAGAACAGCTGACTGAGGAGGAGGAGGAGGAGGAGGAGGAGGAGAGAGGATGAGTTCCTGAAGGACTGTGGGATACACAGACACTAAAGATCTTTCTGTGGTTTCCGTGGTAACCTGTCTACCTGTGCAGTAAATAAAAATGCACACCGACTGTTGCTGTCCATTCGTTGTATATATACATATATCCGTATATATCACCTGTCAGATCTGTGTTACCTGGCAGGTGTGTGTGCGTGTGTGTGTGTGTGTGTGTCTGTGTGTTACCTGGCGTCCACCATACTGGCAACGTCGGCCCCCAGACAGTGTGGGCGGGGCAGAGTGCACAGGAAGTGCAGGTTGACGGGGCTGAAAGCTCGAACTGTCCCGTCAGAACAACCACAGAAGATCAACTCATCTGTGACGGACAGACAGGTGGCCTGAGACGTCTGAGGACAGACAGACAGACAGAGAGACAGACAGGTGAGTCCAACCATCATGTTCCTCTTGTGGAAGATGAATATAAAGATTTGAAGACTATGAAGATGAAGAGGGTTTCCGGTGAAGCCATGCTCGGGACCGACGTATAGTTTTCTACTCTATCCCAATAACAAGTGTCAGTTTTATTCCATATAAAAAAGAATATTTGTTCCCAAATATTATATATGTTTAGAATTTAAAATTGTAGTTATGTTGAAGTTTCTGTGGGGGGATTAAAATGAAAGACCAAGGCTTGTGTGTTCTTTACAATTATGGACAGTGATGAGTCCATGATGGTTTACTAGATGCTGTGGAGAACATCGTCTGCATACAGACACAAGTTGCTAATTGCAATACACTCAAGGGCTGTCTCCTTTCTTATCAACAGTTCATTGAATATGTTGAAGAGCCCCAGGCTAGCTGGGAATCCCTGTCGGCATCCTGTTGTAGTGTATAGTCTTGGATAGATGGCCCTTAATCTTTATTCTAGCAGCTCGGTATGTGTATAGAGTTTTAATACAATGTGTGATTTTAAACTTAACTACACTATTACAGTACTACAGTACTACAGTATTACAGTACTACAGTATTACAGTATCAGTCCTACAGTATCAGTACTACAGTATTACAGTACTACAGTACTACAGTATTACAGTATCAGTCCTACAGTATCAGTACTGTAGCAGTGAATGGATGCTGGATGTTGGTGGATGTGACCGATGCTGCATTCAGGGTCCTCTGTGAATGTGGAGGGTGAACAGGGTGATACGTCACCCAGCCAATCAGGTGGCATGTTGGTTGTGAATGACAGCGGCGTGCTGTGAAACCGACCAATGGAGTGAGAGAAAGGAAGTGGGCGTGTCCAGGTCAGTCAGTTCAGCCAGTGAGGATTTAGATTATTCAAATTCAGTTTTTATTTGTTTTAATTAATGTTCAGTAATATGAATCTGTTTGAGTGCTTGCTCATGGTGGGAACTGTTGGGTCCAAAACGTTTCTGTTTCACTTTGTATCACAGCTCAATATTTAACATTAAACATACAACTGAAGAGCTAAATGTGATTAATCATTATAATGAAGTTAATGAGTCTGATTATAACCTCAACAAATGTTTGCTGAGCTTCTTTCTGGTCTGTTAGTTTCAGTGGTGAGGAGCTAAAAGCCCAATTAAATACAGGGCCCTATCTTGCCAATCTGAAACGCAAGTATCAAACGCAAAACACAAGTGGCTTTGTGGGCAGATCTCGGGCGCTGTTGCTATTATGCCGGCGGGATAAATGACTCTTGCGCCCGGCGAAAATCTAAAATGGGTTGGTCTGAAGTAGCTACATTAGTCATAGGTGTGGTTTGGGCATAACGTGCAATAAACCAATCAAAGCGTCATCTCACATTCCCTTTAAAAGCAGGCGCGCTTGTTCCATGGCGGATTGCTATTATAACGGCGGATTTGCCGGGCGCACACCAGGAGCGGTTCACAGCCGAGGAGACCGACATTCTCGTCAGGGCCGTGTAATACCGAGAAGTGTTATTGTTGACATGAAATAAATGTAACACAGCCATACAATAAATCGAAACAATGTAACGCAGCTTCGCAGGAAGAAGACCCTGGCCTCGGGAGCAGTGCGCACGGGCCGAGCAGTGTGCAAGGGCCAGCTGAGGAGAGAGCAGCGCAAACACCAACGTGCAGAGGATCCAGACCCACTACATGCCGGAGGACCACCCGTTCCTGCAGCAAACAGGGTTTGACATGCTGGAGCGGGAGCTGCCCGGGATGCGGCAAAGTATTAATGCCCGTCTTGATTGGGTGGCGATGTTGCTGCTGCCTCTCAGGCGCATCCCCTCAAGTCTGCGCCCTTAAAATAGCATCTGAATAAGCGCCACTGACTTTAGACTAGGTTTTTCCTGGTCTGTGGCAGAATTGTTTTCTGAAATAGCAAAATAGCACCAGGGAACGTTTGCGCCGGAACACGCCTCCTCTTTTCACTGAACCGCCCCCCCCGGAGCGCAAGTTCATTCTCTAATTTAAGGACGTGCGTCGGTGGAGGGAAAATTCCAATGTGCGTCGAGTGCAAAATAGGAATTATACAAGCGCCAGTGTACAAAGTCAATTGCGCTGAGTGCAAGATAGAGCCCACAGATTGTTTCTCTGAAGGAATAAAAATATATTAGAAGCAGTTTTATTTCAGGTAAAACTGACGTTAGTATCAATGAACGCCTTTTACATTATTAGTTTGTCCTCTGTAGTGACACACGTTCTCATCATAAAGTCAAGTGTTTAGTGTTAGTTGAAGAGCTTCACATTAAAAAGCAGTAAGTGTTTGTCAGGTGTCACAGGCTGAACTGAGTACAGATGAGATGACGACTTACGAAGGCGGAGTCGACTCTCTGCACAGGAAGCAGAGGAGGAAGCAGAGGAACTTCACATTAAGAGTGTTTCAGATCAATGACAGACACACAGTTAAACATTCAGATCATTTCAACATTAGCAGCAGTGTTTGAGCTAGCTAATGTAATGGCAGTTTTTAAGAACCTATACAACCTTTGACCTGGTCATTGTAAAACCATACGCAACCAAAGAGGCTTTTATATGCATATAACCTTTAGCCCTGTTTCTTACTTCACTGCATGTCCAAATAAACAGTGGGATGTTGAGACTTCACTAAGAAGCCAAGGACATGATCATCTCACCACACTATCTGTCTGTTATTGATCAGTGAGTTACTGATCTGTCTGTTTACTGTCCCAGAACTCAGGAACGTGTAAGTGTGTTAGAGTGACGCTTCAACATGGATAAAACCAAACTGCTTCCTCCAATCTGGGCTCTTTCACATACGAGAGTGTTGACGGTTGCGTCGAGTCCATTCATAGATGACTTCAATAAAACCTTACAAAAAGACAAGATCATACTTTCTATGCTTCATTAAACAAATTGCCACCACACAAATGTTAGCAAAACACTAGCTAACCAATCGCTACATATATAGTCACAAATTAATCAATTATCTAAATTACAAACATGTCTTAAGGACATAAAATCCTGGATGAGCTGCAATTTTCTGATGCTCAACTCAGAAAAAAACGAAATTCTTGTATTTGGCCCCAAAAACCTTAGAGACTCACTGTCTAAAGATATAGTTACTCTAGATGGCATTACCTTGGCCTCTAGCACCACTGTCAGTAATCTTGGAGTTATATTTGATCAGGACATGTCCTTTAATTCCCACATAAAGCAGACCTCTAGGACTGCCTTCTTTCATTTACGTAATATTACAAAAATTAGACACATCCTATCACAGACAGACGCAGAAAAACTAATCCATGCATTTGTTACTTCAAGGCTGGATTACTGCAACTCTTTATTATCAGGTTGCCCCAATAAGTCCATTAAGACACTCCAATTAATTCAGAACGCTGCAGCACGAGTACTGACAGGAACTAGGAGTAGAGATCACATCTCTCCTGTACTAGCTTCCCTGTAAAATTTGGAATAGAATTTAAAATCCTCCTCCTCACCTATAAAGCTCTTCACGATCAGGCCCCTTCATATCTTAAAGAGCTCATAGTACCCTATTACCCCTCTAGACAGTACGTTCTCTGAATGCTGGACTACTTGTGGTTCCTATAGTCTCTAAAAGTAGAACAGGAGCCAGAGCCTTCAGTTACCAAGCTCCTCTCCTGTGGAACCAGCTTCCAGATGTGGTTCGGGAGGCAGACACCCTCTCCACATTTAAGAGTAGGCTTAAGACATTCCTCTTTGATAAAGCTTATAGTTAGGGCTGGATCAGGTGAGTCCTGAACCATCCCTTAGTTATGCTGCTATAGGCCTAGACTATCGGGGGATTTCCCATGATGCACTGAGCTTTTCTCTTCCTCTCTCTCTCTTTCTGCACTCATTCATGTCTCATTAATGCATGTTACTAACTTCACTTCTTCCCCGGAATTCTTGTGCTTTCTCGTCTCGCAGGTTCTCATGGATCCTGGTGGAGCCCCCTGCCATGGTCCTGCTTGACTGCCATTGCCAATATCACCAATATTAGTATTATTATTATTATAAGTATTATTATTGCTACGGTTACTGTTGTTGCTGTTGTCACGGCTCATTGTCCCCCATCATTGCTGTTGTCATGTTCATCATCATCAGTCACTACTATTAGTATAGTTGTTACTACTGTTGTTGCTGTGCACCTGTCTGTCTGTCTGTCTGTCTCTCTCTCTCTCTCCCTCTCTGTCTCTCTCTCACCCCAACTGGTCGAGGCAGACGACCACCCACCTAGCGCCGAAGGATCTGTCCTAGGTTTCTGCCTTTTAACAGGCAGTTTTTCCTTGCCCCTGTCACCAAGGTCTTGCTCATGGTGGTACTGTTGGGTCTCTGTAAATGTTATAAGGAATTCGGTCTAGACCTGCTCTATTTGAAAAGTGTCCTGAGATAACTTCTGTTATGAATTGGTCAACCTGAAACCTGGTTTCAATGATCCCTGAGGTCAACAGTCAACACTGCAGCGCAACAAATCCTGCAGGAGAAGAAGAAGAAGGTCTTTACTGACAGCTGACCGATGAGTCATCCTGAATGCTGGCCACTGATTGGGAGGCTGACGTGACGTGCTACGGTAAGCGTACTGACTCATTCCCGGTTTCCTTCCTGCTCTGTGTACACTGTTTGGTGCTGTAGCTCTGTCTGTGAACGCTAAATATACATTTGTTTTACTCGTTACAGCGGTTATTTTCCCGCTTAACATTTAAACGTAGACTAGTTCTACCTAAGCACTCGGAGTTACTCCTTTTAGCGACTTTTCGCTATTTTCAAAGTTTTTCATACACTCTAGCTTCATTAGCATTAGCAGTTAGCTATGGCTTCTCCCTCTCCCTCTCCTCTGTCCTGCTCAGTGTGCCAGATGTTCAGTTATTCCTCTGCCTCCTTTAAAGACAATGGTACATGTATTAAGTGTAGTTTATTTACTGCGCTGGAGGCGAGGCTGGAGGCGAGGCTTAGTGAGTTAGAGGAACGGTACCGCACCACGGAGATATCTTTAGCCGCTATAGTTAGCCAGCCCCCAGTAGCCGGTGCGGTCCGACCGAAGGTAGCTTCTGTTAGCCGTCCTCCGGTAGATCCCCGGTAGTTCCTGAGCAGCCGGGAAGACAGGGAGGCTGGGTGACTGAGCGAAGGAAGACTAAAACACCGAAGCCCACAGTTCTGTTGTTGCTGTGTCTGTCTCTCGCTCGCTCTCGCTCCCTCTCTCTCTCTCTGTCTCTGTCTCTCTCTCATCCCAACTGGTCAAGACAGACGACCACCCACCTAGAGCCGAAGGATCTGTCCTAGGTTTCTGCCTTTTAACAGGCAGTTTTTCCTTGCCCTTGTCTCCAAGGTCTTGCTCATGGTGGTACTGTTGGGTCTCTGTAAATAATGTTTTAAAGAGTTTGGTCTAGACCTACTCTATTTGAAAAGTGTCCTGAGATAACTTCTGTTATGAATTGGTGCTATACAAATAAAATTGAATTGAATTGAATTGGTGCTATAGAAATAGAATTGAATCTTACGCTAGCTAATATCGTAGATAGGACTTTCCACTGTAGTTTCTCCAACACACTGAAGGCTAAGCTGTATTAAGCTGGTTGCAATCTGCAACTTCACCACTAGGTGTCACTAAACCACTGGTCCTTAAAGAGTCACCATAGAAGGGGAACTTCCTGAAAGCGGTGTCACTCACCCGTAGCTCCACCCACTTGTCGAGCAGTCGGCGGTCGTTGAACTCACACAGCAGACCGGAGGACGTGATGCAGAAAGTAGAAGAGGCCTGTCGACCCCGTCCACACGCCACATCACTGAAGAAGTTATTCCGGAGCTCTCCCAGCAGCCCCGAACGCCCCAGCAGAGGGACAGTGGCGTTTACCTGGAGGGGACGATCGATACAAACAATGATCAGACGGATGTTTTCATTAACAGCTGATTAACCTGTGATTGAAAGGACAACCTTGGAGGTCTTGCCGTGGTCCAGGTACCAGAACTTGACATGGCGGTTGCCGGCGGTGACGAAGTATGAGCTGTCATCTGAGAAGGAGACGGCTGTCACCTTACTAGAGACCTTATTGGCTGCGACCACCACGTTTTTCTGATAAAGAAAACAACAAAAAGTTCACGTGGATATTGTCAATTATTTATTTATTTCCTGCATACTGTATGTAGTTAGAAATACCCCACCTTTTTCTTAAAGTAAAATTACTATTAAAACACTGTATAAGTATACTTTGTTACAAGTTGGTAAATGTTACATCAGTAAAAGTACAAAAATTATCAAGTATTAGCATCAAAATATCCTTAAAGTACCAAAAGTAAAAGTACTCATTAAACAGAGTAATGCTAATTACATAATTACATAAACATATAATATACATATAATATATATGATATTGTTGGGTTGGGTACAGCTGGTGAACATGAAGCTGATTGTAATTACTTTATACCCTGCTGGAACAATAAAATGTAATCTTAAGAAAATATAATATTTATTACAGCTATAAAGCAGAATAAAATGGAAACACTCAAGTAAAGTACAAGCACCACAAATTTGTACTTACACTACCGTTCAAAAGTTTGGGGTCACCCAGACAATTTCATGTTTTCCATGAAAACTTTTATTCATCAAATGAGTTGCAAAATGAATAGAAAATATAGTCAAGACATTGAAATAATAATTTTGTCCTTCAAACTTTGCTTTCGTCAAAGAATTCTTCATTTGCAGCAATTACAGCCTTGCAAACCTTTGGCATTCTAGCTGTCAATTGTTGAGGTAATCTGAAGAAATTTCACCCCACACTTCCTGAAGCACCTCCCACAAGTTGGATTGACTTGATGGGCACTTCTTAAGTACCATACGGTCAAGCTGCTCCCACAACAGCTCAATAGGGTTGAGATCTGGTGACTGCGCTGGCCACTCCATTACAGACAGAATACCAGCTGACCGCTTTTTCCCTAAATAGTTCTTGCATAGTTTGGAGGTGTGCTTTGGGTCATTGTCCTGTTGTAGGAGGAAATTGGCTCCAATCAAGCGCTGTCCACAGGGTATGGCATGGCGTTATAAAATGGAGTGATAGCCTTCCTTATTCAAAATCCCTTTTACCATGTACAAATCTCCCACTTTACCAGCACCAAAGCAGCCCCAGACCATCACATTACCTCCACCATGCTTGACAGATGGCCTCAGGCACTCCTCCAGCATCTATTCACTTGTTCTGCGTCTCACAAATGTTCTTCTGTGTGATACAAACACCTCAAACTTAGATTTGTCTATCCATAACACTTTTTTCCAATCTTCCTCTGTCCAATGTCAGTGTTCTTTTGCCCATCTTAATCTTTTCCCTTTATTGGCCAGATATGGCTTTTTCTTTGCCACTCTGCCTAGAAGGCCAGCATCCCGGAGTCGCCTCTTCACTGTGGACGTTGAGACTGGCGTTTTGCGGGTACCATTTAATGAAGCTGCCAGTTGAGGACCTGTGAGGCATCTATCTCTCAAACTAGAGACTCTAATGTACTTGTCCTCTTGCTTAGTTGTGCACCAGTGCCTCCCACTTCTCATTCTATTCTGGTTAGAGCCCGTTTGTGCTGTTCTCTGAAGGGAGTAGTACACACCGTTGTAGGACATCTACAGTGTCTTGGCAATTTCTCGCATGGAATAGCCTTCATTTCTCAGAACAAGAATAGACTGTCGAGTTTCAGAAGAAATTCTCTTTTTCTGGCCATTTTGAGAGTATAATCGAACCCACAAATGCTGATGCTCCAGATACTCAACTAGCTCAAAGGAAGACCAGTTTTATAGCTTCTCTAATCAGCACAACAGTTTTCAGCTGTGCTAACATAATTGCACAAGGGTTTTGTAATTATCAATTAGCCTTTTAACATGATTAGCTAACACAATGTACCATTAGAACACAGGAGTGATGGTTGCTGGAAATGGGCCTCTGTACACCTATGTAGATATTCCATAAAAAATCGGTCATTTCCAGCTAGAATAGTCATTTACCACATTAACAATGTCTAGACTGTATTTCTGATTAATTTAATGTTATCTTCATTGAAAAAAACAGTGCTTTTCTTTCAAAAATAAGGAAATTTCTAAGTGACCCCAAACTTTTGAACGGTAGTGTAAGTGTTTAGTTACTTTCCACCACTGGGGAGGTTCTGATTCAGCTCTTCAATCTCCCCTCAATCCTTACCTTCCAGTTCCAGACGTTAACCATCATGTCGTGTTGGTAGCCCACGCTGACGATGTACTTCCCATTGGGAGAAAACGCCACACAGGCAACACCATATTTATGTTCCTGCAACTCAGCAACTTGCAGACGCTCCGACACCTCCCAGACGCGAACCGCCGGCATGTGGCCGCTCTGAGGGGGGAGGAGGAGGAGGAGGATGGTTTTTCATTTCTGAATCCCGAGCTGTGAAGGTTGGAGGTGGTCCAGTAACATACATTCCCTGACGGCACTGAACTCAGATCTGACACACGTGCTGTACTGTGTATATATTGTTTTTAAATGAGAGCACAGTGTTAAATCTATATGACTGCTATCATGTTGTTGTTAGAGTCACATGACTTCAGTATCCTGGGAAAAAAACAGGACACTGTTAAGTATCAGGGTCCAGAGTTGATAAAGTCTGATTGGTGCACAGAGAGAAAGAGAACTGTTGTGATGTTATCTGAACAACTCAACTTAAGATCAGTGGGTGTTCCACAGGGCTCTATTCTCAATCAAATATGATCGAGAGTAATCAATAATGAAAATAATCATTAGTTGCAGTTTAATAAATTAATTTAATATATAAATTGCATTTAATATCGTACATATTTTATTTATTTTTTTATTTTTTTAAGTGGTATTTTTATTGAACACTGATAGTACAGGATATGAACATAGATACAACATTTACAAAAGAACTTTGGACCAATGCTCACATCTTTATTTTGTATGAATTATTGTGGGCACAGTCTTAAGCTTACCCAAATATTTCAGCACTGGATCCCAGACAGAAAAGAATTTGTCCCTGGACCCCCTGAGAGTGTGTTTTATTTTCTCTAACTGTATGAACTGCATTAGGTCATTAAACCACAAAGACACATTAGGTGGATTTTTAGATTTCCAATGTAATAACATTCTTCTGCGTGCAAGCAATGTTGTAAAAGCAATGATGTTTTTATATCTTTTCCTTATTGTAGAATATCTTCTGTCAGTAGTACCAAATATGGCCATTAATGCGTTGGGTTGTAGGTCAATATTAAGAGCTTCTGACACTGTTTTAAAGATTGCAGACCAATAGGATGCTAGGGCTGAGCACGACCTAAACATATGGGTTAGGTCGGCAGGAGTGTTTCGACACCTGTCGCAGCTTGCATCTGTGTCAGGGTATATTTTAGCAAGTCTGGCTTTGGAGTAGTGGATGCAATGTAAGATCTTAAATTGTATTATACTTAATTTGGCACATGAAGTGCTGTCATTCACTCTTAGTAGAGCGCTGTCCCGAATGTCTTCTTCCAAGTCCTCTCCCAGCTCATCCACCCAGTCTGCCTTGATCTTTGCAAGAGTTGTATTTTTAAAGGAAGATATACAGTTGTTGATTCTTGAAATAAGTCCTTTAAGGCTGAAAGTAGTTTCTAACAGAGCATCTGAACCAGAAAGTGATATATATATATATATGGAAAGTTGGGATCATGATGCTGAAGGAAGTGGCGGACTTGGAAATATCGGAACAGGCTAGACCGAGGGAGGCAAAATTTATGTGACAAGTCATCAAAGCTAGGGAAAATACTGTTTATATACATATCTTTAAATTTGTAAATGCCTTGTCTTTGCCAAATATCGTACATATTTTAATGTATTCTCTCCTGTTGTGATTCTGACCTGATCAGCACTCTTGCTGAGCATGCTCAGATCCACAGGTATTACCCAGGTGGAACTTGGATCACTTAGACTCACCTCTCCTGTGACCACGTATTTCCCATCTGGAGAAAACGCTAGCGTGGTGATCGCCTTCCTAAAACACAGAGCGAGAACTTCATTGTGATTGGCTGGCAGTGATCAACCTTTAGGTAACCATAGCAACAGGCTCTGTTTTCAATTCAATTCAATTCAATTGTATTTGTATAGTGCCAATTCATAACAGAAGTTATCTCAGGACACTTTTCAAAGAGAGCAGGTCTAGACCGAAATCTTTAAAACATTTATCATTGGTTGCCACGGGCAGACAGGAAGTGAGAGCTGATTGGCTGAAGTTTTACCTGGAGCTGTTAAAGATGTGATGCTGTTTGTTCTTCCGAGGATTCAACAGGACAACGACACACCTGCACAAATAAATAAAGGTTAATATTGAATTAACCATTCCCATGACAACAACAGCAGCTGTGGCTCAGAGGCGGCTGTTTGATCCCCGGCTGCTCTCGCTGAATGTCGAAGTGTCCTTGACCCAACAATTATAATAATAATAATAACAACAACAGTAATAATAATAATAACAGTAATACAGTAATAATAATAACAATAACAATTACAATAATAACACTAATAATAAAACAATAATAAAAACAATAATAATAGCAGAAATAATAATAATAATAATAACAACAGTAATAATAATAATAATAACAATAACAGTAATACAGTAATAACTACAGACTATATCTACAGACTATGACTACAGACTATATCTACAGACTATGACTACAGACTATATCTACAGACTATATCTACAGACTGTATCTACAGACTGTATCTAGAGACTATGACTACAGACTATAACTATAGAATATAGCGACAGACTATTTCTACAGACTGTATCTACAGACTATATATACAAACTGTATCTACAGACTATGACTACAGACTATATCCACAGGCTATAACTACAGACTATATCTACAGATTATAGGCAACATTATTAGGAATCACTCCATTAACTTTCACTGTTATGCAGATGATACGCAGTTATATCTATCGATCAAGCCCGATGAAATTAATCAATTATCTAAATTACAAACATGTCTTAAAGACATAAGATCCTGGATGAGCTGCAATTTTCTGATGTTACACCCAAAAAACCTTAGAGACTCAGTGTCTAAAGATATAGTTACTCTAGATGGCATTACCTTGGCCTCTAGCACCACTGTCAGGAATCTTGGAGTTATCTTTGATCAGGATTTGTCATTTAATTCCCACATAAAGCAAACCTCTAGGACTGCCTTCTTTCATTTACGTAATATTACAAAAATTAGACACATACTATCACAGACACATGCAGAAAAACTAATCCATGCATTTGTTACTTCTAGGCTGGATTACTGCAACTCTTTATTATCAGGCTGCCCCAATAAGTCCATTAAAACGCTCCAATTAATTCAAAACGCTGCAGCACGAGTACTGACAGGAACTAGAAAAAGAGATCATATCTCTCCTGTACTAGCTTCTCTGCACTGGCTCCCTGTAAAATGTAGAATAGAATTTAAAATCCTCCTCCTCACCTATAAAGCTCTTCATGATCAGGCCCCTTCATATCTTAAAGAGCTCATAGTACCCTATTACCCCACTAGAACACTACGTTCTCTGAATGCTGGGCTACTTGTGGTTCCTATAGTCTCTAAAAGTAGAACAGGAGCCAGAGCCTTCAGTTACCAAGCTCCTCCCCTGTGGAACCAGCTTCCAGTTGTGGTTCGGGAGGCAGACACCCTCACCACATTCAAGAGTAGGCTTAAGACATTCCTCTTTGATAAAGCTTATAGTTAGGGTTGGCTCAGGTGAGTCCTGAACCATCCCTTAGGTATGCTGCTATAGGCCTAGACTATCGGGGGATTTCCCATGGTGCACTGAGCTCCTCTCCTCCTCCCTGCTCATTGTCCCCCATCGTTGCTGTTGTCATGTTCATCATCAGTCACTATTAGTGTAGTTGTTGCTACTGTTGTTGCTGTGCGTCTGTCTGTCTGTCTGTCTGTCTGTCTGTCTCTCTGTCTCTCTCTCTCTCTCTCTCTCTGTCTGTCTCTCTTTCTCTCACCCCAACTGGTCGGGACAGACAACCACCCACCTAGAGCCGAAGGGTCTGTGCTAGGTTTCTGCCTCTTAACAGGCAGTTTTTCCTTGCTCCCGTCGCCAAGGTCTTGTTCATGGTGGTACTGTTGGGTCTCTGTAAATGTTATAAGGAGTCGGTCTAGACCTGCTCTATTTGAAAAGTGTTCTGAGATAACTTCTGTCATGAATTAGCGCTATACAAATAACATTTAATTGAATTATATCTACAGACTATAACTACAGACTATGACTACAGACTATAACTACAGACTATATCTACAGACTATATCTACAGACTATAAGACTATGACTACAAACTATAACACTATGACTACAGACTATAACTACAGACTATAACTACAGAATATATCTACAGACTATATCTACAGACTATAAGACTATGACTACAGACTATAACACTATGACTACAGTCTATAACTACAGGCTATATCTACAGACTATCTACAGACTATGACTACAGACTATACTACAGACTATAACTACAGACTATAAATAGACTATAACTACAGACTATAACTACAAACTGCATCTACAGACTATAACTACAAACTGCATCTACAGACTATAACTACAGACTATAACTACAAACTGCATCTACAGACTATATCTACAGACTATAACTACAGACTGTATCTACAGACTATATAAATACCATTCAATGCACTGTACACACACACTGCTGACTCACACAGGAATTATGAGTCTGTGTGTGTGTGTGTGTGTGTGTGTGTGTGTGTGTGTGTGTGTGTGTGTGCACTGACTGTAAACAGCTGAGTTAGCAACCAATTATAATCTTCCTCATCAGCACACAGTGAACCTTCAGTCAGCACTGTGTCTGCAGCCTTTTTCCAGCAGCGACTCATCATGGTGGTTTATCGGACTCACTTTCATGCTGCAGCCTCAAATCAACTAGAATTTGTTTTATTTTACAGCAAATGTATGTTCATCAACAGCAACAACAACAATAAAGTCTGTGCAGAGGCTCTGACAGTGGACTGTTTCATACAGTTATATATATATAGTATATTATTATTATTATTATTATTATTTAATAGTATCAGGGTCTGTATCAGGTATTAGAGACTGTTGGTCCCTGACAGAGTCCTTTATTGGACGTCTTTACAAAAACGCTGCTGTGAAGCTCAGAAATGACTCTTCTGGTACAGAGACCAGAGACCAGAGACTAGAAACTTGTCCTGAACTGTCTGTCTGTCTCTCTCTCTCTGTGTGTGTGTCTCTCTCTGTCTGTCTGTCTGTCTCTCTCTCTCTCTCTGCCCCTCTACATACATTAACCTATTTTCACCCTCCTTTTGCTGACCCACTTCAGTCTCATCATCCGTAAACTGAATCTGAACACAAACTGACCTACTGCTCCATCCAATCACCAACTCCGCTCCTCCCACGCCCACAGCTGATTGGACTGCTCTGTGACACTCTGTGGGCTTAAAAACTGGAAGCTGGATGTCTTCCACTGCTTGCCCTCAAACATTCCCATCATTCCTCAGTGCTCACACTCATTCACAGTCTGTCAGACACCAGAGAACTCATTTATAAAACTCAGTGGATCCATCCTGAATCACTGTGTTTTACAGTGTTTGTGTTTAACAGTGTTTAACAGTGTTTACCAGTGTTTAACACTGTTAAACACTAAAATAGTGTTATACACTGTAAAATATTGTTATACACTGCCCAGATGCAGCTATAGATCTGATCTATACACAGCTGCTGCTCTCCACATCCATGTTTAAGAAACAAACAACAGAACAGAACCCTCATCGTCCTGTTTATCATTCAGTCTGAACTCTGTCCTGGGATCTGGTCTGTCAGGTTCTTTCATTGGTTCTTCTGGTTTCTGATGAATTATTGTTTAAATAAGATGAACAATGATTCATGAACAAACTGCATTCACTGTTTCTGTTCACAACCATCTGAAGGTTTTATCATTCAGAGCTGAACAAAGACTTGAGTCGGTTATGTAACCTTCACCTTTAACTTCACAAACACACTGTGGCCTTTAGCAGACAAACATTTACTGTCCCTGCAGACTGAGCTCCACCCTGAACACAACCACATCAAAGAAAACACATAAGATCCTGCTCAGGAAACAGCCAACTGAACCCCACCTCTAATATCCCTTTAAGACCCCCTCAGACCCATTGAGATCCCCTCAATGACCCTGAAATCATCAGGAACCACTGAGACCTCCTCTGATAGACCACTGAGTCTCGCTTTCTCTGAAACACACTAGAAGCCATTTCAAAGACTGTAGAGATCTCTCAAGAACTCCAGGAACCCCCTCAAAACAATGTGAACACTAAGACCTGTCTAAAACCCCCGGAGAACCCCCTACAACATATATTAATCAAGACCCTGTGACTTCCTGAAGAAACCATGATGTCACTTTAAAGACCCTTCACAGACCCCAGAGACACCCTCAAGAACTCTGGGGATCTGCTCAGACCATGACCCCTGAAACTCCCCAAGAACAATTGAAATCTCTCGACAAAGATCTGGACCACTGACACACCTAAACAACTCCTGAAACCCCTCAAGAATCCTCTGAAGCTTTCATTCCCAGAAACTGGGCGGGAGATTTTATTTGGGTCACAAATAAATGTGTAGAATTTCTTCCTTCTGCTAAATGCATTTATTAAGTCTTCTTTATAAAGTATTTCAAATGTGTACATTGTTTTACTGATGAGTTGTGGTTTATCAAACGTATATCTCTTTAAGTGGCAGCTTTACCTGTTCAAAAACTCTGACGTGCTGCAGAAATCAGTAAGAAAGCAGTATAACTGCTCAGGTACGTTCATTCCCACTGTGAACTGGGTCACAGTGGGCTTGTTTTTAAGAAGTGGCTCCCCAGAAAAACTGGGGCCAGTGAGACCTCCTGAAACCCATAGTGTTGTCCAAAACACCCTCACAGGGTCCCTACACCTGTTCAAAGATCCCTAAATCCACCACAATGTTCCCCTGAGAACCCTCTCAAAGACTCAAAGAAAACCCTGGACGAGTCTTTCCCAGGAGTCCTCCAGGTATTTGTGGGTTCAGTCACTTGCCGGAAGCAGACGGGTCTTGTGGTTCCTAATGGAGCGCTGTGTGTACTGTGTGCCTCTTTAATCTGTTAATCTGATCATGTCGTTATCCGTCCTGAGAACCACTGAGTGACCGTCTGTTCATTCATTCCTCACTTTAATCTTCTGTGTGAAGTTTCTACAATAATCTCAATCTCAGTACAACAACTCCATTATATAACAGCTGCATGTAAACAGACTGTAAAACACAATATAGAAATAGTGAAATACACATCAGCCCCTTTAAGGTTTCCCTGCTTGAACAGAAAGACTTACTTTCATCTGATTTCAGTTCTTCAAATGGAGTACTTTTAGTGTTTTCATGATTTATTCTACCTTTTAACTGTAGCTGTAAGGAAGTATCAATACACTTGATTGGCACAATATTTTGTTTTGTATTGATACTCAGAAACACTATTGATTGTTGTGTTTAAACTGTGACCCACTGGTGTGTGGAGTCCCGTTCTGAAGCCTTCAGCTCAGCAGTATGGTTGTCTCCATGTTGGGTTTTTTTGGAGCCAGAAGTGACCATATTTGGACGAGAGCATGACATTGCTCCGCTTCCACATTACTGCGAGTTGCTCTGCTCTCATCGGCTGCTCTTGGTTTGGAAACAATGGCGGCTCTCCTGCTCACACAGGATCTGGTATTCCAGATAAACAGTAAAATGTGTTTGTGAACAGATTTGAGGAGAGAAATAGTCAACAACAGAATCTGGATCATATCTGATCAGCACTGTTTGACAGTTTGATCTGAGTTTGGTGCGTTGAGCTGGATGGACTCACTGAGAATGAGCTTTCAATCACAAGGTAGCCCCGCCCTAAAGCATACCCTGCTTTATTGTCTGTTTTATTCTAAATGGGACCATCAGTTACTGAATGAACATCATGCTGTATGGAAGAAGACTGAAACTAGAACATGTTTCTCACCCGGCAGGATAAGCCAACAATCCAGTTCGGGGGTCGCAGGCCAGTGCTCGGTTCCCTGGAGCCGTGATCCCCAGAACCTTCTCCAACGTCACCTGGAAGACAAAGGTCATCCATTATCAGTTACTGTCAGACATTGGCAGCATCAAGTAAAGCAGACTTTGACTGAATCCAGACAGCCAAGCACAACAGGAATAAATTGAACCACTGTTGAACCCTCAGAAACCCGTTCAAACCCTCCAATATATCACAGAGAAGCTCAAATCTGGATTTGGACATTTTTTCTTTAAATTGACTCAAAACAATTAACTGATTATCAAAATAGCTGATGATTCATTTAACTGTTGATAAATAATTGATTAATCGACTAATCGTTGCAGCTCTAGTACCCTTGCATTTGTTAAATCGATTTATGTCTTCAGCAGGAACCAATGAGCTTGGAGCTGAGCGCCACAGACGGGAAGTCAGAACATAATGGGAACAAAAGAGGAAAAATCTAGAAATCATCAGACTTTACAAAGACATTTTCACAGCGAATACACTCACTTCCTGCTCCATGCTGATAAAAAGTATCCTGAGATGGACTCGACCATCACAAGCCTTTGGTCCAATCAGATAGATGTTTAGTCCATCAGTGTGTCTCCCTTTAAACCAGACTAAACTAAACCCTGACTAACTCCAGCTCCGACTGCTGCACCTCCATTAGCATGTTAGTATGTAATCAGCAGCCTTAAGGGTGCAGTTCAATGCTAAGCTAACAATATAAACTCTAGCACTGAGTCTGCACTGTGTGTATGTCGCCTCTCACATGACTCCCCCTCCCTCTGCACCAAACTCTATTTATGTTTTCACTAATTTTGCTTCTGAGTCTCTCATCAGCTGACTTTTTACTATTTACCACCAATGAATAGTCAGTTAACTACAATTCCTCTGCACACACAAACTACACAAACTGCAGAAACTACACAAACTGCAGAAACTGCACAAACTACACCAACTACACAAACTGCAGAAACTGCAGAAACTGCACAAACTACACCAACTACACAAACTACACAAACTACACAAACTGCAGAAACTGCACAAACTGCACAAACTACACCAACTACACAAACTACACAAACTACACAAACTGCAGAAACTACACAAACTGCAGAAACTGCACAAACTGCACAAACTACACCAACTACACAAACTACACAAACTGCAGAAACTGCAGAAACTACACAAACTGCAGAAACTGCACAAACTACACCAACTACACAAACTACACAAACTACACAAACTGCAGAAACTGCAGAAACTGCAGAAACTGCACAAACTACACCAACTACACAAACTACACCAACTGCAGAAACTACACAAACTTCAGAAACTACACAAACTGTATGAAATTAAATACTAACTGGTAGTACAGAATATATAAGTTAGTATCATGATCACGTTAGCTGAGGAAGCTAACGTTAGCCTCTGGTTCCATTTCAGTGTGAGATTTCAGTTTATATATTCATTGATTTATTGATTTGATTGATTTTACTGATTTTACTGACTGAAATTTTGTTTGTGTTCAAACTCATAGAGACGCAAACACACTCAAAAATCACAAAGCATTGTGGGAGTTTTCCTGCTGAATAAGTGCTGACAGACGGACAGAAGCCCTGCAGGGACAAACAGACCGGAACAACCAGACTGACAGGATGCCAGGACCCAGGAAACAGAGTTCAGACCAGGACCCAGGAAACAGAGTTCAGACCAGGACCCAGGAAACAGAGTTCAGACCAGGACCCAGGAAACAGAGTTCAGACCAGGGACTGAGTTTAAATCCTCTGTTTGAAACTTTATTGACTCCAGCTGAGACGAATGAAAGCATTCAATGTGTGGGTGGTTTTTACTGTATTTGTTGGGACCTACTATGTTGGAAAGACAACCACAGTCTGAAGATGTTCAAAGATAAAATAGACAAATATAGTCACATCTTAGATGGTTAGTTGATAAGGGTTACATTATTTATCATTTAAAGGAGCAGTGTGGAGGATTTGGTGCCATCTAGTGGTGTGTTTTCATTCTAACGATTCTTATTTTCAGCTGATTTCAGCTAATGATATAATGAATAAACAAAGTTATCAATATTATATTAAAAATTAATGTTACACACTGGATTCTACAAACAAAATTAAACAAAAATATCAGGACTTTAATTGAAGCAGATTTTTGTAAACAGAGATATTTTTGAAGTTGAGGACGTTGACATATTTTAATAATATAAGACAGAATCATATAATAATATAATGTACTTAATACAGAAATGTCTCACTTTAGAAACATTAAGACTTGAACATGGGGAGATTTCTGGTATCAAACATAAAAGGTTTTAAAGATTTTACATTATTTAAGGTGTTAAGATAATATTTGATATAATTACACCATATGTGTGCATACAATTTAAATTTAAATTTAAATTTTATAGCTCCAATTCATAACAGAAGTTATCTCAGGACACTTTTCAAATAGAGCAGGTCTAGACCGAACTCTTTAAAACATTAATTACAGAGACCCAACAGTACCACCATGAGCAAGACCTTGGAGACAAGGGCAAGGAAACACTGCCTGTTAAAAGGCAGAAACCTAGGACAGATCCCGACTCTGCCTATATATTTGCTGTGTATATATATATATATAAATATATACACACAGCATATATGTCTTTAAAAATAGTGGATATATTTATATATATATTGTATATGTCTGTACACAGTGTCCTCGCGCTGCTCTCTTTATATAATCAATAAATTGTTAAAATGTGCGCGTTGAAGCGCGTGCGCACCTTGTCGCTGAGGTCGTGTTTTTGCCGCGCGGTGGCGCTCCTCCTCCTCAGTTTGATGGACGGGGATCGCAGCAGGTTCTTGATGCGGCTGCGGATCGTTCCGCTTCCGTCGGCGGTCATTGCGCCGTTAGCTGCCCGGCTAGCTGCGTCTGTCAGCGGCTGTTTGAGTTCTCCGCTCCCGCTGCTGCTGCTGCTGCTGCCGCCGCCGCTGCGCTCATGCTGTCTGCGGGCCGAGGCGTGCCGGGTCGGAGGGGTCCGCTAGTCTGGTTCTGGTTCTGGACTGATCCGGGTTACGGGCTCCGGTTCCGCTCCGCATCTTAAGTCTCCGCCACAGCGAAGACACGAAGCGGCCTCAACACGACCCAGACCGGACTGACCGCCAGCGTCAACACCGCACGCGACAACCACACACACACACACACTTCCGTTCAGCCTTTTCAAAATAAAGCTGATATGTTTCTTTGTTTTTAAAAACAAAAACTTTATAAAATATACATATAATATAACATAATAAAATATAATGGAATGGAATCTGATTATTATTATCTAATATTTTACATTCTTCAGTACTATTTAGTTTACTTTCATAAAAGTCCAGTGTTAATTAAGTTGTATTTGTACAGTGTAGTATTTGTACATTGTATTTATACAGTGAAGTATTTGTACATTATATTTATACAGTGAAGTATTTGTACATTATATTTATACAGTGAAGTATTTGTACATTATATTTATACAGTGAAGTATTTGTACATTCAATTCAATTCAATTTTATTTGTATAGCGCCAATTCATAACAGAAGTTATCTCAGGACACTTTTCAAATAGAGCAGGTCTAGACCGAACTCCTTATAACGTTATTTACAGAGACTCAACAGTACCACCATGAACAAGACCTTGGAGACAAGGGCAAGAGAGAGAGAGAGAGAGAGAGAGAGAGAGAGAGAGACACAGAGACAGACTGACAGGCAGATAGTTGCACAGCAACAATAGTAGCAACAACTACACTAATAGTTCAATTCAATTCAATTTTATTTGTATAGCGCCAATTCATAACAGAAGTTATCTCAGGACACTTTTCAAATAGAGCAGGTCTAGACCGAACTCTTTAACATTAATTACAGAGACCCAACAGTACCACCATGAGCAAGCACTTGGCGACAAGGGCAAGGAAAAACTGCCTGTTAAAAGGCAGAAACCTAGGACAGATCCTCCAGCTCTAGGTGGGTGGTCGTCTGTCTCGACCAGTTGGGGTGAGAGAGAGAGAGAGAGAGAGAGAGAGAGGGGGGACAGACAGACAGACAGGTGCACAGCAACAACAGTATTGGCAATGGCAGTCAAGCAGGACCATGGCAGGAGGCTCCACCAGGATCCATGAGAACCTGCGAGACGAGAAAGCACAAGAACTCCGGGGAAGAAGTGGAGTTAGTAACATGCATTAAAGGGACATGAATGAGTGCAGAAAGAGAGAGGAAGAGAGTAGCTCAGTGCGCCATGGGAAATCCCCCCGATAGTCTAGGCCTATAGCAGCATAACTAAGGGATGGTTCAGGACTCACCTGATCCAGCCCTAACTATAAGCTTTATCAAAGAGGAATGTCTTAAGCCTACTCTTGAATGTGGAGAGGGTGTCTGCCTCCCGAACCACAACTGGAAGCTGGTTCCACAGGAGAGGAGCTTGGTAACTGAAGGCTCTGGCTCCTGTTCTACTTTTAGAGACTATAGGAACCACAAGTAGCCCAGCATTCAGAGAACGTAGTGTTCTAGTGGGGTAATAGGGTACTATGAGCTCTTTAAGATATGAAGGGGCCTGACCATGAAGAGCTTTATAGGTGAGGAGGAGTATTTTAAATTCAATTCTACATTTTATAGGGAGCCAATGCAGAGTAGCTAGTACAGGAGAGATGTGATCTCTTTTTCTAGTTCCTGTCAGTACTCGTGCTGCAGCGTTCTGAATTAATTGGAGCGTTTTAATGGACTTATTGGGGCAACCTGATAATAAAGAGTTGCAGTAATCCAGCCTTGAAGTAACAAATGCATGGATTAGTTTTTCTGCATCTGTCTGTGATAGTATGTGTCTAATTTTTCTAATATTACGTAAATGAAAGAAGGCAGTCCTAGAGGTCTGCTTTATGTGGGAGTTAAATGACAAATCCTGATCAAAGATAACTCCAAGATTCCTGACAGTGGTGCTAGAGGCCAAGTTAATGCCATCTAGAGTGACTATATCTTTAGACAATGAGTCTCTAAGGTTTTTGGGGCCAAGAACAAGAATTTCGGTTTTTTCTGAGTTTAACATCAGAAAATTGCAGGTCATCCAGGATTTTATGTCCTTAAGACATGTTTGTAATTTAGATAATTGATTAATTTCATTGGGTTTGATTGATAGATATAACTGCGTATCATCTGCATAACAGTGAAAGTTAATGGAGTGATTCCTAATAATGTTGCCTAAAGGGAGCATATATAAAGTAAATAGTATTGGTCCAAGTACAGAACCTTGTGGAACTCCATGACTAACTTTAGTATTTATGGAGGATTCATCGTTAACATGTACAAACTGAGAACGATCTGATAAGTATGACTTAAACCAGGTTAGGGCAGTTCCTTTAATGCCAATTTGATGCTCAAGTCTCTGTAAAAGAATATCATGGTCAATGGTGTCAAATGCAGCACTAAGATCTAATAATACAAGTACAGAGACAAGTCCATTGTCAGAAGCAGTCAGAAGGTCATTATTAACTTTAACCAGAGCTGTCTCTGTGCTATGATGAGCTCTAAATCCTGACTGAAAATCCTCAAATAAACTATTGTTATGTAGAAAGTCACACAACTCTTTGGCGACTACTTTCTCCAGAATCTTAGAGAGGAACGGGAGGTTAGAAATCGGTCTATAGTTGGCTAAAACCCCTGGGTCAAGAGTAGACTTTTTAAGAAGGGGTTTAATTACAGCTACTTTAAAGGACTGTGGTACATATCCTGATAATAAAGAAAGATTAATCATATCCAGTAAAGAAGTGCCAATTAAGGGAACAACTTCTTTAAGCAGCCTAGTTGGGATCGGGTCTAACAGACAGGTTGATGGCTTCGATGAAGAAATGATTGAAGTTAACTGATGAAGATCGATTGCAGAAAAACAGTCTAAATATACATCTAAGTTTACATTGACAGAAGTCCCTGAACTTGGAGAGCCACTGATAACTGTTGATGGCAGTTGGTGATTAATTTTTTCTCTAATAGTAATAATTTTATTATAGAAGAAGCTCATGAAGTCATTGCTACTTAAGTTTATGGGGATATGTGGCTCAATAGAGCTGTGACTCTCTGTCAGCCTGGCTACAGTGCTGAAGAGGAACCTAGGGTTGTTCTTATTTTCTTCTATTAGTGCTGAGTAATAGGCTCCTCTGGCATTACGGAGGGCCTTTCTATAAATCTTAAGATCATCTTGCCAATTTGAGCGATATTCTGATAATTTGGAAGAGCGCCATTTCCTTTCAGATTTCCTAGCTATTTGCTTTAACTGGCGGGTTTGGTGGTTATACCAAGGTGCTAGTCTCCTATGTTTTAATAATTTCCTTTTTATAGGAGCGATAGAGTCTAATGTTGATCGTAGTGAGCCTGTAGCACTATCGACAAGATTATCAATTTCAGAGGGACTAAAGTTGTTATAGGACTCTGTTAAATTCAGACATGGCATTGAATTAAACACTGAAGGAATCTCCTCCTTAAATTTAGCTACAGCACTGTCAGATAGACATCTGCTGTAGGAAGTTTTGCCTAATGGCTTATAATCTAATAGTATGAATTCAAAAGTTACTAAATAATGGTCAGATAGGAAAGGATTATGTGGGAAGACTATTAAATGTTCAATATCAATGCCATATGATAAAACAAGGTCAAGAGTGTGATTAAAACAATGAGTTGGTTTATTTACACTCTGACAGAAGCCAATTGAGTCTATTAATGATATAAATGAAAAAAAATAGTAGTGACTGATGATGATGAACATAAAGGGATTGATAACGACAACAACAAAAACGATGGGGGACAATGAGCAGTGACAATAGTAATAATAGTAACTGTAGTAATAATAATATTAATAATAATAACAGTAATATCAGTGATATTGGCAATGGCAGTCAAGCAGCACCATGGCAGGAGGCTCCACCAGAATCCATGAGAACCTGCGAGACGAGAAAGCACAAGAACTCCGGGGAAGAAGTGAAGTTAGTAACATGCATTAATGGAACATGAATGAGTGCAGAAAGAGAGAGAGAAGAGAGGAGCTCAGTGCACCATGGGAAATCCCCCGATAGTCTAGGCCTATAGCAGCATAACTAAGGGATGGTTCAGGACTCACCTGATCCAGCCCTAACTATAAGCTTTATCAAAGAGGAATGTCTTAAGCCTACTCTTGAATGTGGTGAGGGTGTCTGCCTCCCGAACCACAACTGGAAGCCGGTTCCACAGGAGAGGAGCTTGGTAACTGAAGGCTCTGGCTCCTGTTCTACTTTTAGAGACTATAGGAACCACAAGTAGCCCAGCATTCAGAGAACGTAGTGTTCTAGTGGGGTAATAGGGTACTATGAGCTCTTTAAGATATGAAGGGGCCTGACCATGAAGAGCTTTATAGGTGAGGAGGAGGATTTTAAATTCTATTCTACATTTTACAGGGAGCCAGTGCAGAGAACTAATACAGGAGAGATGTGATCTCTTTTTCTAGTTCCTGTCAGTACTCGTGCTGCAGCGTTTTGAATTAATTGGAGCGTCTTAATGGACTTATTGGGGCAACCTGATAATAAAGAGTTGCAGTAATCCAGCCTTATCAAAGATAATTCCAAGATTCCTGACAGTGGTGCTAGAGGCCAAGGTAGTGCCATCTAGAATAACTATATCTTTAGACAGTGAGTCTCTGAGATTTTTGGGGCCAAGTACAAGAATTTAACATCAGAAAATTGCAGCTCATCCAGGATTTTATGTCCTTAAGACATGTTTGTACAGTGTATTAATACGGTGTAGTATTTGTACATTGTATTTGTAGAGTGTACGAAGCTGTAGTGAACGTGTGAAGCTGCAGTCAGCGTGTGACGCTGCAGTCAGCGTACGAAGCTGCAGTGAACGTGAAGCTGCAGTCAGCGTACGAAACTGCAGTCAGTGTACAAAACTGCAGTGAACGTGTGAAGCTGCAGTCAGCGTGTGAAGCTGCAGTCAGCGTGTGAAGCTGCAATCAGGGTACGAAGCTGCAGTCAGCGTACGAAGTTGCAGTCAGCGTGGGAAGCTGCAGTGAACGTGCGAAGCTGCAGTGAACGTGCGAAGCTGCAGTGAACGTGCGAAGCTGCAGTCAGCGTGCGAAGCTGCAGTCAGCGTGTGAAGCTGCAGTGAACGTGTGAAGCTCCAGCAGCCCCCAGCGGCACAGACACCAACTGCAGCTTCTCACTGAACAGCTTTCCTTTGATTTTATACTTAAGTTAATAAATTAATGTTGTTTTTGTTGTTGTAATGCATTCAGGAGCTGTTAAGTAAATTAAACAATAAAAAGTAAACGTGTCATTTTCAAACTTTATTCATATTAGTTTTATACTGCACGGCTTCTTCAGACAACATTTATTTACATTAACAAATACAAAAATACAAATTTAGGAAAAAGCAGAATGACTGTACACTGTACAAACATCCAACTCAACTTCCTGTTTGGAACACTGCAGGTTACAGGTGAGTCCAGGTGAGTCCAGGTGAGTCCAGGTGAGACACGAACTGCTGTTTAAACTGAACTTTAGTAAATAAACATTATCCAGCAGCTGAGTTCAAACCTCAGACACAATATTTCATCCTGGAATTACAAACTTCTTTCTGATTTTAACGAAAATCCTCTCAGAGAAACCCCTTTCGGTTTCTACGGTAAAGGGACCCTGCTGTCGCCATGGCGACAAGACCAGAATATTGTGATAAGTTTTTCTCAAAATATTTTTACTTTACTGTTATCAGAGCTCCTGATGGCCGATAAACAAATACAAACACATACAGATCTTTGGATATCAGAAGCAATCAATCGATCAATACATCAACGACTGAAAACTAATCCCTTCAACAATCTTCCTCTGAGACGGTTTCCATGGCAACCTGCTGGTTGCACCGGACGGAGCTGTCCATAAATAAATGCTGTAGTGAATGCAGTGTACCAGAATCTCTGATCGCCATAGCAACAGTAAGGCCTCTGATTGGTTCAGGAACAGAACAGCTGTGACATAATTTGCAAGGCGGCGTGATGTCAGCAGGGCGGGTTCCCTCGCAGCCCCAGAGGGACCAGCCTTGGCATCGGCCTCCAGGTCACGCCCCCTTCCCTTCTCCCCGCTCTTCCTCCTCTTCCTCCTCCCTCAACTGCTGGGCTGGCACTTCTGGCGGGGGACGCCACTGTGGACCCGCCCACCTTCATCTGCAGCAGAGGGGGCGGAGCCAGGACGCCAGCTGTAGAGTCTCCATTAGCAGGTCGGGGCTGCGGCCCCGACTCCTCTGTCTCTGTGTTAACAGTATCATCAGAGTCCGAGTCCAGCTGCAGGAGCCAGGGGCTGTGGCCTGGCCCCGAATCCGGTGGCCCCTCCTCTGGTTGTCCAGCCTCAGAGGGTGGTTGCCCTGGTAACTGGAGCGCCGCTGCCTGCTGGTTGAGGAAGACAATCTCGTTCAGGAGGGAGGTCAGACTCTGCTGGTCCAGGTCCTCTCTGGACCCCTCCTGCTGCTCTGGTTTCAAATGCCCCCCCACCGGGACATCTAGATCCTCTGTGGTCCCCTCCTGCTCCGGGACCCCAGCCTGGAGACTGGAACCTGGTCCCTGAGTGGAGAATGCAGATGGTGAGGTGGACTGGGATGGTGCCTGGTCCTGGTCTGGTCCAGCAGAGACCACTGCAGGAGGAGGAGGGACATCCTGCTGGGGGGCTTGTGCTTGTGCTTGTTGTTTTTGTTGTTGTGGTTGTTGCGGTGTAGTTGATGGTTGAACCAGCTGCAGCAAGTTGTTAAAGTCTGAAAACCATAAAAAGCACAATTCAGGTTATCGGAAGTCAATCAGTGAGTGAATCAATGAGTCAGTGAGCGAATCAGTGAATGAATCAGTGAGTCAGTGAGCGAATCGGTGATCAGTGAGTGAATCAGTGAATCAGTCAGTCAGTGAGTCAGTGATTGAGTTAAGCTGTTTTTTAGTTTATTAGTTACCTGTGAGGTGTTGTCAGTTAGTTGATCGTTAGTTAATTGTTAGTTAATTGATAATTAGTTGTTAGTTGTCAGTTGATTGTCAGTTCATTTTTAGTTAGTTGTCAGTTAATTGTTAGTTGTTGGTAAATTGTCAGTTAGTTGTTGGTAAATTGTCAGTTAAGTGTTAGTTTTTAGTTGTTGGTAAACTGTCAGTTAGTTGTTGGTAAATTGTCAGTTAAGTGTTAGTTGTTGGTAAATTGTCAGTTAAGTGTTAGTTGTTGATAAATTGTCAGTTAAGTGTTACTTGTTGGTAAATTGTCAGTTAAGTGTTACTTGTTAGTTGTTGATAAATTGTCAGTTAAGTGTTACTTGTTGGTAAATTGTCAGTTAAGTGTTAGTTGTAGTTGTTGGTAAATGGTCAGTCAATTGTTAATTGTAGTTGTTGGTAAATTGTCAATTAGTTGTTAGTTGTAGGTAAATTGTCAGTTAGTTGTTAGTTAGTTGTAGTTACCTGTGAAGTTGGTGACGGTGGAGCTGCTGTAGATCTTACCAGTTGGGTGGTGGTGCAGTGATGTAAGATGGATCTGATTGGTCAGACTGGGGATGTTGAGGGTGACTGAGGCCACGCCTACAGACAGAGAAGAGGACATGTCTTACTTCAGAATAAAAGCATGTTGAAGCAGAGAACAGAGGCAGTGAGCCGTCATTACCTGGTGTAGGAGACGTCTGCAGCATCGTCGGGCCACCCATCATCGGGCCCAAGGTCAATACTGGTTGCCCTGGCAACGCAGCCCTGACCAGGGACAGAATCTCAGCCGGTAACAGAAAAGATGCTGCCTCTGGAAAAAGATTTATTAATCAATCAAATAAAATAATCAATCACTCTGAAATACTGATAATAAAACAACTCAAAACAACCAATGAAACCTGACACTAATCAATATTTCTTTTATTCATTTAATGTCTTTGTATAAGTCGGTTAGTGAGTCAGTCAGCTAATGAGCTAGTGTGTCTGTTAGTGAGTCAGTTAGTGAGTCTGTTAGAGAGTCAGTCCGGTAATGAGTCAGTCTGTTAATGAGTCTGTCTGTTAATGAGTCAGTTAGTGAGCCGGTTAGTGAGTCAGGTAGTGAGTCAGGTAGTGAGTCTGTTAGTGAGTTGGTTGAGTCAGTTAGTGAGTCAGTGCGTTAATGAGTCAGTGAGTTAATGAGTAAATGAGTTAATGAGTCAGTGAGTTAATGAGTCAGTGTTTTGTATATTATTAAGTTTTGTATGAAATTGTGTAACTTGAAACAGCAGATCGATCAATCAATCAATCAATCAATCAATCAATCAATCAAAGGATCAGTTCCATGCTGCAGTTCTTACCCTCCGCATTCTTTGTGAGCAGGGACGAGGGTTTAGCAGGATTCTTACTGCGAGACAGGATGTTGGGGACCGTCCTCGGCCTGCCTCTCAGCAGTGATGCATTGTGGGATACACCGGGAGGAGCCAGGCTGGGCTTACTGTTAGTCCGGACAGGTGTGGAGGTGGGAGGGGCAGACAGAGCAGTGGGAGGTGCTTGCTGCTTTAGCTTAGAGGATGTGATCATGATGTCGTCATCAGTTGTGTCTCCTGAGGAAGGCTCAGAGGCTTCGCCCCCTGCGGGCAGCCGCTTCCTCTGATTGGACGATAGGTGTTGCATCTTCCTGAGTCTCTGCTCACCTTTACCTGCAGCCACAAGCACAGACACGTTACATCTCCACCTACAGGTCAATGATGCCCACAACAGCCCCAACTCACTTTTACTATTGATTCAAATTTCTGACACATCGGTTTGTTTGACATTCAGTTCGAGGTAACAATGCCTGATTGATCACCTGACTGATCACTTGATTGATCACCTGATTGATCAACGACCTGACTATCAGTTCTGTCTGCAGATTTATCTTCAACATGGCCACTGTTATAAACTGTATTTACTGTTTTAAAGCCTCATTATGTAACTTTACAGGAACATTATCCTGCTAATGTTCCTCAGTAATGTAATGTCAGTAATAATAACAGTCAGTAATAATACCAGTCAGTAATATCAGTCCGTAATATCAGTCAGTAATAATAACAGTCTAATTAAGGCTGCAAGCAGCATTGGGCGGGACCTCGCACTCCACGCAACTCGGGACGTGGTGTGGCCGCGTCACATGCCGTCGTAACACGTTCGGACCACAACATGAAATTGTCACGTCACCCCACTCCCAAGCCCTCATCGCCAGAAGCTGAGGGAGACCACTCTACGTTGTCACACGTTTCAGACACTGCAAAAGACTTAAGCTTTCATAGAGAGACTCTTCACTGCAAAAGGTGGAAATTCAGCGCCACGCCACGGACACACAGTTTGATGCACAGTAAATATTTGATTAACTTATGATCACCAATGTGTCTAGATTGCAGTGATCGAATATGAATTCAATATGATAAAATCTGTAGGAGTTAGTTAAAATAGAAGCCCTGAAATGCCGGAAATGGCATCACAGTGGCCGACTTTGACGGCACGCCACGGACACACCCTTCATGTACTGACCAATTTTGAAGTAGATCCGATAAGTCCCCTATGAGGAGTTCATTCAAATAGAAGGCAAGAATTCATCAAAAATGACCAAAGAATTCAAAATGCCCAACTTTGACAGCACGCCATGGACACGCCCTTCAACGTACAGTCACAAAAAGCACGGCGTTTAATCAGCAACATTTTTTGACTGTACTGACAAAATTTGAAGTCGAGCCGATAAAACCTGTAGGAGAAGTTAGTTCAAATAGAAGCCCTAAAATGCCAAAAAAGGCCTCACAGTTTGACATTCGATTCAAAATGGCCAACTTTGAAGGCAAGCCACGGACACACCCTTCAACGTACAGTCGCAAATAGCACGACGTTCAGTCAGCAACATTTTTTGACAGTACTGACAATTTTGAAGCAGATCCGATAAATTCCCTAGGAGGAGTCGGATCAAAAGTGAAAATGACAAACAAAATGGCAGCCGAGAGTGAAAATGAAAATGAAAATAGCCGACTTCCTGTGGGTTTTGGGGCATGGGTCCAAGAGAATTTTCTGTAGGTCTTGGCACATAACACGTGCCTACCGAGTTTCATACATATTGGTGAAACGTGGCGCCGGGCTGCTTTTTTAAAATCCTGTAGGGGGGCTACAAACACGACAAACACAATTTTTGGTATGTGAGCTAAAGGCTCCAGTCTACACATGTCCTGTGAATTTCATATTCATAACTATTACGGTGTCCGCAGAGTGATTTACCCTGCCACCAGAGCACCACCCAGTAGCGTGATTTTTCTCCTTTTTAGGTGAGCCTCCTACTACATACTACAGTTAGTCATGGTGTTCCACAAGGTTCTGTACTTGGACCAATACTATTTACTCTATATATGCTCCCTTTAGGCAACATTATTAGGAATCACTCCATTAACTTTCACTGTTATGCAGATGATATGCAGTTATATCTATCGATCAAGCCCGATGAAATTGATCAATTATCTAAATTACAAATATGTCTTAAGGAAATAAAATCCTGGATGACCTGCAATTTTCTGATGTTAAACTCAGATGAAAATGAAATTCTTGTACTTGGCCCCAACAGCCTTAGAGACTCACTGTCTAAAGATATAGTTACTCTAGATGGCATTACCTTGGCTTCTAGCACCACTGTCAGGAATCTTGGAATTATCTTTGATCAGGATTTGTTATCCAATTCCCACATAAAGCAAACCTCTAGGACTGCCTTCTTTCATTTACATAATATTACAAAAATTAGACACATCCTATCACAGACAGATGCAGAAAAACTAATGCATTTGTTACTTCTAGGCTGGATTACCACAACTTTTTATTATCAGGTTGCCTCAACAAGTCCATTAAAACGCTCCAATTAATTTAGAACGCTGCAACATGAGTACTGACAGGAACTAAAAAAAGAGATCACATCTCTCCTGTACTAGCTTCTCTGCACTGGCTCCCTGTAAAATGTAGAATAGAATTTAAAATCCTCCTCCTCACCTATAAAGCTCTTCGTGGTCAGGCCCCTTCATATCTTAAAGAGCTCATAGTACCCTATTACCCCTCTAGAACACTACGTTCTCTGAATGCTGGGCTACTTGTGGTTCCTATAGTCTCTAAAAGTAGAACAGGAGCCAGAGCCTTCAGTTACCAAGCTCCTCTCCTGTGGAACCAGCTTCCAGTTGTGGTTCGGGAGGCAGACACCCTCTCCACATTCAAGAGTAGGCTTAAGACATTCCTCTTTGATAAAGCTTATAGTTAGGGCTGGATCAGGTGAGTCCTGAACCATCCCTTAGTTATGCTGCTATAGGCCTAGACTATCGGGGGATTTCCCATGGTGCACTGAGCTCCTCTCTCTTTCTGCACTCCTTCATGTCCCATTAATGCATGTTACTAACTTCACTTCTTCCCCGGAGTTCTTGTGCTTTCTCGTCTCGCAGGTTCTTGTCGATACTGGTGGAGCCTCCTGCCATGGTCCTGCTAGATTGCCATTGCCAATACTGTTGTTGCTGTGCACCTGTCTGTCTGTCCGTCTGTCTCTCTCTCTCTCTCTCTCACCCCAACTGGTCGAGACAGAAGACCACCCACCTAGAGCCAAAGGATCTGTCCTAGGTTTCTGCCTTTTAACAGGCAGTTTTTCCTTGCCCTTGTCGCCAAGTGCTTGCTCATTGTGGTACTGTTGGGTCTCTGTAAATAATGTTAAAGAGTTCGGTCTAGACCTGCTCTATTTGAAAAGTGTCCTGAGATAACTTCTGTTATGAATTAGCGCTATACAAATAAAATTTAATTGAATTGTAGATTTTTCGTCAAAACAAGAAGTGGGGCATTTCCCCACATTGGTTTGTCCAATTGACACCAAGCTTGGGTCCTTAGTTCTCCATGCCTTCCTTAGGCATTGTGCAGGCCATCGCCACAAGGTGGCGCTCTTTAAAATGAACAAGTTTATATCTCCGCATCGGCACATGTGATTAAAAGAAAACTTGGTAAAATGATTCCACATGGCTCCCTGAGGTTCGCTTAAAAATGTGTCAACAATCCGCCACTAGGTGGCGCTCTGGTGGCATGGTAAATCACTGTGCGGATGAAATTCACAGGGCACGTGTAGACTGGTGCCTGTGGCTCACATACCAAAAATCGTGTTTGTCGTGTTTGTAGCGCACCCTACAGTATTTGAAAAATGCAGCCCCAGCGTCACATTCACCGATATGTATGAAACTCAGTAGGCACGTGTAACGTGCCGAGACTTACAAAAAAGCCTCTTGGACCCATAACCCAAACCCCATGGGAAGTTGGCCATTTTGTTTTTCATTTTCACCTTCGGCTAACTTTTTGCCTTGTATTTGAACGAAATCCTCCTAGGAAATTAATCGGATCTACTTCAAAATTGGTCAGTACAGATAGAACATGTTGCTGATTAAAAGTTGTGCTATTTGTGCACGCACATTAAAGAGCGTGTCCGTGGTGTGGCATCAAAGTCAGCCATTTTGACTTTTTTTGTCATTTGCTGTGATTTTTCGTGTTGTATTTGAACGAACTCCTCCAAGGGAATTCATTGGATCTGCTTCTAAATTGGTCAATACAGTCAAAGTAAGTTGCTGATTAAAAGTGTACGATGTCCAATGTCCACTAAACTTCACATATTCTGTAACAGTCCCACCCTGAACACATCCTCACAACTTCAGTGTATGTGGTCCAATCTCAATGAAATTTCACACGTTTGATAAGAGTCCCGCCCTGAACACGTCTTCATGACAATATTCAGATATAGTGAGAGCGCCACCTACTGGCAACAGGAAGTAAATCTGATTTACGTGAAATTTTCATGTTGTGGTCCACATGTGTTACGACGACACGTGACGCGGCCGCAGCACACCCCGAGTTGCGTTTAGTGCGAGGGCCCGTTCATCGCTGCTTGCAGCTTTAATTATTATTATTATTATTACTACTACAGTTACTATTATTATAATCACTGCTCATTGTCCCCCATCGCTGTTGTCAACGGCATCATCCTCTTCATGTTCATCATCATCAGTCACTACTATTAGTGTAGTTGTTGCTACTGTTGTTGCTGTGCACCTCTCTCTCTCTCTCTCACACACTCTCTAATCCTAACCCCAGGTGTAATATTAATGCTAATATATATACGTTGGCAGTAACTCTGTCCTACATCCCATAATTCATCATTTTAGCTCTCATTGAGGATGTGGTTGTTTGTTAGAGAAGGGTCCAGCATGAACTCCAGAAATCAGCCGTCTTATCAAAGCAGCCACATTCACAAGTCCTTATTTATACAGACTATAACCACGGTGACAAACTGTCCATCAGCTTCCTCACCTGGTCTCTGGGAGGTCGGACCGGTCTTCAGATGATCCTGAAACAGAAACCAGATCCACTTTCACCAAACCCGCTGCCTTCAGTGTTCAATAAGCATCTATTAGTTCTGTATTTGTCTGAATTACTCACACTATCACATAAATGATTAAAATTCAGTTATAAAATGTTTTATCTTCCTCACTGACACTATTACAGATATCACTGACACTATCTGTGTTAGTGAGCACTTCTCCTTTGCCGAGATAATCCATCCACCTCACAGGTGTGGCATATCAAGATGCTGATCAGACAGCATGGGTATTGCACAGGTGTGCCAGAGCATCCCAAACATGCTCAATGGGTGACATGTCCAGTGCAAATGCTGGCCATGCAAGAACTGGGATGTTTTCAGCTTCCAGGAATTGTGTACAGATCCTTGCAACATGGGGCCGTGCATTATCATGCTGCAACATGAGGTGATGGTCGTGGATTCAATTCAATTCAATTCAATTCAATTTTATTTGTATAGCGCCAATTCATAACAGAAGTTATCTCATCAGGACACTTTTCAAATAGAGCAGGTCTAGACCGAACTCTTTAAAACATTTACAGAGACCCAACACCCCCACCATGAGCAAGCACTAGGCGACAAGGGCAAGGAAAAACTACCTGTTAAAAGGCAGAAACCTAGGACAGATCCTCCGGCTCTAGGTGGGTGGTCGTCTGCCTCGACCAGTTGGGGTGAGTGAGGAGAGAGAGAGAGAGAGAGAGAGAGAGAGAGAGAGAGAGAGAGACAGATAGACAGACAGACGCACAGCAACAACAGTATTGGCAATGGCAATAACGATGGGCCTCAGGGTCTCTTCACGGTATTGCTGTGCTTTCAAAATGCCATCAATAAAATGCACCTGTGTTCGTTGTCCATAACACACACCTGCCCATACCATAACCCCACCGCCACCATGGGCCACTCGATCCACAACGTTGACATCAGCAAACCACTCACCCACACGACGCCATACATGCTCTCTGCCATCTGCCCTGTACAGTGAAAACCGGGATTCATCCGTGAAGAGAACACCTCTCCAAAGTGTCAGACGCCATCGAATGTGAGCATTTGCCCACTCAAGTGGGTTACGATGACGAACTGCAGTCAAGTCGAGACCCCAATGAAGACGACGAAAATGCAAATGAGCTTCCCTGAGACGGTTTTATTGTGGCCAGCCTAAGGCACACCTGTGCAGTACCCGTGCTGTCTGATCAGCATCTTGTTATGCCACACCTGTGAGGTGGATGGATTATCTTGACAAAGGAGAAGTGCACACTAACAGATTTTGACAGATTTGTGAACAATATTTGAGAGAAATAGGCCTTTTGTGTACATAGAGAAAGTCTTGGTGCAAAAACGCAAGTGTTGCGTTTATAATTTTGTTCAGTGTATGTATGTGTTCATAACTATAATTGTATTTTAAAACCTTTCGTATGTTGGTCGTCTTGGCAACGAGTCTCTCCTCATCAGACGAGTCTCCAGTCAGCTCGTCCGTCTCACGTCTCTCTGGCAGCTCAGTGTCGGACTCAGGTGAGCTCACCTGTCTGCTCTCCTCTGAACATAAACAACACAAACAACAATAACAACACAAACACTGATGAACACAGCAGAGCTCGACGTCTTTATCCGTATCCAACATTTCTGTGTTTCTACGTTGGGACTCGAGCAGCAACTCAGTGACAAACTTCATTAGTCTCTGACTCTCAAACAACGGCTAAAACATCCACTCTGTCCACACGCATGTGCTCTCTGTCATACATGTGAAGTAAGAGACCTCCTCCACACACCCACACACAGGTGAGTGAGTGCTCCTTCACTGTCTCTTAGCTAGTAACCATAGCTGTACAGTTAGCTGTAGCGTTAACCTCCTGTCTATTATTCACCTCTTCAGCCCAAATTGTTCTATAAAATAATGGATACTTTTTTTCCAGGACCTTTCCAGGAGGCTTTCATCTTTGTAGACCAGCACTCTAGTTTGTGTCCGCTCAGAAGGGCTCTGTGAGTTCACCTCCATCGGTTCAGTTGCTATTATGCATTCTTTTCAATAAAATGTTATTAACTTTTTAACTTCCTGCTTTTGGTACCTGTTGTTGGAGCAATGGTGCTGAGGTATTGATCCCTCCTCTTCGTCAGCTTCTTCTTCTTCTTCTTCAGATACGCCTCAAACATCCTCAGCTCCTCGATCACCACCACCGCCTGCAACAGGCAGACACACACCTGAATTCACCACACAGCACATACAGTGAACTCTGCAGGTACAGTGAACTCCGCAGATACAGTGAACGACGCAGGTACAGTGAAGGCGCAGGTACAGTGAACTCCGCAGGTACAGTGAAAGCACAGGTACAGTGAACAAACCATCCTCAGCGTGGAGATCTTTGAAGCTTTGTCATCACTCAGTCCCACTTCTGTCCTCAGACGTTCAAACAGCTGCCGCATCTCCCCTCGCCGCCGTTTCTCTGTGGCGTTATGATTGTGCCGCTGACGCTCACTCTGACAAACAAAGATAGAAAATAAGGCTTACATTGTCTTTTTGACCCATTTACAGACACTCTTACTTTGAAAATATCAAACCAACTTTCTCTTACATCATTGTTGGTGCTGGACTGTTCTTCACTGTCTGTCTCCTCTCCAAAGTCTGACGAATTCTCTGTGTCGCTGCCCGCCGGCCACTCCCTCTCCACCTCCGTTGGCTCCTCCCTCTCCACCGGCATCTCCACCTCCGTTGGCTCCTCCCTCTCCACTGGCATCTCCACCTCCGTTGGTTCCTCCCTCTCCACTGGCATCTCCCCCTCCGTTGGCTCCTCCCTCTCCACTGGCATCTCCCCCAGCATCTCCTCCTTTGTTGGGTCCTCCCTTTCCACCAGCATCTCCCCCTCTGTTGGCTCCTCCCTCTCCACCGGCATCTCCCCCTCTGTTGGCTCCTCCCTCTCCACCGGCATCTCCCCCTCTGTTTGCTCCTCCTGCTCGACGGTGTCCAATGAGTTCTTTGCCCCGCCTGCTGTCTCTGTGGTAACCAGCTCCGTCTCTTTGTCCACAGAGATGACATCCAGGTTCACCGGGTTGTGAGCCAGTTCCGGCTCAGGGGGATTTGGCTGGGGTGTGACCTCTGACCCTGGCGGTGCCAGAGGAGGTTTCTGATTGACTAACACCCCACCAGGACCCGCAGAAACCGTCACGGTTTTGACACCAAGCTCCACCCCTCGGCCCGAGGAGGGTTTGAGGGAGATGAGGTTCATTTGGGTTTGGGTGGGGGCAGGCCGGAGGAGCGTGAAGGAGCCTGGGGCCACCTCGCTGAAGGGGCGGGGGGGCACTTTAGCACAGGTGACGATGATTGGTTCCTTACTGGAGTTGGGGGGTAGGATCTTAAAGGTGCACGTCCCCTTCTGAGCCAGAACACTGGAGTAGGGACAGAGCGGGGACGAGAGGGGGGACACAGAGAAGGACCGGAAGCCAGAAAGAGAGGAGGAGGAGGTGGAGGAGGAAGAGCTCACTGTGGTCACAGGAGGAGTTTGATTCACAATCTTGCCGACTGAAGTCTGACACGATGCAGCAGGGAGGACTGAGAGGGAAGATGAGCCTGTAGGAGGGAGGAGACATTCAAACATACAGTTGTTTTGCTGTAAGGTAAAATAAGTTATTTTTCTTTTTCCACACACACACACACACACACACACACACACACACACACCTGTGCAGGTACAGTACCTCTGTGGACGGACTGGTTCTGGTTGACAGATCTCAGCTGGCTGATTGGAACAAGTTGGACCAGTTTGCCATCTGGTCTGCGGTAGTACTGGACGCCTGATGCAGCCTGGACTGGCTGCAGGACCATCCTCTGACCGATGGGGGGTGCAGGGCAGTGACCAGGTGCAGGACCAGGTGCAGGACCAGGTACAGGAACCTTCCCACGAAGACCTGGGACCTGAACTATGAACAGCGAGCCTTTAGAAGCCGGATTTACAGGGGGGACCACAGAGACCTGAGGGTCTGAAACACACCATCAGGAACGGGGTTTATTCATGGTTCTCAACGTGAGGGTCACAACCTCTCAGAGTCACGTGATCAGTCTGACATATTTCATTCATAACGCTGCAGACTGAGACTGTGGTGCTGCTATCAGACATTACATACACAAAACTCTAACCACATAACACATAGTCAACATTTATATTTCTCATATATAATGCTTTGCTAATAGTTCCATTACTCTAGCTCTGCAACAAAAACAACCTGCTGTTTTACCTCCAACTCCGGTTGGAAACCTCCCCAAAATATTTCAGTTTAGTTTCAGTTTCTACAGTCTGGATCTTATCACCTTCAGCTTTACAGAAGCCAGACTGGCTCCATATGCTGGCTGTAAGCTTTAATCTGGAGGGTCCAATCGTAAGGAACATTCAGCTGTAAGGAACATTCAACTGTAAGGTATGCTCAGTACAGCTGTAAGGAACATTCAACCGTAAGGAACATTCAACCGCAAGGAACATTCAGCCGTTAGGAACATTCAGCCGTTAGGAACATTCAGTTGTAAAGAACATTTAACTGTTAGGAACATTCAGCCGTAAGAAACATTCAGCTGTTAAGCACATTTAGCCGCAAGGAACATTCAGCTGTTAAGCACATTTAGCCATAAGGAACATTCAGCTATTAGGAACATTCAATTGTAAGGTATGCTCAGTACAACTGTAAGGAAAATTCAGCCGTAAGGAACATTCAGTTGTAAGGAACCTTCAGCCGTAAGAAACATTCAGGTGTTAATTCAATTCAATTCAGTTTTATTTTTATAGCGCCAATTCATAACAGAAGTTATCTCAACACTTTTCAAATAGAGCAGGTCTAGACCGAACTCCTTATAACACTATTGTTAAGCACATTCAGCTGTGAGGAACATTCAGCTTTAAGGGACTGTCAGCCGTAAAAAACATTCAGCTGTTAAGCACATTTAGCCGTACGGAACATTCAGCTGTTAGAAACAATTTAGCTTTAAGGATTATGTTGTAAGGAACTTTCAGCTGTTAGGAAAATTCAGCTGTTAGGAACATTCAGCCTGTTGACTGATACAGCAGTTTTATTAATAATTGTGATATTATAATAATAATAATAATAATAATATATTAATGTTAAGTAATGAATATCTGTGCTGATAAACACTGATATTACCTGTGGTGGGGGGCGGAGCTATCAGAAGTTCCAGGTACCACTCTGACCTGACTGGCCCTTCCTGGAGGAGGTGGTAAAATCCTCACCGTGACAAGCCCGGACCCTGCCCCCTCAGGTGCTTCAGGCTGGTCAGAGGAGGCAGCTGACTGGTGGCGCTTCACTGGTGGAGGCGGAGCCACTGCGACAGACGTTACATTCAATTAATATATATACACATACACACAGTATATATAAATGTTGTTGCTATGCACCTGTCTGTCTGTCTGTCTGTCTCTCGCTCTCTCTCTCTCTGCCTCTCTCTCTCTCTCTCTCTCTCTCTCACCCCAACTGGTCGAGACAGACGACCACCCACCTAGAGCCGGAGGATCTGTCCTAGGTTTCTGCCTTTTAACAGGCAGTTTTTCCTTGCCCTTGTCGCCAAGTGCTTGCTCATGGTGGTACTGTTGGGTCTCTGTAATTAATGTTAAAGAGTTCGGTCTAGACCTGCTCTATTTGAAAAGTGTCCTGAGATAACTTGAATTGGCGCTATACAAATAAAATTGAATTGAATTGAATTGAATTGAATAATGACAGTGTATATAATGGACAGTGTCTTAAAACCTGCATTCTGTGTAAAGGACAGCAGGGGGAGCTCCACTGGCTGCAATATTAACTGATCCCATTCACTCTAATGGAGAATGAGCCGACTTAATTTCTGAGCTCAGTAAACAGTTTCCTGATGAGTTTCTGGTCTCAGTCTCTAGTTTCAGTCTTGTTCCATACAGCATGATGTTCATTTAGTAACTGATGGTCCCATTTAGAGTAAAACAGACCATAAAGCAGGGTATGCTTTAGGGCGGGGCTACCTTGTGATTGACAGCTCATTCTCAGTGAGTCTGTCAATGCGCCAAACTCAGATCAAACTGTCAAACTAAGCAGTGCTGATCAGATATGGATCCAGATTCTGTTGTGTCTCTATTTCTCTCCTCAAATCAAGGCTTCAAACGGTTCTCCACAAACCAATAGGTGAAGTCACGACAGGTTCACAGTTGGAGAGAATGCTCAGGAGGAGGGAACCCTCTAGAGCACGGACAGGAAGTAGAATAAACCAACTTAATCCCATTAGATACAAATACTGATAACAATCATTGATTATCGCTCATGTATGAATGTAAACAATCCCTCTAGACTAAAATTAAAGTCTGTTCACCTGTAGATGAAGACGGGGGGGTGAGCACTGCCACCAACGGCTGAGACCTGGGCGGGGAAGAAGTCAAGGAGACAGTCTGAGGGGTAGGTCCTGAACTCTGAGGAGGTTTTGAGGAGGAAGAAGAACCTTGTTTCCTCCAGTTGGACCCCACCCGGCCAGTGAGGTAGGCTGCCAGCCGGTTGGCCGGATGAAGCGCCCCCATCTTCCCCAACTGGATCTTGGCCAGAGGATAGAGCTTTCCGTTGACCTGTAGGACGGTTCACATATCAGATCAATAAAAGACATCAATAGAAACAGTTCAGTGAACAGCCACTGGGGGCTCTGTTAACAACGGTTTAATGAAGCTGTGAGTGAAGTCCTGAAATGTCAGAATCATTATCATGGTCGGGGGTTAGTCCTCTTTCAGGAAATACTGACAGGAAGTTACCTGGACCGTATGGTCTGTTCCTCCCGGCTGTTTCCTATTGGCTGAGAGGAAGCCGGCGGGTGACACTCCTGTCAGGAACGGCAGGGCCATACTCGCCATCTTCTTCTTCTCCTCTGATCTCAATTTCAATTCCTCTCTGCCACTCTTTCTCCCATCATGCACCTGGTGAACAGTTGATCCGGCCTCCTCCTCGATGTCACCTTCCTCCACCTCTCGCTGCCAATCTTCAGGAGGCGCCGCCTCTTCCTCCTCCACCTCCCGCTGCCAATTCTCAACAGGCTCTTCCTCCTCCACCTCCTGCTGCCAATCTTCAACAGGCTCCACCCCCCTGACCTCCTGTTTCATACGCATGTAAACAGTGACATAAGGTGGATGTGGAGTTTATATGAGAGACTGATATCAGACTGGAAACAGTGGGACCTGTGGTGTGTAGAATGAAACTAGTGGTTGTACCTGTTGTTGTACCTGTTGTTGTAGTTTTCTCTCTCTCTGTTTTGCTCGCTGTGCTGGTTTCATTGGTGCTGCTGGTTTTTCCCGCTCCAGTTTGGGTCTGGAGATATGGATTTTATACTGGATGCAGCTGTTGGGGCCACTCTCCTCCACGGTCTGACCCATCGGACTGATGAGGTACTTCTTGATCCAGAACGGCTGGTCCAGGCGGTCCCAGGCCATCCTTTCACACAGCTCCTTCAGAACGAGGCTCTGGTCAGCCTCGCACGCCCACTGACACTCCGCCATGATGATCAGACGCTTTGAGGGCTTTGGTGGCGGCTCTGCTGGAGGAGTCGGGGGCCGGTTGGAGGGAGACGACTGAACTGGTTCACCTACTGAAGAAAAACCCAAAACCTCAACCATCACCAAAAAACACAGTCCTCTCACTTTTGTCCTGGTCCTGCTCAGGTGAGTTTCAAGTTGAATTATCAGTGTGTCACCTGTTTATATACCGTAATACATAATAAACGGCTCATACATATTATATGTTTATATACTGTAATAAGTTTGGTTCTCTGTGAACTGACCAGTGTTAAATTAACCTAACTGAACCTTTCACAATAAGAGCTGCTCTGCAGGCCTGATGGAGCTGACATCAGGTAACCTACCTGTTGGAAGGCCGGAGGGTCTGCTCTTTGTCTCCTTCAGTTTCAGGTTTCTCTGTTTTACAGGTTTCAGCTGAGCGTCTTTAGACTTCACATCTGTGGGCGACTCCTGGAGGAAAAACATCACACTGATTTGTAGATAAGCATTTTGTTACTGATCCCGTCTTCGAAAACATTATTGACTTCTGATTTGTCCTCTCTGACAGGGAACCAGCTCCGTAACAGTTCAAGCAGTTTTCAACCGTTCTGACCTTTTCATCAGAAGATTGTTGCAACGCAGACCTTTTCTCTTGTAACACAGGAAGTCTCTTACCACTGCACTGCTGCATATGCTAACTGTACTAGCTGCTATAAGTTAGTTATCAGTCACATTAGCTGTCTGTACCCAGACTGGGAGCTGGAAGGACAGGGGGAGTTTAAACTAGCGTGGGAATCAGTCTGCTTGTTGGTATTCTGACACATTCACAATCATTACTGCTGTTTCTGTTAGCATTTAACAGATTAAAAGCTCCTGTGGGCATCAGACAGCTCCTGCGAGCATCAGACAGCTCCTGCGAGATTGCATACAGCAGCTCACCTGGTTCTTATTCTACATTATTTCTTTATTTCAGTGACCAATCAGCAGCTTTACCTTCTGGATCTTCTTCTTCCCTCTGTAACCTCTGACCCTGGCACAGCTGCTGTGACCCTCCCCTTTCTCCTGGAGACAAACAGAGAATCGAACTGATCAGCAATCAGTGTACATCCAATGGTAACATAGTTATGTATCATCATATTAACAATCTGCAAATGTGATGTATGATCCAGTAACACTCTGCTGTCTGTTGAGGACTTTTATTTTTTAGACTTTTAGACTTTAAAGCTCATATAGGAGATAATGAACATTATACTCTCTATATACAGACACACAGTCACATGGTGTCTCACTCCCTCTGCCTGTGTTGTATCGCAGCCTCTCTGTTGTTTGTTTCCATAGCCGGTCTGCTCCGACTAAAACTGCTGTTTTTATCATCTACGTGGGTGAATTAAGGATTTATTTCCCCCAAACCAGAGTTGGTGATTGTTGGAAACACTAACAGAGACAGTTTTAATGAGTTTTATTCTATTTCTGTCCACTTTGAAGTGTTTTTAGGATTATCTGCTGGGTAAAATCACTGGTTTTGTGAATGGAGTCTGGTGGGACGTAGCGCTCATTGTTTTTGGTCTTTAAATACATTTTGTTGCTAATAATCAAAGTATAACAGTGAGTTTAACTGGTTATAAACAGTTTAATATGCATTCCGACTGATTATTATTAATGATTAATTATCATTATCAGCCCTTCAAATCAATGGAATACTACCCACACACGACCCATTAACATCAGTATCTAAATAATAATTATCACATTGATCAATAATCAGAGACTGATTCATCAGTATCGGTGAGTCCTTACACTGGGCCGGGGCAGGGATGGTACTTTGGGGACGTGGATGGGGTCTTGATCCAGGTCTGTCTGGTCTCTCTTCCACAGAGTCCGGACCTGCTCGGCAGGCTGGGAAACGCTGTCCGCCTCCTTCAGGACTACAGGAAGGCAGAAGACCAGCGAGTGAGTGAGGGGGGTCACAGGAGGACTGAGGATCAGGATCAAAGTCTACTTACTGTACGCCATCTTCATCCTCCTCTTCCTCTTCCTCTTCCTGCTGGTCCCATGGGGGGAGGGGCTGGAGTCAGACCCTTCCAGGTTCTTCAGGAGGACCACTTTCTGTTTGAGGCAGCTGCAGCCCAGCATGCAGGGGGGGCGGCCACAGTGGCTGGTCCTGACGGACTGGGACAGACTGGAACAGACGCAACCCAGTCTGCAGAATTCGTTTAAACAGGGGGGCACTCGTCTCCGGATCAGCTGGATGGGAGCTGTGGGGTTCTCACTGACGAAACCCTGAGGAGGAACCACAGAAACCATGAGGAACCCAGAGGAACTAGGAGGAACTAGAGGAAGCAGGAAAACTAACAAACTATCATTTTCTCCAGGTAACACTTCGTTTCACCATTTATATTATATTGTTATATATATATTATATTATATTATATATTAGTAAGTCAGTAAATGCGTTTGGATGCTACTGACATGGACAACATATCGGCAATAACTTGATTAAGTTATTAATTAATTAATGATTAAGCAAATGAAGACCCTGTTGATGTTATTAGACAAAGAGAGAAATCACTCTCATGGCTGATTGATCGTCAAACTATTTATAGTTGTTTTACAGTTTAGAGTCGCTTAACCAGGATGAACCAGGAAATCAAGAGGAACCAGAGGATTCAGGAGGAACCAGGAGGAACCAGAGGATTCAGGAGGAACCAGGAGAACCAGGAGGAACCATAAGGAACTGTCATTTTATTCGGGTAACTCTGCGTTTCACCGGTCTCCTGTCAATGGCGTCATATCCCCTGTGTGCCTGTGTCAGCGTTGTGGTTGTCTGCCAGAAGCTGTCATACATTGACTGTTTACCATCCACTGTTTAGATCTTGGTGCTTTTTAACTCTAGATTTGAACCGGATGAAGGATTTTAGTCATCGGACGTCTGGATCTTAAGTTATCAGAGAAACAAGTTGAGCTAAAGTTAGCATTAGCTCGGCTCGCAGCCGGGACGTCCTTTGTCTGCCCAACAGCGAGGGAGAAGCAGTGATTTTTAAGGTGGAACTGTTTTATTCAGTGTTTTTAGTGGTTTTAATCAGCATGTCTGTTTGTTTTGGAGAGGAGGAGACCTCTGTGGATAATTGGGCTCCCTGTAGAAACCTCCTGAACCATGAACACTAAAGGAATCCTAACCAGCAGAAGCTGACTGAACCTCTGGATCTGCTTTTCCTTTCAATGATTGTAATATTTTGTATGTTCTTATAATAATTATAGAATATTAATTTAAGTTTATGTGCGTCAGATGGTTCTGGCATCCATGTCGCCCATTAATTCCTGATAACAGACACCTCATCAGGCGTTATAGTTTAAAGAATATAACAGTCACAGTTAAATACTTTAACTACATTTTACTCTTTATACACATACTGTTACTGTAGTGACACGGTGTACTTGTAACAGAGTGTTTGTACTGCAGTAGTGCTGTAGTATTAGTGTCTACAGGGTGAACAGTGACAGCAGAGTGATGGCCGCCCTCTCCTCTGTGATACTGGTTCTGTATTAACTTTCACTGTTATGCAGATAATACGTAGTTATATCTGTCAATCAAACCCGATGAAATTAATCAATTATCTAAATTACAAACATGTCTTAAGGACATAAAATCCTGGATGACCTGCAATTTTCTGATGTTAAACTCAGAAAAAAACGAAATTCTTGTTCTTGGCCCCAAAAACCTTAGAGACTCACTGTCTAAAGATATAGTTACTCTAGATGGCATTAACTTGGCCTCTAGCATCACTGTCAGGAATCTTGGAGTTATCTTTGATCAGGATTTGTCATTTAACTCCCACATAAAGCAAACCTCTAGGACTGCCTTCTTTCATTTACGTAATATTACAAAAATTAGACACATACTATCACAGACAGATGCAGAAAAACTAATCCATGCATTTCTTACTTCAAGGCTGGATTACTGCAACTCCTTATTATCAGGTTGCCCCAATAAGTCCATTAAAACGCTCCAATTAATTCAGAACGCTGCAGCACGAGTACTGACAGGAACTAGAAAAAGAGATCACATCTCTCCTGTACTAGCTTCTCTGCACTGGCTGCCTGTAAAATGTCGAACAGAATTTAAAATCCTCCCCCTCACCTATAAAGCTCTTCATGGTCAGGCCCCTTCATATCTTAAAGAGCTCATAGTACCCTATTACCCCACTAGAACACTACGTTCTCTGAATGCTGGGCTACGTGTGGTTCCTATAGTCTCTAAAAGTAGAACAGGAGCCAGAGCCTTCAGTTACCAAGCTCCTCTCCTGTGGAACCAGCTTCCAGTTGTGGTTCTGGAGGCAGACACCCTCTCCACATTCAAGAGTAGGCTTAAGACATTCCTCTTTGATAAAGCTTATAGTTAGGGCTGGATCAGGTGAGTCCTGAACCATCCCTTAGTTATGCTGCTATAGGCCTAGACTATCGGGGGATTTCCCATGGTGCACTGAGCTCCTCTCTTTCTCTCTCTTTCTGCACTCATTCATGTCCCATTAATGCATGTTACTAACTTCACTTCTTCCCCGGAGTTCTTGTGCTTTCTCGTCTCGCAGGTTCTTATCGATCCTGGTGGAGCCTCCTGCCGTGGTCCTGCTAGATTGCCATTGCCAATACTGTTGTTGCTGTGCACCTGTCTGTCTCTCACTCTCTCTCTCTCTCTTTGTCTCTCTCTCTCTCTCTTGAATTGAATTGTATTAGTACTGGAATATTTGTAGTTTGTAGTATTAGTACTGTGTAGTATTAATACTTTGTAGTATTAGAACTATGTAGTATTAGAACTATGTAGTATTAGAACTGTGTAGTATTAGTACTCTTACTGCACCTGCAGGGTGAACAGTGATGTCAGAGCGATGGCTGCCCTCTCATCGGTAATACTGGTCCTGGGTCGGCCCTCCCACACCACCCCGTCCTCAAGGTCCTTCTGTTTCAGCAGAGTCCGAGTCATCACAGGTCCTCCGTCCTTCCTGCTGGTCTCGTAGTTCTGGTCTAGGGCAGTCCCCAGCTCAGAGTCCGACTCTAGCGGAGCCAGGTCCTCTGAGAGTCCAGGCGGGGGGCTGGTGGATCTGTGGGGGCTCAGGGTCTGGGACAGGCTCCTGGGTTTGAGTTTCTTCCTCTTCTTGAAAGTGGGGGGTTGAGGGGAGTCTGGGATCTGGACTGCAGGCTGTTTGGGGACGAAGTTTGAGTCAGCTTGACTGGGTCCAGCTGCTGGTTCTGGTTTGTAGTGTTTTGGACCCCTCTGCTTTGAGCTCTCTCTCCTGGAGGTTCTGGTCTCTTTGAGGGTGGGTTTGGGTCTCTTGGAAGGGGGGACAAACCCAGATATGAGATCTGAGGTTCCGGTCTGTTTCTTCAGGATGCTGTCAAGGGTGCGGACGTAGCTGGTGCTCCTGGTGGGCAGTTCGTAGACCGGTGGCTCCACAGGGGGTGGAGAGAAGCTGGCGGCTCGCTGGTCGATCAGCTTCCCCTCGTTTTCTAGGTACTGGTCCAGCATGTCGCTGCAGAATGCCGACAGGTTCTTCTTCGGAAGATCAGGACCGGGACCAGCTGACAAACGCACAAATGGGTCAATACAAAGGACCTGAGACCTGGTTAAGATCGGGGCTGATCCAGATAAAGTGAGATATTACCTTCTGGTCTGGGCGGTGGCAGAGTGACCAGAGTCTCTGATGGACTGAACTTCTCCCTCCAACCTTTGATCTGAGTCACATCTGTGGTTTTACCTGTTCTGGACACAAACGCTGCACAAACACCTGCAACAAACACCACACAGACAGTTACAATATATAGATTACTCCTCCTCCTCACCTACAAAGCTCTTCATGGTCAGGCCCCTTCATATCTTAAAGAGCTCATAGTACCCTATTACCCCACTAGAACACTACGTTCTCTGAATGCTGGGCTACCTGTGGTTCCTATAGTCTCTAAAAGCAGAACAGGAGCCAGAGCCTTCAGTTACCAAGCTCCTCTCCTGTGGAACCAGCTTCCAGTTGTGGTTCGGGAGGCAGACACCCTCTCCACACTCAAGAGTAGGCTTAAGACATTCCTCTTTGATAAAGCTTATAGTTAGGGCTGGATCAGGTGAGTCCTGAACCTTCCCTTAGTTATGCTGCTATAGGCCTATTATTATATATTACTGTATAGAGACTAGGGATGCACCGATCCACGTTTTTTCACTTCCGATCCCGATACCTGAATTTGGATATTGGCTGATACCGATACTATTCCGATACCAGAGCTGTGTTTGCTTTAATATTATTATCATTATTGTTGATTTTATATGAGGCTGAAATAAACTCCTCTCAACAGGCAAGTATGATATGTACGTATGTATGCATGTATATCCCAAAAGGCAACTTGAGGTAAGTATAAGGTCAGAAAAGGAAGTCAGAAAAACAGGAAATCCTGTTAACAGGAAAAATCCCATCCTGAAAACAAATATGCAACTGTAAGGGTTTCAAATTTATTGTCATGTCAATATATATTAAATACCCAAAATGTCAAATATTTGAGTCTTGAAATATAAGAAAAGTGTGTAAATCTTACACACACACACACACACACACACACACACACACACACACACACACAATCAATAAAACAGTGTGCATCTGAACACCACAAGCACTGGCTCTTGTAGCATCAACAAATCAAGGTTTTAAAATGTCAATTATCTGAAATATAGGAAAAGTGCAAACATCTAACACACACACGCACGCACGCACTCACGCACGCACACACACACACACACACACTCGATAATCCCTTTAGCTTTCACGTTGTCTGCCTGGAGTTTAACTTGTTTTTGGAATGACTCCAGAAGTGATTCCTGACAGCTCGCCTAAAAAATCCTCATGCTGTTTCGTGTGGTGCTTTTTTTAAATGTTTGATTGCGTTCGTAGTGTTGTACGACGCGAGGGAGCTTCCACGTCTCTGAACTGAATTACGGCTTTGCAAACATTGCATTTTGCTGTCTTGCTCTGCGGTGTTTCCAGTGTAAAGTATTTCCACACAGCGGACATGTTGGCTAGCCACAATGCTGCTCAATGCTATCCTGCTAGCTGGCTGCAAGCTGTGAAATGGATTTCCTGAGCGGGGGCGTGTCTCATAACTCTGTGTCTCATTGAGCCGCGCCTCCGTTCAGGAAATCCATTCCACAGTTTGCAGCCAGCTAGCAGACTGGCCGGCAGGAATCACCTGTGGAGTCAGATCGGGAAATTCCGATATGAGAATTACGCTCGTATTGGTCCCGATACCGATACTGGATCAGATCGGCCCCATCCCTAATAGAGACATTATTATATAACAAAATGAAGACGCTGTTCATGTTATGATAGATATAACTGCGTATCATCTGCATAGCAATGAAAGTTAATGGAGTGATTCCTAATAATGTTGCCTAAACTATTATTGTAGTTGTTGCTACTGTTGTTGCTGTGCACCTGTCTGTCTGTCTGTCTCTCTCTCTCTCACCCCAACTGGTCGAGACAGACGACCACCCACCTAGAGCCGAAGGATCTGTCCTAGGTTTCTGCCTTTTAACAGGCAGTTTTTCCTTGCCCCCGTCGCCAAGGTCTTGCTCATGGTGGTACTGTTGGGTCTCTGTAAATGTTATAAGGAGTTCAGTCTAGACCTGCTCCATTTGAAAAGTGTCCTGAAGAGATAACTTCTGTTATGAATTGGCGCTATACAAATAAAATTGAATTTAATTTAATTTAATTGAATCACTCATGTCTGATTGATCGTCAAACTATAGTGGTTTTGCTCTTTCTGTTATTGTTTTGTTCTGTTATTGTTTTGCTCTGTTATACTGTTATACTATATACCGTTAGAGAGTTAGACTCTCTAATAGTTTCTACCCCCATGCCATCAGACTCTTAAACAGTACAGCCCCCCTCCCCCCACTTAATCACTCAGCACCTGAAGTGTAACTGTGAGGCACAGAGCACCTTTCTACTCAGGTTCCTTTCTTTGTTTACAGTACAAATGTTCTGCACTTTAAGTTTTAAGTTGTAAGTTATGTTATATTTTAGTTATATTTTTATATTTTCTTACTGTTCTACTTGTGTGTTACCTCAGGGAGTCGGAAGTACAATTTTCATTGTGCGTACTAACCTTGTGTTTATACTGTACGTATGATAATAAACCTCTTGAATCTTGTTTTGTTCCGTCTATTATTGTTTTGCTCTGTTGTTGTTTTGTTCAGTCTGTTATTGTTTTGCTCTGTTATTGTTTTTTTCTGTCTGGTACTGTCTTCCTGCTACCATGGAAAGTGCCTTTGAGTATCTTTAAAGCACTTTATTTAATAAATGTATACTTGTCTATTAGCTTTTAGAGATTTTAAAGCTTGGCTGTGTCTGACCCTGACTCAGGAACGAACCCTGAGGCGGTGGCAGCTCCTGGGTCAGTGGCTCCACAGAGACTCCAGGAGGAGGGATGGGCAGGCGGACTCCCAGGTACTGTAGGTCTATGGCCAAAGTCGTATCCAGCAGGTTCATCTTCAAACCAACTGAGTTCACACAGAAACAGGTCACCACATTATTTTCAGTGCTGCTAATCAATACTCCTATAGTATGGGGTTTACTGTATACCGGTATACTGGTTTACTGTATATTGGTTTACTGTATACCGAGTGGTATACTGGTTTACTGCATATTGGTTTACTGTATACCAAGTGGTATACTGGTTTACTGTATATTGGTTTACTGTATACCGGTATACAGGTATACTGCATACTTTTATTTTCTTGTCTCGTTGACAGTTTTAGCGTGCACCACTTAGTGAAAGCTAATATGGATTCAATAAAGATTAAAGATGTGTCGTACCTTCCTGCAGCACAGGATGGATCACCTGTCTATGTCTCATCAGCTTCAAGTCTCTGAGTAGGATCTTCTCGAAGGCAGAGATTTTCTCCTCCTGACTCTCGGCTGTCTCTACTGAACACAAACAACTTAATTATTTCTCACTTTTATTACACAGATGATCAGACAGCAGTTTGCTGTTACTAAGACAGAGACACTATATTTTATTTCAGAAATCAGCTAGCAAACGTGTTGTTACTGTTTGTGGCTAATCAGTGGAATACAAGGACGTGTTTAGCCTACGCCCTGTTAAGTAAGCAATGGCTTATAGGCCCTGTTAGCTTAGTATTTGTTTCTAGTTCAAATGAACTCAGTAACTGCAAAAAGCTTGCATAAAACGATCGATTTGGATGAATTTTGAGCAGATTATTTCCTGTTTAGGGCACTTTTTTGTTTTTCTGAATAATTTTTAATAAACATACAGACTTAATAGGCTTCTTTTCTGATAAATTCAGTATTTGTCCTTAGTGCTTGGCCATTGTTCTATTAAACAATTTACTTTAAAACTTTCACAGAAGGGAACCAAATGTTGAGATACAGTTTTCATTTAGTTTTTTAATGCCTTAAAAACAACAAGGCTTCATGACCCCTCATGAAGCTTTGGCGACCCCCAGGTTGGGCACCACAACTTTAAGGAACAGTTTCATTTTACAGCATCATTCATTATACCACCATAGAGAAACATACGTATCTACTACTATAGGGTTCTACTATCTATAGCTAACTGAAAGAGAAAGTCAAGCACTTGCCTTTTTTCACCTCTCTGCCATCATCGCTGAATCTCTGGTATCGACTCGAGTGCCGACAGTTCACACTCAGACCGGCTTGTAGCTTTGCCTTGTTAACGACAGTGAGTCTCCTCAGAGTCGCAACAAGTTCAGGGTGGTTTCGCTTGAAGTTTGGGTTGTAAAAATTATAATATGCCCCGCTGTACCCAGCAGGGTGGTGGTCATCATGAATCGCCGGATCGGCCTTCTTAAAGCCGTACAGATTAAGCTGACGGACAAAGCTTGAGAAGTTGGTCGCCTTAAAGGCTTCGGCATTGTCTGCAGTGACGGTGCTCGGAGACAGGCTCTGTGCCTCAAACAGATGTCGATCAATGATGATGACCTTGCCCTGGCTGTCCCAGCAGATGGCTTTGTTGTCTGGATTGTTCACCAAACGCCACAGTTTGGCAGGAAAGTTATTAGGATGGATCCTGTCAGGGAGCGAGCTTTCACCAACATCCATGCTCTTATCTGGAGAGTTGGAAACACCAGTTCCAGGCTCACACACAGGAACTTAAATGACATTCTGAAACTGGCAACTGCTCAGGATGTGACACCTAATATTGATGTACTTATGAAGGTTGAGAGGTGCCCACTTTATACTGCTGAATACTTATTGTGGTCACATTTAAAGATATTGAACGTGCAAAATCAATATCAATCAGCAGTTTCAGAACAAAAATCACTGTATCAGTCTCATACCAATAGTGGTAAAGCTACAGATCAAACTGGGCTGTTTGTGGCCCATGAACTCCCTGCCAGACTGACAAGCTTGTTAGCTAACAAAAAACAACATTTAACACAGACAGACTTTGAGTTGTTGAAGACTGTTATTGTCTCCTTATGCAGTTACCCTGTTAGTATTGTTTATGCTAAGCTAGGCTAACCACGTCCTGGACCTCTCTCTTTATCAGAGATTAAAGGTTTACTACTCATCTCATTCTACCATTTAATGTTTTAAAGCAATAAACAGTGAATGTAGTATGTCTGTAATAAGGCTATAATTGTGCTGTTACCATTCTCAGGTGCATCAGTGGTTTGTTGCAGGTGTTCAGGTGTCGTCTGCGGCTGCGAGACCGTTTCTTCAGTCGAGTCCACAACGTGAAGTTTGAGGGCCTCCTGAAATATGTGTTTTTGTTTTTTTAATGTTCTGCATCATATTGAGTTGGACAACATATTACCAAAAGGACTATAACAAGTATGAAGTTTGTGCCACCTAAAGGGCTCCAATGTTCATTACACCTCTCAACAGGAAATTACTCGACAGAATGAACCAATCAGAAACCTCTGTGGCTGCAGATGAAGCTGTGGTTCCTCTAAAGTCAACTAGAGGCTGGCTCCAGCAGTGAGTCTCCATAAGGCCCCATATTAAAATGCCTGTGGGATGAATTTTTACACAACTTACCCCTTTACATTATATTAAGGGCATGGCCGCTTTGAGTGACAAGTGGATGCTGTCACAGGCAGAAGTTTTCAGTAACCAGGTTTCATTCAGTTCATGTGTCTACTATTTAGTTGTTACGGTTGCTATTGTTTTTGCTGAGCAACGCGCATGTTGTTGTTGTTTTGCTGTGCAACATTAAAATGCCGCATATATGTAAAAGCATCAGTTCTAATATACCAATGATATGATTTATATAACAATATTACCCTCTAAAAAGGGACTACACTATACTTTTACTTCATTTTATTTACTTTAATAGTTAAAGTATTAAAGTTAACTTAGTTGTTAAACCTCCAGTGTGTAACATTACTGTAATATAATATTCATAGGTATGTTTTCACAATTGTATAATCAACTAAAAATAAAAATCATTGTTTACATTACGTTAGAATTAGATGTTTTTATCTTTAATTGGAGTGGGTCCTCTTCTACGGAGTCCGCCGTGATGAACCACCATGTTTCTACAGAAGCCCAGAATGGACAAACCAAATACTGGATTCAGATAGGAGTATGAGCAAGAAACTCACCAAAAAAGTGACAGGATCCTCCTCAATGTTACACACTGGACCTTAAAGTGAAATCTTGAATGTAGTACTTCTACTTAAATGCTTTAAGTAGTCTTAATGTACTTTTACAGAGTATGTTCAGTTGTTACCCCTGCTCCTGTGCACCACCTCACACGGGCCTTTTACCTTTGATGTAAATGAGATAAATAACTGCTCCTCCACTTCCTCCAGGTTAGGCTGCATGCTAGTGTAGGCGGAATCATTCATCTTCTGATCCGTATTAGTCTTCGCAAGCTTTTCCCGCCGGGACTTCTTCCTGTGCTTGCAAGGTTTGGTGTCTGGGATTGGTTGCACCTGCTGAGAGATCTCATGTGCGTTTGCTTCTACTGCACTCGGAGGAGGGCAGGGAATAGCCATTGTCTCTGTGTTTGAAAAGTCCACCCCCATACTGAGGTCATCATCCGTAGAGAAAAAATGCACGAGTTCAGCGATTGAAGGTGTCGGTGACAATCCGTCTCCATCTAATGATGAAAAAGTTGGAGACAGCGGCAGCTGAAGTGCTAGGGGGGACAGTTCTGCAGGGAAGGGCAGCGACTGTTCGTTCTCTTGAAATGACGGAGCAGGATCAGGGAGAGACGTGGATGTGTCAAAAGTCTGTGGTTCAGGGAGGGTGGGAGTCTGGGAAGGCAACAAAGGAAGAGTCTGTGATGTGGGCTGAAAAGTTGTGAATGTAGTTCCTATGTACGGCTCAGGAGGAGGTAACACTGTGTGCCATTTAAACACAGATGCAGTAGAGTCTTCACTGTTTGTCAACTCTTCAGGAGAAACTGCATTTGGGGTTGGCTCACAAGTAGTGGAGTCAAGTTGTAAAGTTATCAAGGCAGGTATGGAGGGTAAAGGTTCTGGAGAGCTGGCAGGTGACAAAGGTTCATAGCCAAAAGAAGAACACTCTGGGTCAGATAGCAAAGATTCAGACTTTGTAGTGGGGGAGTCTGAAGGTTGCGTGGAAGACTCTGCAATGGTTGGTGTGTGTGGAGAGTTCGGGGCAGATGACACTGTGTCAAGGGGTGGTGACAAAACAGAAGACGGAGAAGAGGTAGCAAGAGTTGAAATTGTAGATATAGATGTTCCAAGGGTGCAAAATGACTGATCTAAGTTGGGCAACACTGGTGCATCATCTGGCACCACTGGCTCTGTGCTTTCAGCAACTGAAATGGAGGCCACAAAATCCTCAGTTCTTGGGCCCTTTGGAACTGTAGTGGCAACAGCATCCTGACATGATAGACTGGAAGGCTGGTGGGTTTTCACTACTTGTTCAGTAACATTAGAGACCACTTCATGTGGATGAAGATGTCTGGAGGCTTGGTTGTCAGATTCTGTAATGTTCTTGGAGGGACCACTTGCACTGACGGTCGGATCAAAAGTCGCACATGTAGAAGCTGCAGCAGAATTATCTGATTCAGACAGAGATTCAGATAGGAGTGCTGGGGAAGGAGAGTCCGGCTTGCTCTTAGCTTTCTTAGATTTTGTTGAATGCTGCTTTAAAAAAAGAGCGAGGGCTGGCAGAGGCAGAGGCGCCGGCCGTTTATGCTGCTTTACTTCTACCTCTGAATGTCCTTCAGACTTTCGTTCGTCCACAGAGGATTTCTGGGACACTGGAGCAGTAACATTATTGGCCTCAGAACAATCTGTCCCAACATTGTCCTTACTGTTCATTGGATTCAAAAGGTCTTTGTCTGTCTTAACTTTCCTCCTTGTAACAAGTGTTTGAACTTTCTTTCCCGGTGATGTTTCGCTCTGTGTTTTAACAGATTTACTGTCCCTCTTAGAAAGATCTTGTCCGTTAGTCATGAAAGCTGTTGTTTTAGTGTTGGTTTGCGCAGTTCTGTAAGAGGTGCTGTTATTTATGCCCAGCTGCTCTAGGTTGCATCTTTGCAGTGAAACGTGAGCCTCACGAATAAGTTCAGAAAATAACTTCTTGGTAGGGGCTGGAAGTGAATTGCTGCAGAGGGAAATCAAACAATAAAAACATCACATTAGTGATATCAGTATTATTGAGCGTCAATATACTGTAGAACTAAACTATGACATACCTGCTGGTGAACTCAGAAGGAACAATAATTAGCAACAAAATTAGTTGCTGTAAAAGTATCATGTCAAGTAAGGGTGGAGACACCAGCAATGACACAACATAGGCTTAAATTCCAGGAATGCCATGTATTTACCACTCTACACGGCTACCACTGCTTCCCAACCAAGCAGTATGTCCATCACTGAGGGTAAACATCCTGTTAAAACATTAGCGTCACGCAGACAGTCTGAGCAAATTTTTCTTTGATAGACAACCTAAATGAAAATGAATACTGTACAAATATTAGGTAAGGAAGTAGAGAGCCAGGGTTAGCGTTCAGATTCAGAGATAATGAAACTGGACACAGGACCAGTAAAGTACGATAAAGAATCATATTAATAAAATCTTATCAATTCCCATCCACAGGGTGTAAACTGAAGCAAAGATCTGAGATATTATGTAGCCACATTTAGTGAAGAGAAAAGGAAGCACAAGAGATTCAGTAGCTAGCAAAATACCATCAAGTTATAAAGGTGCACGAAACAATACTTCAATGAATTCCAAAATATGTCAAAGGACATTTGGAAGTGGGTCTTCATTCTTGTCATCGCTTGCAAACCTGCTGTTTGGTACAAAAAATTTGAAGAGCATGCCACCTTCACTGTCAAAGTGGAACTCTTACCACGAATGTTCCTCAGCGACCTTGGCAGCTGATGGATCTTTGTTTGTAGTGGAATTTTTCTGGAGGTCTCCTGACACTGAAGGCTTTGAGTCCACTGCTTTGGAGCTCCTAGGTTTATGGTTTGCAAGCAAAGACTTCAAGCTCTTCTTCAAGGCATACTGCTCATTGCTCGTTGCCCCTCCATCTTTGTGGTTGTCTTTGCCAGAGTTGAAGTTCAGTTTTAGGCCCCGGGAACTCGAGCCATCCTCCTTCAGTCCTTTTGCAAATGGGTTGTAGTCAACTTTAAGCTGAGAAAACTGTGAGTTCTGGTAAGCAGTGACTGCCATAAACTCAGTCTGTGGGAAAGTGAATGTGACAACACTGGGACCATTCAACTTTACGTCTTCAGCAGCTTTGTCAGTTTGGGCCAAGTGCAATCGTGGCAGATAGCGGTGCATCGGATGCAGGATGGTATTCCCGTCTTGGTCTGTGATGTTGTTTGTAAGCTTCAGTTTGTAAAAGGACACTGGATTCTGCATCCAGTGTTGGCCTGTTGATGGGGACTCTGGATGAGCGAATGGTCGACTCTTCACATTACATTCTGCCTTTCCAGCAACTTGCCAGTTCTTGCCGGTCCATTTGTAACGACTGTTGTCTAAAGGTTGAATGTCCATGATCAAAGAGTACTTCCTCGATGGCTGCAAACCGGAGATTCGGAACCGGCAGTAGGGAAACATCCTGCTGCCTTGTTTAGTCAAAATCATTTCTGTTTTGCATTTGAAAAACTCGTTCCACATGCCATTGTTGTCCAGTGTCACTCTGATCCCTTTGCAGATGCTATCAGGTGACAGGTTGTCCGACGGAGGGTTGGAACTGGCAGGATGTTTCACAGTAGTCGATGTTTTCCCAGAAGTCCTCATGGCTTCCTTTGGTGGATACATGTTGGGTTTACCCACCATATCCACCTCTTCATTGGTTACACGGGCGCTTTGTTCCATCCCACCTTCACTTGCCTTCCCTGGTTTCGGAACAACGAAGCGTGTGGGGGGGTGATCCCAGGCAGGTGGTGCTGCAGGGGTGGTTGCCCCTTCCTGATGGAACACCATTCCTTTGTGCCTCTTCGTAGAAGCCATGAACAGCTTCCAGACATCTACAAGGCAGGAGAATCCCGCTTTTTATACATCTGTACAGCGGTTCAAATAGAGCATCCTGAAAAACAAAAACCATAATCATTTCAGAAAATGTCAGACATTTCTTCATAATGCTCATTCTGGTAGTAATTTCATGTATTTTCTAATAAAGATAACATCAAGCTTTTACAACACAGAACAACAGGATAACTGAGCCATACCACAGAGACATATCCTCAACATGAACTGGTTGATATACAGTTTAGCCAAATGTTTGGTATGCTGAGTACATCTGAGCTGTGAAACAGATCTGGCATAAATGAATTTGTAGTAATGCGTTAAGACTTTGACAGAACAAAAGACCAGACACAACTAGCCACCATTGCTACACCAAAGCTACAAACTATAGCTGACATATTCCCCCAAAATGTAACGCCTCATAAAGTCACCAGAAACTGATTGATCGGCCTGCTCACTTTGTTTTCTCCTGCGAGTTTCTGACACCAATAAAGACGGTTAAGAGTGACGACATCATGAAGCAAGGTAAAGAACATCCAACAAAACCATGCAAGAATGTAAACATGATTACTTTTGTTACTGATTGATTAGCAATGAGTCTTTATTCAGTAAAGCTGCGTTCAAACTACTTTAGTTTGAGTTTTTAACACAGATCTGAGGCAAATGTTTGTTCAAAGATGCAATCAGCTCGCAGACGGCAGAAATATCTCTATAAGGACCAATATCTGCTGGTGTCGAGGAGCAACGAGCTACAGCCAATAAGATCTCTCCAAGCAGAGGACCCGTGGTAGTTACTATGGTGGTAACTGAGACAAAATGTAAAGTTTGTATAGAATACACTGTATCTTTATGGATTATTGATCAGAATACACTGTATCTTTATGGATTATTGATCAGAATACACTGTATCTTTATGGATTATTGATCAGAATACACTGTATCTTTATGGATTATTGATCAGATTACACTGTATCTTTATGGATTATTGATCAGATTACACTGTATCTTTATGGATTATTGATCAGAATACCTTATCTTTTGGTTATTGATCAGATTACACTGTATCTTTATGGATTATTGATCAGAATACACTGTATCTTTATGGATTATTGATCAGTATACACTGTATCTTTATAGATTATTGATCCGAATACACTGTATCTTTATGGATTATTGATCAGATTACACTGTATCTTTATGGATTATTGATCAGATTACACTGTATCTGTATGGATGATATTGATCAGATTACACTGTATCTTTATGGATGATATTGATCGGTATACACTGTATCTGTATGGATGATATTGATCGGAATACACTGTATCTTTATGGATTATTGATCAGAATACACTGTATCTTTATGGATGATATTGATCAGAATACACTGTATCTTTATTGATTATTGATCAGATTACACTGTATCTGTATGGATGATATTGATCAGTATACACTGTATCTTTATGGGTGATATTGATCAGAATACACTGTATCTTTATGGATGATATTGATCAGTATACACTGTATCTTTATGGGTGATATTGATCAGAATACACTGTATCTTTATGGATGATATTGATCAGAATACACTGTATCTTTATTGATTATTGATCAGATTACACTGTATCTGTATGGATGATATTGATCAGTATACACTGTATCTTTATGGGTGATTTGTCGAATACACTTATCTTTATGGATGATATTGATCAGAATACACTGTATCTTTATTGATTATTGATCAGATTACACTGTATCTGTATGGATGATATTGATCAGATTACACTGTATCTTTATGGATGATATTGATCAGTATACACTGTATCTTTATGGATGATATTGATCCTGTATTGACAGTCAGACTGTGGACATATGACGGCCTTTAGCTCGTGTTTCTAGAGTTACGTGTTGTTACGAACACGTTAGGAATTGTTAAAATGTGATATTTCTTAAAGGGAGTTTGGTGCAGGGAGCTTTTAGTTGGATTCAAACTGCTGATATGGATCATTGTTAACGTTTAGTCTCCACTACAGAAACACTAGCTAACTGCTAAAGGCTGATCAGGTTGCTAACGGTATTAGTTTGATTAATGCTTTAATAATTGGAGTATTGATTACTGATCAGGCTGATCAGGATCATTAACAGCTGATTGTGCTCTTTTTGCCCTTTGTGTGCCAGTTTTTAAAACTACTTTCCTAATTAAACATGCTGTTATTAATAGATTTATTAATGAGTGCTGATGAGTTTGGAGAGCAGACAGACAGATACCTCCTGTAGCTGATCAATCTCACAATGAAAACAACAGCGACTTCAGGATTAAAGACAGGAAGTCCTGCTGTTACCAAGGCTTTAGAGACATTACGTCCCCTAGTGGCCACATTTATTCAGTGCAGCTTTAAATGTTGTAGATACTGTTTGCTACTGGTTATAAACGAAAGAGTCACTGTAATAAAAACAGACTAAAACACTACTTTCACACAGCTTCCTTTTCAACAAACTCAATATTTCAAAATATAAACTGACTTCAAATATACAGAGTATTGAAGTATTGAGATAGAGCAGCGGTACGGCGGTATACATAAATATATATCATACAGGGAGGTGAAACTGGTATCATCACTCACAACTGTGTTAGTCCCATCAGCAATATCACCAACACTATTGTTGACGTTATTAGTTTTATTTAATACATCTGCATTCTGCCATCTAGCAGCCGCATGTAAAGTTAACCCAGTGAAAACTCACAGGAGTCTGTTGATCAGGGGTATTGATCTGAATCAATAACTGTTATTTCCAGCAGTTTGACTGTCTCTCTCTCTATCAATCTATAGATGTATAGATTGATAGAGAGAGATGAGGTTAATGTTAGAGAATACAGCTAGCTAGCAGCAGCAGGCCTACAGATGAGCCCACTAATGGCTCCCATCAAACCCTAACCCTGCCGGCCGCTCAGTGTGGACCCGGTCCGACCATGTGCTCTGACACACGGATTACCTTCTGCTGCTCCGACACACCGACGCTGCGACATTAGTCCTTATCGTCTGTTGTCCGTCGACGCGACATCGTGGATGATTTCTAACGGCGGGGAAAATACATGCGGTGTCCGTGCCCTGAAACGTCACCGCCCGTCCTCACTCCTCCGCTACTGCGCAGACTCGGACGCCATCTTGCTGCCGCCACCTGGTTCAAAACTGGCACCGAGCGACTGTCAGCACCGACACCGGAGGATCGGTCCGGTATCTGCGGGGGAGCTCCTGGGCTGTAGATTTACCGTCACTGTCGGACTATTGATTGGATGGTTGAAACCGATGGATCAGTGAGGACAGACGGAGAGACACACGGAGAGACAGACAGGCAGGCAGGCAGACAGGCAGGCAGACGCTCAGTCAGTAACAATCTGCAGTTTTAGTCAAACTGGTTCGTAATTAATATTAACTCATTAAAATGTGTGTCAGTAACAACCGACCTACAGACCGAACATCAGGACTGTAACTGTAGATTAACTGTTTAATCCAACATGGCGACGCTTCTTTACGTCCTTATTGTGGACCGACAGCAATGGCGACGGTTAAAGGACTCTCTCTACTCTGCTGTTTATATTATATATATATATATAATGTATATATATAATGTATATATATAATATATTCATTTAGCACGATGTGCTTTAGATATTCCTCAGTGGCGTCCCGGTCGGCCATTTCCTTTCTCAGCTTCCAGACGGTCGCTGTCGGTGATAAAAACAAAATGGACACGGAGGGCAGTGGTGGTCTGACGGACGGACAGACAGACAGACAGACAGACGGAGAGAGAGAGACAGCTTCTGACAGACAGACAGAGAGAGAGAGAGAGAGAGAGAGAGATTCTGTGACAGACAGACAGAGAGAGAGACAGTTCTGACAGACAGACAGAGAGAGAGAGAGAGAGAGAGAGAGAGACAGCTTCTGTGACAGACAGACAGACAGAGAGAGAGAGAGACAGCTTCTGTGACAGACAGACAGACAGAGAGAGAGACAGCTTCTGTGACAGACAGACAGACGGAGAGAGAGAGACAGCTTCTGACAGACAGACAGAGAGAGAGAGAGATTCTGTGACAGACAGACAGAGAGAGAGTGAGACAGCTTCTGTGACAGACAGACAGACAGAGAGAGAGTGAGACAGCTTCTGTGACAGACAGACAGACAGAGAGAGAGAGAGACAGCTTCTGTGACAGACAGAGAGAGAGAGAGAGAGACAGCTTCTGTGACAGACAGACAGACAGACAGAGAGAGAGACAGCTTCTGTGACAGACAGACAGACGGAGAGAGAGAGACAGCTTCTGTGACAGACAGGGAGACACAGACAGACAGAGAGACAGCTTCTGTGACAGACAGACAGAGAGAGAGACAGCTTCTGTGACAGACAGACAGACGGAGAGAGAGACAGCTTCTGTGACAGACAGACAGACAGAGAGACAGCTTCTGTGACAGACAGGGAGACACAGACAGACAGAGAGACAGCTTCTGTGACAGACAGGGAGACACAGACAGACAGAGAGACAGCTTCTGTGACAGACAGGGAGACACAGACAGACAGAGAGACAGCTTCTGTGACAGACAGACAGACAGAGAGACAGCTTCTGTGACAGACAGGGAGACACAGACAGACAGAGAGACAGCTTCTGTGACAGACAGGGAGACAGAGAGACAGCTTCTGTGACAGACAGATAGACGGAGAGAGAGACAGCTTCTGTGACAGACAGACAGACAGACAGACAGACAGACAGCTTCTGTGACAGACAGACAGACAGAGAGAGAGAGACAGCTTCTGTGACAGACAGACAGACGGAGAGAGAGACAGCTTCTGTGACAGACAGACAGACAGAGAGACAGCTTCTGTGACAGACAGACAGACGGAGAGAGAGACAGCTTCTGTGACAGACAGACAGACAGACGTCCGTTAGGTACAGACTGACATTAGTTTACTAACAGCCGCCATTATGAACAAAGAACCGTTAATTAACCAGCTTTGTTTAAAGTTAGACTGCGCGTGCGCGATCGCGCTGCAGCGCCGCAGATTACGGCGCATGCGCTGTGGGAATACTGTAATGACAGCGAGCAGCGACACCTACAGACGGTCCCATGTTAGCTACCAGGCTAACACACAGCTAACTGTCTGCAGTACAGTGTAGACCATAAACTAACCTCAGAAACAAGTTGAGTGCTGCTGACTGAAGAGAGAAACGTTTTTTCTTTGTCATTATAAAGAGGAAAGTTAATTAGTAATATATGTTAAGGCACCAGTGTTTAATGTGTATACACTGTCAGTAATTATATAATTAAGAGAATGATGAGCTTTAATGGTCAGAACATTAATTATATATTTTACTGTTAATGGATTCTGCAGGAGATCAATAATGACAAATCAAAGTGACACAAACAACTTTATTCACATATCAATCTTTACAGAGAGAGACAGGATATTGATCTGTTCAACATACAAACATAATAAACAAACTGTCCCTTCATATCCTGACGGGAGGAGCAGGAAATTAACTTCTAGCTACCAACATATTAATCAATCAATAAAATTACACCTGACTGAAACATACAACATATTAATCAATCAATAAAATTACACCTGACTGAAATATACAACATATTAATCAATAAGACAGTGATACATACAGTGATATTGTATCAGTTGCTTCAAATAATTAAAAACAGCTTCATTCAGTGTTAATGACGAAATAAAATGTGAGTCAGGGCCGGACCCACCTACTGACAGGGACCCCTGGGGGCCCCCTACTGTTCCCACTGTCTGTGAATTAACCACATTATGAATTCAGATCAGCTGATACTGAACATTATTAATATTACGGCAGTTATTGATCAGCGTGTGTCTGAAAGCTCAAACATAACCAGCTGAGCTGCTCAGGTAGTCATAATGCTGGTGGTGCCTTCAGGGTCTGTTCGTTACAGAGAGCATCAGTACCTACAGTTCAATATGTTCACAGTCAACACTTTAAAGACTTTTATTCTGAAGTTTCTGCTCCTGTTTCATTTTTATAATAAACACCTGAAGAACGTTAGCTTAGCATCAACCTCAGTGTCCCATTGAGAAGATCTGGAGTGTGAAACCAGGCAGTTCAGAGGAGAGCAGACCCGTGTCACTGTAACAGAACGACCACGCCCCCTTCAGACAGTCAGTGTGTCTGTGTCCAACTCTTCCTCACAGGTTAGTTAATGACAGACAGTCAGTGAGTGTGTCTGTGTCCAACTCTTCCTCACAGGTTAGTTAATGACAGACAGTCAGTGAGTGTGTGTGTGTCCAACTCTTCCTCACAGGTTAGTTAATGACAGACAGTCGTGAGTGTGTGTCCAACTCTTCCTCACAGGTTAGTTAATGACAGACAGTCAGTGAGTGTGTCTGTGTCCAACTCTTCCTCACAGGTTAGTTAATGACAGACAGTCAGTGAGTGTGTCTGTGTCCAACTCTTCCTCACAGGTTAGTTAATGACAGACAGTCAGTGAGTGTGTCTGTGTCCAACTCTTCCTCACAGGTTAGTTAATGATGTTACTGAGTCAATGTGAGCAGATTGTGTCTGTAGATTGAAGAGAATCAGAGTCTCACTGATGGTGGAAATAAAGGTTTTACTTCCTTAAAACAGCCGTTTTTTGAATGGAGTTTGGTGTGACAGTGTGGAGCAGAGGGGATTTGAACCTTAATAATTCCCATAAACTGAGCTGACCTACCTTCTAATAATGAACCTTGGAAACAGCAGAAAGTAACAGGAAGTGGAGATAAAAGGACACTCATCAACCACAATGTTTATTTACAACAACAACACAACAGCATTGTTTACTGACTGCACAGAGGATTTATAATAGATAAATGTCAATATTCTTAATTCATGACATTAAAGACTCCTGAATGCCTGAAAGGGGGCGGGGTTTGACACAGCGGTCTGCTCTCCTGTTTCTATAAATGAATAAATGATGGACACTGAAGAAATGTTTGTCCAGCAGAGAGCGCTGATGAGTTAATATCACTGATTATTGGTTCCAGTGTGGTTGTTACAGTTGATCAAATGTTTAATAAAAGATTGAAAGCTTTTATTTTGAAGGACCAGTTTCCTCTGCAGCCTCCCAGTAAAAAAACAGAACAAACATAAAAACATGAAACAGATGTTTAAAGTTGGTTCATTCACACGTTCACTGTTTATTTCATTTAGTGAAATGAATCTGAACGATGGACAGGTTATTGATTACTAATTTACTGGATTAGTCTTTAAAATAATCCAATAAATATCAGCTCACTGACACCAGAACTAATGACTTCATATGATTTTAAATTGTTGTTCGTGAATTTGAAAAACTTATTGTTTTAAATTGTTTCACCCTAAAGTGTCCAAATTATATTTTACAAGTTCAATGCTAATAATGCTAATAATGCTAATAATCCACCTTCAGGTTCGTTAACAGTAACTGACTTATTCACTTCCTGTTAAGTACAATAATGGAACAGAGGCTAACAGTTTCCCTCTGCTTTCAGTCTGTGCTAAGCTAGGCTAACAGTCACAGTCAGAGGGGAACCAGCCTACCTCCAGCGAGTCTCCACCCGCCTGCTGCTGCTCAGTACTGTAAATCCAGCGTCTCTGATCAGCTGACTGACGAGCTCAGGTCCAATCAGGTGAGAGGAGCACTAGGATTGGTCAGACATTAATGACGACATCGTCCTCTTCGTCTCTGACCTCCTCCCTCCTCCCTGCGCCTCCCCCCTCCACCTCTTCCTCCTCCTCCTCCCCCTCCCCCTCCACCTCCTCCTCTGGGCCTCCACAGGGGCCGATGATGTACCTGTAGTCTCCTCCGATGGCGAGTGCGGCCCCGGACCCCACCATCAGCCAGTCCTTCTCCTCGTCATCCGCCCTCCGCTGCCAGGGGACACTCCAGCTCAGACTCCCGGCTGCTGCCACTTCCTCCGCCGCCGCCGCCAGCGGGGCCCCGACTGCTCCTCCTCGTCCTCCCCCTCGACTCAGTTCCCCCTCGTCCCCCTCCAGGTTGACATACAGCAGAGGCTCCTTCTGTGGGGAGGCGGGGGACAGGCTAAGCCACAGCGCCTCCAGCTGGACTACCAGACGCTGGAAACTGGGACGACATTTAGGAACGGGACTCCAGCAGCTGTGCATGATCTCATAACTGCAGGAATACCAAAGAAGAAGAACACACTAATCTGTACGGAGGCTACACAATTAATAAATAACAACAGAATAACACTGAAAACATTCAGGAAATAAAGAGGATAGAAAACATAAATGCAGACTCATTTAACCTGTTTTCACCAGTCTATTTTATATATAAACATATATATTATAGACTGATTACAGTCAGTATCAGTATATAATATATAAACATAAAGATATATATAATATACTGACTATAATCATTATATAAACATATATATTATAGACTGATTATAGTCAGTATCAGTATATAATATATAAACATAAAGATATATATAATATACTGACTATAATCATTATATAAACATATATATTATAGACTGATTATAGTCAGTATCAGTATATAATATATAAACATAAAGATATATAATATACTGACTATAATCATTATATAAACATATATTATAGACTGATTATAGTTAGTATCAGTATATAACATATAAACATAAAGATATATATAATATACTGACTATAATCATTATATAAACATATATATAATATACTGACTATAATCATTATATAAACATATTATAGACTGATTATAGTTAGTATCAGTATATAACATATAAACATAAAGATATATATAATATACTGACTATAATTATTATATAAACATATATTAGACTGATTATAGTCATATATATATATATATATATATATATAGTCTATATATAGTATATAATATATTGATACTGACTATAATCTTTCTTTATTATCAGGATATGTGCCACAGTCCTTTAAAGTAGCTGTAATTAAACCCCTTCTTAAAAAGCCCACTCTTGACCCAGGGGTTTTAGCCAACTATAGACCGATTTCTAACCTCCCCTTCCTCTCTAAGATTCTGGAGAAAGTAGTCGCCAAAGAGTTGTGTGAATTTCTACATAACAATAGTTTATTTGAGGATTTTCAGTCAGGATTTAGAGTTCATCACAGCACAGAGACAGCTCTGGTTAAAGTTAATAATGACCTTCTGACTGCTTCCGACAATGGACTTGTCTCTGTACTTGTATTATTAGATCCTAGTGCTGCATTTGACACCATTGACCATGATATTCTTTTACAGAGACTTGAGCATCAAATTGGCATTAAAGGAACCGCACTAAGCTGGTTTAAGTCATATTTATCAGATCGCTCGCAGTTTGTACATGTTAACGATGAATCTTCAATAAATACTACAGTTAGTCATGGAGTTCCACAAGGTTCTGTACTTGGACCAATACTATTTACTTTATATATGCTCCCTTTAGGCAACATTATTAGGAATCACTCCATTAACTTTCACTGTTATGCAGATGATACGCAGTTATATCTATCAATCAAACCCAATGAAATTAATCAATTATCTAAATAACAAACATGTCTTACGGACATAAAATCCTGGATGAGCTGCAATTTTCTGATGTTAAACTCAGAAAAAAACGAAATTCTTGTTCTTGGCCCCAAAAACCTTAGAGACTCACTGTCTAAAGATATAGTTACTCTAGATGTCATTAACTTGGCCTCTAGCACCACTGTCAGGAATCTTGGAGTTATCTTTGATCAGGATTTGTCATTTAACTCCCACATAAAGCAAACCTCTAGGACCGCCTTCTTTCATTTACGTAATATTAGAAAAATTAGACACATACTATCACAGACAGATGCAGAAAAACTAATCCATGCATTTGTTACTTCAAGGCTGGATTACTGCAACTCTTTTTTATCAGGTTGCCCCAATAAGTCCATTAAAACGCGAATTAATTCAGAACGCTGCAGCACGAGTACTGACAGGAACTAGAAAAAGAGATCACATCTCTCCTGTACTAGCTTCTCTGCACTGGCTCCCTGTAAAATGTAGAATTGAAATTAAAATCCTCCTCCTCACCTATAAAGCTCTTCATGGTCAGGCCCCTTCATATCTTAAAGAGCTCATAGTACCCTATTACCCCTCTAGAACACTACGTTCTCTGAATGCTGGGCTACTTGTGGTTCCTATAGTCTCTAAAAGTAGAACAATTCAATTCAATTCAATTTTATTTGTATAGCGCCAATTCATAACAGAAGTTATCTCAGGACACTTTTCAAATAGAGCAGGTCTAGACCGAACTCTTTAACATTAATTACAGAGACCCAACAGTACCACCATGAGCAAGCACTTGGCGACAAGGGCAAGGAAAAACTGCCTGTTAAAAGGCAGAAACCTAGGACAGATCCTCCGGCTCTAGGTGGGTGGTCGTCTGTCTCGACCAGTTGGGGTGAGAGAGAGAGAGAGAGAGAGAGAGAGAGAGAGAGAGAGAGCGACAGACAGACAGACAGACAGGTGCACAGCAACAACAGTATTGGCAATGGCAGTCAAGCAGGACCATGGCAGGAGGCTCCACCAGGATCCATGAGAACCTGCGAGACGAGAAAGCACAAGAACTCCGGGGAAGAAGTGGAGTTAGTAACATGCATTAAAGGGACATGAATGAGTGCAGAAAGAGAGAGGAAGAGAGTAGCTCAGTGCACCATGGGAAATCCCCCGATAGTCTAGGCCTATAGCAGCATAACTAAGGGATGGTTCAGGACTCACCTGATCCAGCCCTAACTATAAGCTTTATCAAAGAGGAATGTCTTAAGCCTACTCTTGAATGTGGTGAGGGTGTCTGCCTCCCGAACCACAACTGGAAGCTGGTTCCACAGGAGAGGAGCTTGGTAACTGAAGGCTCTGGCTCCTGTTCTACTTTTAGAGACTATAGGAACCACAAGTAGCCCAGCATTCAGAGAACGTAGTGTTCTAGTGGGGTAATAGGGTACTATGAGCTCTTTAAGATATGAAGGGGCCTGACCATGAAGAGCTTTATAGGTGAGGAGGAGTATTTTAAATTCAATTCTACATTTTATAGGGAGCCAATGCAGAGTAGCTAGTACAGGAGAGATGTGATCTCTTTTTCTAGTTCCTGTCAGTACTCGTGCTGCAGCGTTCTGAATTAATTGGAGCGTTTTAATGGACTTATTGGGGCAACCTGATAATAAAGAGTTGCAGTAATCCAGCCTTGAAGTAACAAATGCATGGATTAGTTTTTCTGCATCTGTCTGTGATAGGATGTGTCTAATTTTTCTAATATTACGTAAATGAAAGAAGGCAGTCCTAGAGGTCTGCTTTATGTGGGAGTTAAATGACAAATCCTGATCAAAGATAACTCCAAGATTCCTGACAGTGGTGCTAGAGGCCAAGTTAATGCCATCTAGAGTGACTATATCTTTAGACAATGAGTCTCTAAGGTTTTTGGGGCCAAGAACAAGAATTTCGGTTTTTTCTGAGTTTAACATCAGAAAATTGCAGGTCATCCAGGATTTTATGTCCTTAAGACATGTTTGTAATTTAGATAATTGATTAATTTCATTGGGTTTGATTGATAGATATAACTGCGTATCATCTGCATAACAGTGAAAGTTAATGGAGTGATTCCTAATAATGTTGCCTAAAGGGAGCATATATAAAGTAAATAGTATTGGTCCAAGTACAGAACCTTGTGGAACTCCATGACTAACTTTAGTATTTATGGAGGATTCATCGTTAACATGTACAAACTGAGAACGATCTGATAAGTATGACTTAAACCAGGTTAGGGCAGTTCCTTTAATGCCAATTTGATGCTCAAGTCTCTGTAAAAGAATATCATGGTCAATGGTGTCAAATGCAGCACTAAGATCTAATAATACAAGTACAGAGACAAGTCCATTGTCAGAAGCAGTCAGAAGGTCATTATTAACTTTAACCAGAGCTGTCTCTGTGCTATGATGAACTCTAAATCCTGACTGAAAATCCTCAAATAAACTATTGTTATGTAGAAAGTCACACAACTCTTTGGCGACTACTTTCTCCAGAATCTTAGAGAGGAACGGGAGGTTAGAAATCGGTCTATAGTTGGCTAAAACCCCTGGGTCAAGAGTAGACTTTTTAAGAAGGGGTTTAATTACAGCTACTTTAAAGGACTGTGGTACATATCCTGATAATAAAGAAAGATTATTCATATCCAGTAAAGAAGTGCCAATTAAGGGAACAACTTCTTTAAGCAGCCTAGTTGGAACAGGAGCCAGAGCCTTCAGTTACCAAGCTCCTCTCCTGTGGAACCAGCTTCCATTTGTGGTTCGGGAGGCAGACACCCTCACCACATTCAAGAGTAGGCTTAAGACATTCCTCTTTGATAAAGCTTATAGTTAGGGCTGGATCAGGTGAGTCCTGAACCATCCCTTAGTTATGCTGCTATAGGCCTAGACTATCGGGGGATTTCCCATGATGCACTGAGCTCCTCCCTTCCTCTCTCTTTCTGCACTCATTCATGTTCCATTTATGCATGTTACTAACTTCACTTCTTCCCCGGAGTTCTTGTGCTTTCTCATCTCGCAGGTTCTTGTCGATCCTGTTGGAGCCTCCTGCCATGGTCCTGCCAGATTGCCGTTGCCAATACTGTTGTTGCTATGCGTCTCTCTCTCTCTCTCTCTCTCTCTCTCTCTCTCTCTCTCTCTCTCTCTCTCTCTCTCACCCCAACTGGTCGAGACAGACGACCACCCACCTAGAGCCGGAGGATCTGTCCTAGGTTTCTGCCTTTTAACAGGCAGTTTTTCCTTGCCCTTGCCGCCAAGTGCTTGCTCATGGTGGTACTGTTGGGTCTCTGTAATTAATGTTAAAGAGTTCGGTCTAGACCTGTTCTATTTGAAAAGTGTCCTGAGATAACTTCTGTTATGAATTGGCGCTATACAAATAAAATTGAATTGAATATAATCATTATATACTGATTATAGTATTATAATCAGTATCGTTATAGTATTGACTATAATCAGTAAATAATACAGCTGTCCCCTCTAGGACGATCTGATACTTATCCTGGTAACTGAGTTACAATACGATACAATCTGACACAGTTCTTAACATTATTATTTTACATTTTACATTAAAGTAAGACTATTCTATAAAAGTGACATTGTTTACCTTCAGATACATTTATTTAAAAAAAAAAATCAGGAATCACAAGTATTTTTTGGTATTTTTTGGGACAAATGTCTGATTTCAGAGTTACAGTCATTGTGTTTGTAGCTTGACAGACAGACAGACATACATCCATCTGTCTAACCCGTACCTTCACATTTATTTCTTTAAAGCACTAATAACGATAAAGTTCTTTGATTCCTCGATATATATACACTGAATGTAATGTAATATAACGTAATATATAAAATATAATGTAATATATATAATATAAAGTAATATACACTCAACAAAATTATAAACGCAACACTTTTGTTTTTGCCCCCATTCATCATGAGCTGAACTCAAAGATCTAAGACTTTATCTATGTACACAAAAGGCCTATTTCTCTCAAATATTGTTCACAAATCTGTCAAAATCCGTGTTAGTGAGCACTTCTCCTTTGCCGAGATAATCCATCCACCTCACAGGTGTGGCATACAGTTGTGACCAAAATTATTAGCCCCCCTCATGAAATTAGACAAAACTCTTGATTTCTCCATGGAAATGGCCATTAACAACACATGTTTGTTATTCTGGAAACAAATACACTACAAAGACAAAAGCTGACAAGTTTGGTTAGGATATTTTATTGATACAATGAGTTGAAACAAAAAAGGGCAAAAAATGATAAATCCAAAATTATTAGCCCCCTGTCACATTAATAGTCAATAGTGTAACCTTTCTGAGCCACAACTGACAACAACCTCTTAGAGTAGTTCTTTACTAGGTTGGCACAGGTCTCCTGAGGTATTTTGGCCCATTCTTCCATTGCAAATTGTTCCAGCTGATCCAAATTACGTGGTTTCCGAGCATGGACATTCACTTTGAGCACCCGCCACAGATTCTCAATAGGATTGAGGTCTGGGCTCTGTGCGGGCCACTCCAGGACCTTGGTTTTGGTATCCTTCAGGAACTGTTGGACCAATTTTGATGTGTGCTTTGGGTCGTTGTCTTGTTGGAAGACCCAGCGATGACCTAAGGATAGACTACGAGCAGATTTCTGCATATTATCCCTCAAAATGTCAACATAATTTTCTTTTTTCATGATGCCATGCACCCGAACAAGGCTCCCTGTGCCTGAGGCTCCAAAACAGCCCCACAGCATGATGCTCCCACCACCATGTTTAACTGTGGGAACTGTGTTCTTAGGGTTCAAGGCATCTCCCTTTCTTCGCCAAACATAAGCAACATCCATGTGCCCAAACAATTCCAGTTTAGTCTCATCAGACCAAAGCAGACTTCCAAAACTCATCTTTACCTTTCAAATGTGCTGCTCTTTGAGTAAAGGGGTTCTTCTTGGACGATGGCCCTGAAGCCCACCACAATGGAGAGCCCTCACAACTGTGCTCCTTGAAACATCAACTCCAGAAGAGGCCAGGTCAGCAACAATCATCTTGGCAGATGTCCGGGGATTCTTGCTGACATCTATGACAATTTTCCTCTCAAGAGTTCTTGAAATCTTGAGCTTACGACCACGCCCAGGTTCGTTTCTTACAGAATTTGTCTCCTTGTACTTGGCAATGATGCAACGTACAGCGGTTCTAGACACTGTGAAACGCTTGGAAATGGCAGTATAGCCTTCCCCCTTATCATGAGCCTCCACTATCTTCTTTCTGAGCTCGAGACTGATTTCCTTTGTCTTTGGCATGGTGAGTAAAAGTAGTCCCTCTCAATAATGTGTGCAAGTGCCCGGTTCCTTGGAGTCCTTTTATGCTGATTGAATGTTCAGGTGTTGTTAGGAAGCCAATTGACTGCACAGGTGTGGTTTGAAAGCTGATTGGTTAATTAGGTGTGTTTTTGAAGGCAAGAATTCACATGGGGGGAAATATTATTGACATCCCCATTTTTCTCTATATTTGATATAAAGCAAGCCTAAAATTTTATTTTATATTCCAAAATGTACCAAAAGCTGCTAAAAAGCACCGTTGAAAGTTTGATTATATCGAGTTTTATCAATGCTGCAAACATTGGGAAGAATTTTAGGAAAATGTTCCCTAATTCCTGGTGGGCTAATAATTTTAGTCACAACTGTATCAAGATGCTGATCAGACAGCATGGGTATTGCACAGGTGTGCCTTAGGCTGGCCACAATAAAAGGCCACTTGAAAATGTCACTGTATTGGGGGGTCTGGGGGGGTCCAGAAACCAGTCCGTATCTGGTGTGACCACCATTTACCTCACGCAGTGCAACACATCTCCTTCGCATAGAGTTGATCAGGTTGTTGATTGTGGCCTGTGCAATATTGGTCCACTCCTCTTCAATGGCTGTGTGAAGTTGCTGGATATTGGCAGGACCTGGAACACGCTGTCGTATACGACGATCCAGAGCATCCCAAACATGCTCATTGGGTGACATGTCCAGTGAGAATGCTGGCCATGCAAGAACTGGGATGTTTTCAGCTTCCAGGAATTGTGTACAGATCCTTGCAACATGGGGCCGTGCATTATCATGCTGCAACATGAGGTGATGGTCACCATGGGGAGCAGGGCTTTCAGTCGCTCTGCCCCCCAACTCTGGAACTCACTCCCACCGGACCGGAGGAACCTGGACTCTCTCACACTCTTCAAATCAAGATTAAAAACTCACCTATTCAGAACTGCCTACCCCACTTAACCATCTACATTGTCTTTTCTTATCTGTTTCTTATTTCTTGCTGTTTTTTTGTTTGTTTTTTTTGTTTTTTTTGTGTTGTACGGTGTCCTCGAGTGCCCAGAGAGGCGCCTCTAATAATTTAATGTATTATTATATTATTATTATGGTCGTGGATGAATGGCACAACGATGGGCCTCAGGATATCGTCACAGTATCTCTGTGCATTCAAAATGCCGTCAATAAAATGCACCTGTGTTCGTTGTCCATAACACACGCCTGCCCATACCATAACCCCACCGCCACCATGGACCACTCGATCCACGTTTGACATCAGCAAACCGCTCACCCACACAACGCCATACATGCTGTCTGCCATCTGCACTGTACAGTGAAAACCAGGATTCATCCGTGAAGAGAACACCTCTCCAAAATGTCAGACGCCATCGAATGTGAGCATTTGCCCACTCAAGTCGGTTACTGCAGTCAGGTTCGAGACACTGATGAGGACGATGAGCATGCAGATGAGCTTCCCTGAGACGGTTCCTGACAGTTTGTGCAGAAATTCTTTGGTTATGCAAACCGATTGTTGCAGCAGCTGTCCGGGTGGCTGGTCTCAGACGATCTTGGAGGTGAAGATGCTGGATGTGGAGGTCCTGGGCTGCTGTGGTTACAAGTGGTCTGCGGTTGTGAGGCCGGTTGGATGTACTACCAAATTCTCTGAAACACCTCTGGAGACGGCTTATGGTAGAGAAATGAACATTCAATTCACGGGCAACAGCTCTGGTGGACATTCCTGCAGTCAGCATGCCAATTGCACGCTCCCTCAAAACTTGCGACATCTGTGGCATTGTGCTGTGTGAGGGAACTGCACATTTTCGAGTGGCCTTTTATTGTGGCCTGCCAAAGGCACACCTGTGCAATACCCATGCTGTCTGATCAGCATCTTGATATGCCACACCTGTGAGGTGGATGGATTATCTCGGCAAAGGAGAAGTGCTCACTTACACAGATTTGTGAACAATATTTGATAGAAATAGGCCTTTTGTGTACATAGAGAAAGTCCTAGATCTTTGAGTTCAGCTCATGATAAATGGGGGCAAAAACAAAAGTGTTGCGTTTATAATGTTGTTCAGTGTATATAATATAATATTATATAATGTAATATATATATATATATAATATAATATGATATAATATAATATAAAATGTGTGTGTGTGTGTGTGTGACTCACATGTCGTCTCTGCAGTCTGGAGGTTTCTTCAGTCGTTCTCCTTTAATCAGATACTCGTAGATCTCAGAGTTCTCCACGCCGGGGTATGGAGTTTGACCACGAGTCATAATCTCCCACATCGTCACGCCAAACGCCCACTGATACACACAGAATATAGTCATTAAATCAATAATCTATAATCATTAAACAGTGTATTAACTCTAGAGCTATGTTCTATATGGAGCTGATTAAATCAATAATCAATAATCATTGTCTGTTTATCCAGTCTGAAGCCACATGTTTACCATCCACTGTCAGGATCTTAACCCTCGAAGAACTTTTGGGGACCAAACATGTACATTCTGCTTATATCAGTTTAAAGGCTAATTGTATGAAACTTGGCCAGGATTTGATTTTTCTTATTATTTTTAAAATTCAGCAAGATTTGCATATATACCTACACCCTTTACCCTCGGGCCCAATTTGGCCCCATTGACTTCCATTATAACCACATATTTTTGATATACTGTAATCCTGACAAATTATAATGCTTTTACCATGAATACCTAATAAATCTGAGCCGGTACCTTCAAAATACAGGGAAAACAGGTTTTAGGTGTGATGACCCCCCCAAACCACCAGGGGCATCAGAGGTTGTTGGCTGGTTCTCTTACCTTGCAAAATGCAATAAAAGAGCTGAACACCATAAAAATGTTCTTGGTATGTTGGGATGGGTGATATAAAAGAGGGCGCGTGTGTATGTGTGTGTGTGTGTGTGTCTGTGTGTGTGTGTGTGTGTGTGTGTGTGTGTGTGTGTGTGTGTGTGAGTGAGTGAGTGAGAGATTCGAATCAAAGGCCAAATGAGCTGTTTATGTTTTTTCTTGATCGAGAGAGAGCCTCCTCTCTTCTATTGGATGCGTGATATAGCCTGTTTATGCAGGTGCAATTTAGGAGTGAGAATAGTTGGAATGGTAAAGGGTAAATGTTAAATGGCTGACCCTGCAGCTCGGAGGAGGAAGAGGAGGAGGAGGAGGAGGAGCCACAGCCAGTGTCCTCCACAAAGCAGAGGCAGTGTGTCTTGTGCCCACACACAAAATATATTTAAAAAATAAAAAAAATGTTATATCTATGGTTAGGTCTGAAGTTGTTGAAAAGATTTGATGCGGTAAAAGTTAAAAAAAAATGTATGTATTAAATTTTTATTAGGGACCGTTTTGGGACCTAAGGTTAAAAAGTGTAACTTAATTTTAAAGGTGCCTCATCAGAGAAACAAGCTGAGCTTTTAATAAGGTGGAACTGCTTTATTCAGTGATTTTAATCAGCGGGTCTGTTTGTTTTGGAGAGGAGGAGACCTCTGTGGATCATTGGGCTCCCGGTAGAAACCTCCTGAACCATGAACACTGAAGGAATCCTAACTAGGAGAAGCTGACTGCAATGACGCCAATGGTGGTGAAGACAACAACTCCCATGATCCCACACTGCTTCACCTCCTCATCTAACCAATTTCATATTCTCTTATTGTTTGATGTCAGAGGCCCCCTAGTGGCAGGAACTACACACTGGTGAGTTCTGCTTTAACACTGTAGCAGTTCTTATTTTAAACGTGATTTAATTTTTACGTCTGGTTTATCTTGACTTGACCTTATACCGTACATTGTGTGTCTGTGTGTGTGTGTGTGTGTGTGTGTGTGTGTGTGTGTGTCAGTACCACGTCGCTCTGTGTGGTATAAACGTTGTCAGCCAGACTCTCCAGAGCGATCCACTTCACAGGCAGTTTAGAGACTGAACCCTGACGGTAATAATCTCCACTGTAGATCTTCTTCGAGAGTCCAAAGTCTGCAACACACACTGTCATATTCTCATCCAGCCTGCAACACACACACACACACACAAAGTTCATTAATGACAATATATTAGGTTAAATCTCTCCATAAACACATGACAGTCTCTGTTTCTACTTTAATATCAATTAAAGTTAAACCTTGAAGTGTCAGAAAGCACACTGGAGAAAACATGGAGGTAAAGATCAGTCCATCCAGGTACTTTGGCCTGGCATTAAGCCTCGCCCCCTTTTAGGTGAAAACAGACCCTCTCATTTGATTGGTGGGAAATATAAATTCTTTAGTCTATGCCAATTTAAAAGCATAAAATAAGAATACTGTATTAATATTTAGCTATTAGGATCAGAAATCCTACGACCGGAAAGGCAAACAATTACCAACGATCAGCGTCCTAATGTAAATAATTAATAGTTATTGATGAGTGTCATCACAGACACAGATACCTTACTGAAACTGATATTTCTGCAGTCTGTTCAATGTGACGTTACTGTAAACTAATGTTTGTGTTCATTAATCTACCTTTTATTACGAGACCACAGAAGAAGAAAACAGGAGGGTTTATCTCCACTTCCTGTTACTTTCTGCTGTTTACAACGTTCATTATTAGAAGGTAGGTCATCTCAGTTTATGGGAATTAAGGTTCAAATCCCCTCTGCTCCACACTGTCAAACCAAACTCCATTCATTCAAGTGTCTTACTCTTTAGGGAAGTAAAAAAAAATCAAAACTATATTTTCTTAATTGTTTGACGTGTAAAATGTGACGCAGCAGTTTACCACTGGACACTTTTACAGGTTTAGGTATTAGTGGACTTTAAAGCAGTATGTAGGTAAGGGGGCATAGCTTAGAGCTGATTGGTGGACTGACATGCAGTTCCGAGCAGCAAGGTCTCTGTGGATGATGCTTCGGCTGCTCAGATACTCCATCCCCCGAGAGATGTCCAACATGAACTGGAGCAGAGTCTGCAGAGACAGGTCCTGAAGGGGGACACACACAGCAGGAATAGTATCTGATGATGTACCTATGTCACATGACCATCATTTACTAAATCAGTTTAGTACTTTTTGGAAGAAGAATGAACTCAAAAAACTAAATAAAACCAAACTGATGATAAAAATTAGCAAACATCAGCGTGATAAGAACGACCAAAAAATGACAGAAACCATCTTTATGAGCTACACTGCAGTCAGCCACCAGGGGGCGATAGAGAGAGTCTATACTGCAGTCAGCCACCAGGGGGGAGAGAGAGAGAGAGAGAGAGAGAGAGTCTATACTGCAGTCAGCCATTAGGGGGAGATAGAGAGAGAGAGTCTATACTGCAGTCAGCCATTAGGGGGAGATAGAGAGAGAGAGTCTATACTGCAGTCAGCCATTAGGGGAGAGAGAGAGAGAGAGTCTATACTGCAGTCAGCCACCAGGGGGGAGAGAGAGAGAGAGAGAGAGTCTATACTGCAGTCAGCCACCAGAGGAGAGAGAGAGAGAGAGAGAGAGAGAGAGAGAGAGAGGAGAGTCTATACTGCAGTCAGCCACCAGGGGGAGAGAGAGAGAGAGAGAGAGTCTATACTGCAGTCAGCCACCAGGGAGAGAGAGAGAGAGAGAGAGAGAGAGAGAGAGAGAGAGAGTCTATACTGCAGTCAGCCACCAGGGGGAGATAGAGAGAGAGAGTCTATACTGCAGTCAGCCATTAGGGGGAGATAGAGAGAGAGAGTCTATACTGCAGTCAGCCACCAGGGGGAGATAGAGAGAGAGAGAGAGAGTCTATACTGCAGTCAGCCATTAGGGGGAGATAGAGAGAGAGAGTCTATACTGCAGTCAGCCACCAGGGGGAGATAGAGAGAGAGAGTCTATACTGCAGTCAGCCATTAGGGGGAGATAGAGAGAGAGAGTCTATACTGCAGTCAGCCACCAGGGGGAGAGAGAGGAGAGAGAGAGAGAGAGAGAGAGAGAGAGAGAGAGAGAGAGAGTCTATACTGCAGTCAGCCACCAGGGGGAGATACAGAGAGTTATTTAATAGCTGTCGGCCATATTTATATCTGATGACTTCATAAACTCAATAAACTGTTACCTGAGCTAATTAATAAATTAGCTCAAACCCTAACCCTAACCCATAAATTAATTAATAAAAAGTAGAAGTTTTTATCACGTACGTTCCTAAAGTAACAGCGGTATGTTCCTAAAGTAACAGCGGTACGTTTGTATAGTACGTTTGTATAGTTTGGTACGTTTGTATAGTTTGTATAAAATACATTCCTAAAGTAACAGCGGTATGTTCCTATAGTAACAGCAGTATGTTCTTCTTACAAACGGATGTTCTCCCAGTCTGGACAGCAGCAGGAACGTGTGCAGATCTCCGTGTTTCATGAAAGGAAGAACCACCATCGGGATGGGCAGCCTCTGACCATGACGGCGGTGAAGACTCACTCCTATTGGACAGAAGAAATATTTTTAACCACATTAACAACGATCTGTCTCTTTTAATTGTTATTGACCACAGGCAGCTTTAAACTTAAACTCAGTAACCTCACCACCTTCATCACCAACTCTTCCTCGGTCAGTCCCTTTATCGGTGCAACATTACCACTGCCTCCAACAATCTGTTTGAGAGCTACATAATGTGGTCTTTCCTCTGCAGCAGCTACAGGCTGTTACACTGTCTGACTGACCTCCAGTAAAACACAGAATCCATTTTAAAGTCTAACTTATCCCGTTCAACGCCTTGCATGGCCTGGCCCAGTTATATAGGGTTGTTGTTCCAGCTCCTGATCACCCCGACCATCTCATCAAAACCTCCATCAATGAGATCAACCTGAGAGTTTAACCTTTTTAAAAACGCTCTGTTTGACTTTAGCTTTGTTTATTGTTATTGTGGTCATATGCTGCTATCTTATACATACACATACATACATGTGTATGTATGTATGTATGTATGTATGTATGTATGTATGTATGTATGTATGTATGTATGTATTTTATGTGAACTGTGGAGGTCAAGATGAGATCTGGAAGACAACTCTGTGACAAATTAGAACCTCCATGTGAATGAACCCGCAGCTGCTTGTGCAAACAAAATGTGGAAGACTCAGTAGAAGAAAACCTTACTCGTGTCCACATCATAAAATCAAACATTAACTACAGAACAACAGAACATCTACAGAACAACAGAACATCTACAGAACAACAGAACATTCACTGAATATCTACAGAACAGAACATCCACAGAACATCTACAGAACATTCACAGAACATTCACAGAACAACAGAACATCCACAGAACAATAGAACATCTACAGAACAACAGAACATCCACGGAACATCTACAGAACAGAACATCCACAGAACATCTACAGAACAACAGAACATTCACAGAACATCAGAACATCCACAGAAACACAGAACATCCACAGAACATCTACAGAACAACAGAACATCCACAGAACAGAACATCTACAGAACAACAGAACAACGAACATCCACAGAATAACAGAACATCTACAGAACAACAGAACATCCACAGAACAACAGAACATCCACAGAACAATTCAATTCAATTCAATTTTATTTGTATAGCGCCAATTCATAACAGAAGTTATCTCAGGACACTTTTCAAATAGAGCAGGTCTAGACCGAACTCCTTATAACATTAATTACAGAGACCCAACAGTACCACCATGAGCAAGACCTTGGAGACAAGGGCAAGGAAAAACTGCCTGTTAAAAGGCAGAAACCTAGGACAGATCCTTCGGCTCTAGGTGGGTGGTCGTCTCTCTCAACAACAGAACATCTACAGAACAACAGAACATCTACAGAACAACAGAACATCTACAGAACAACAGAACATCCACAGTTATGTGGAACCCTGGTTATGTGTGTGTATGTATGTGTGTGTGTGTTACCGATGAGCTGGATGACGTTGGGGTGGTGAAAGTCCTTCATGTAGGCTGCCTCCTTCAAACACTGCTCAATGTCACCTGATGACGTGATGTCAGCTGGAGGTCACAGGTCACCACACCACACACACACACACACACACACGGTTAGGGTTTACCTCTGGTACATCAGCAAATGTAAACAGTTATTTATTTGTAGAGAGACACTGAGTCAGTTTGTTCAAATAAATCATATAATTAATAATACAGGTCTATTTAATAAAAATCTTTTGGAGCTTTAGTGGCTCAGAACAGACAGGTTTAAGACACTTCTGCGTTGGCGTTGTCCATTATATATACACTCATTGGGTTAGCAAGCTAACGTTATCCAGCTAAAAGCACAATCAGACAATATGTTCAACTAGCTTAGCAGTAATGTTAGCTTTGACTTTGGACTTTGTGTTGGACTCTGTGTTGTGGTGGGTGTCGGTCGTTTGTAGACGTTAGCGAACTCCATTTATAAGCTAACGTTAGCTAGTGTTGCACACTGTTGGCACTGTAGGGAAGCGGAGAGAGAAGGCACTCGGGAGCATAAAGGTCACAACCTTTGACCCTCATCCTACATAGAGACAGAAATCAGTCCACAGGCAGCAGAGGAACAAAGCTACACTACAACCTGTTCACTCTCTGCTCACACAAACTGATTCACACACACCGATTATTACAGAGACTGAACAGGATTCGCAATCTGCATTTGGAATCTTTAATTGTCGTGACAGCAGTGTGGGTTTCTGTGGTATTTCTGTCATATTCAGATATACAGTGATGGTTTCTGGGTAAAATTAATGCTATATGTCTTCAACTTAAACCAAGGAAGAAGAAACTTACATTTCAGCACTTTGACTGCCACCTTCTGGACAGACGAGTCCTCTGTCTTCAGGAACGCCTCACGCACCGAGCCAAACTCACCTTCACACGTACACAAACACATTTAACATTTATTAGCTCAGTTATTGTTCAATTATTGATTATTATCATTCATTTATTTATCTGGACTTGTGTGTCATCCTGGGTGTTTATTCACTGTTCTCTTTTACAGTGTCACTGTTGACTCAGCTCCATATACAAACTGTATACATACACACATGGACAAAATTGTTGGTACCCTTCAGTTAAAGAAAGAAAAACCCACAATGGTCACTGAAATAACTTGAAACTGACAAAAGTAATTAAATTAAATTCAATTCAATTAAATTCAATTTTATTTGTATAGCGCCAATTCATAACAGAAGTTATCTCAGGACACTTTTCAAATAGAGCAGGTCTAGACCGAACTCTTTAAAACATTAATTACAGAGACCCAACAGTACCACCATGAGCAAGCACTTGGCGACAAGGGCAAGGAAAAACTGCCTGTTAAAAGGCAGAAACCTAGGACAGATCCTCCGGCTCTAGGTGGGTGGTCGTCTGTCTCGACCAGTTGGGGTGAGAGAGAGAGAGAGAGAGAGCGAGAGACAGACAGACAGGTGCACAGCAACAACAGTATTGGCAATGGAAATCTAGCAGGACCATGGCAGGAGGCTCCACCAGGATCGATAAGAACCTGCGAGACGGGATAATATATATATATATATATTTATTTATTTATTTATTTAATAATAAATTAAAATGTACTGAAAATTAACTAATGAAAATCAGACATTGGTTTTAATTTGTGGTTCAACAGAATCATTTTAAAAAACAAACTAATGAAACTGGCCTGGACAAAAATGATGGTACCCCTAGAAAAGATTGAAAATAATTTGACCATAGGGACATATTAAACTAAGGTGTGTCCTGTAATAAGCATCACAAGTGTCTTCAAACTTGTAATCAGTCAGTCTGCCTATTTAAAAGGTGAAATGTAGTGACTGTGCTGATTGCTATCATGGTGTGTACCACACTGAACATGGACCACAGAAAGCTAAGGAGAGACTTGTCTCAGGAGATAAGAAAGAAAAGCATGTTAAAGGGCAAAGGCTATAAGACATAAGGGCGGCTGTGGCTCAGAGGCAGAGCAGGTCGTTCCTCAATCGGAAGGTTGTGGGTTCGATCCCCGGCTCCTGGTGCCACATGTCGAAGTATTCTTGAGCAAGATACTGAACCCCGAATTGCTCCCAATGCCGTGCATCGGTGTGTGAGTGTGTATGAATGTTAGTTTCTGTTCGATGGACTTTGCCATCACTGAGTGAATGTGTGTGTGAAAGGGTGAATGTGGCACGTAGTGTAAAAGCGCTTTGAGTGGTCGGAAGACTAGAAAGGCACTATACAAGTACAGGTCCATTTACCATTTACCATCTCCAAGCAGCTAATGTGACTACAGTTGCACATATTATTTAGAAGTTTAGGGTCCAACCTCCCTGGATGTGGCCACAAGAGGAAAATTGATGACAAATTGAAGAGATGGATAGTACGAACAGTAACCGAAGAGCCCAGAACAACTTCAAAGAGATTAGAGGTGAACTCCAAGGTCAAGGTTCATCAGTGTCAGATCGCACTATCCATCGCTGTTTGAGCCAAAGTGGACTGAATGGAAGACGACCGAGGAGGACACCACTGTTGAAAGCAAATCATAAAAAAGCAAGACTGGAATTTGCTAAAATGCGTTTTGGGAGACAGAGACAAAACTGGAGCTTTTTGGAAGTCACATCAGCTCTATGTTCACAGACGGTGAAATGAAGCATACAAAAAAAATACTGTACCTACTGTGTGCTTTCTCGTCTCGCAGGTTCTCATGGATCGTGGTGGAGCCTCCTGCCATGGTCCTGCTTGACTGCCATTGCCAATACTGTTGTTGCTGTGCACCTGTCTGTCTGTCTGTCTGTCTGTCTGTCTGTCTCTCGCTCTCTCTCTCTCTCTCTCTCTCTCTCTCTCTCTCTCACCCCAACTGGTCGAGACAGACGACCACCCACCTAGAGCCAGAGGATCTGTCCTAGGTTTCTGCCTTTTAACAGGCAGTTTTTCCTTGCCCTTGTCGCCAAGTGCTTGCTCATGGTGGTACTGTTGGGTCTCTGTAATTAATGTTAAAGAGTTCGGTCTAGACCTGCTCTATTTGAAAAGTGTCCTGAGATAACTTCTGTTATGAATTGGCGCTATACAAATAAAATTGAATTGAATTGAATTGAATTGAAACATGGAGGAGGCTCGGTTATGTTCTGGGGCTGCTTGAACCTGTGCAGGGTACAATGAAATCTCAAGACTATCAAAGCATTCTGGAGCGAAATGTGCTGCCCAGTGTCAGAAAGCTCGGTCTGAGTCGCATGTCATGGGTCCTCCAACAGAATAATGACCCAAAACACACAGTTATAAACACCCAAGAATGGCTAAGAGCAAAACATTGGACTATTCTGAAGTGGCCTTCTATGAGTCCTGATCTAAATCCTATTGAACATCTGTGAAAGGAGCTGAAACGTGCAGTCTGGAGGAGGCACCCTTCAAACCTAAGACAGCTGGAGCAGTTTGCTCACAAGGAGTGGGCCAAAATACCTGTTGCTAGGTGCAGAAGTCTCATTGAGAGTTACAGTAATCGCTTGATTGCAGTGATTGCCTCAAAAGGTTGTGCAACAAAATATTAAGTTCAGGGTACCATCATTTTTGTCCAGGCCAGTTTCATCAGTTTGTTTTTTTAAATGATTCTGTTGAACCACAATTCAAAAGCAATGTATGATTTTCATTAGGTAATTTTCAGTAAATGTTTAAAGTTATTCAAGTTATTTCAGTGACCATTGTGGGTTTTTCCTTTCTTTAACGGAAGGGTACCAACAATTTTGTCCATGTGTGTATATCCATTGATCAGCCCTAACACAGTGAGCTCTGCCATTAACACTGATTATCTGGTTATCAGGGCTCCTGTCAGTGCGGGGGGATCAGGTAGACAGTGAACAGAGTTAATGTGTTAGAAGCAGGAAAAATGTGCAGCGTGATGATCTGATCCACTTTGACAAGAATCACTTTGTGATGGACGACTGGGTCAGAACATCTCCAAACCTGCAGCTCTTGTGGGGGGTTCCCAGTCTGCAGGGGTCAGTACCTGTCAAAGTGGTCCAAGGAAGGAACAGAACCAGAAACAGGGTCATGGGGGGCCGATGCTCATTGATGCAGGTGGGGAGTGAAGGCTGGCCCGTGTGGTCCGATCCAACAGACGAGCTACTGTAGCTCAAACTGCTGAAACAGTTAATGCTGGTTCTGATAGAAAGGGATCAGAACACACAGTGCAGAGCAGTCTGTTGGTCTGGGACCAGTCAGGGAGTCCAGTGCTCACAGTGTTAATGCTGATCGGTGGATGTGTATATATATATATATATATATACACACACTGTGTACATAGCTGCAACAATCAGTTAGATCAGATTCAGTTTCAGTCATGTGAACGTGTCTGGTTTTAGTTTTGTGATGGTTTTCTGTATTTCTTTCTCATAGCTCAGTAACTATTTTGTTGACTGAACATTATAACTGGATCACTGCGTCCATGTTTGACATTCAGACAGAAACCTGTTCAACACAGTGACCTTTAAATACTGACATTCACTGTGTTTGTGTACACACACTGAACTACACACACACACACACACACACACACACACACACACACACACACACACACACAGGTTCAATAGAGTTCAGTTTTCTGCTTCCACACACATGCAGCAACTGAGCACAGCTAATGCTTTGCTAACAGCGTGTGTGTGTGTGTGTGTGTGTGTGTGTGTGTGTGTGTGTGTGTGTGTGTGTGTGTTACCTTTCCCCAGCATGTGTCCCAGTGTCAGCAGCCTCTCTGGGATCAGAACGTCCTGCAGTTTGTTCTTCAGGTCGTTGTTTATACTGAGACTGTCCACTGGAGGGAGACACACATCATCTTTTTATTCCACACATTCTTCTTCTTCCTCATAACCTGCCACCTACATTGCCCACAATGCAACTGGAGTGCTGACAGCCATGTGGTAGATTGTGCTCACTGACAGTGTTAAAGCTGCATTCTCTCCAACAGCCAGCAGGGGGCAGCTCAACTCTGATGTTATTGAGTCTTATGGAGAAGTTGATTAATGAGCTCAGTAAACAGTTTCCTGATGAGTTTCTGGTCTCAGTCTCTAGTTTCAGTCTTCTTCCATACAGCATGATGTTCATTTAGTAACTGATGGTCCCATTTAGAGTAAAACAGACCATAAAGCAGGGTATGCTTTAGGGCGGGGCTACCTTGTGATTGACAGCTCATTCTCAGTGAGTCCGTCCAGCTCAACCAAACTCAGATCAAACTGTCAAACAGTGCTGACCAGATATGGATCCAGATTCTGTTGTTGACTATTTCTCTCCTCAAATCTGTTCACAAACACATTTTACTGTTTATCTGGAATACCAGATCCTGTGTGAGCAGGAGAGCCGCCATTGTTTCCAAACCAAGAGCAGCCAATGAGAGCAGAGCAACTCGTGACCTCCGCTGGCTGCTAAACACCAACATGGAGACGACCATAAAGCCCAACTGGAGGTTCAGAGCTCCACAGACCGATGGAGGACCACAGAGTCCCAGTGTGTTAAGTTAGCAGCAGCTAATGTAGCCAGCAGATGAGCAGCAGCTACAGAAACAAACTGAGGTTCAGCTTTAGTATAAAAATGATCTCTGTGAGTTAAGCACAGCAAGGTTCAGTGACACCAGATCAGTCCTCTCGTATGAGCTGAGTTATCTGCATCCTCCCCAGGACTGAGAGACAGAGTTTTTACTTCACTGCGGTCTAACTGCAGTACCACCTGTTGACCACCAGGTGTCTCATTTAGAACTTGTGCTCCCGAGGAACATTCACTACATCTGATTGGCCGACAGGCAGCAGGTAAATACAGGCTGACTGAGTGAGTCCATCAATACGGGTAGCAGTGTTTCCTGTCAACAGACTGTTGAAGGACGTCCACCGTTTTCTTGCTGATTGACCTTCACTGGATAAAAGTGGTCCTCCAGATAAAAACACCAACTGTTATTATTATTATTATTATTATTATTATTATTGTTGTTGTTTCAGTGTCACAGTAATTCAGTTATTGAAATGCTTTTATTATGAAGCAGCTAATACATAACAATGTACTGGTGGGGGGCGGGGGGGGGGCAGGAAGGTCATCCTGGGCAGCCAATCACAGTGCTGACTCAGACAATCCGTAATAGTGTAATAATAGTAGTTATAGTTACTCACATGTGGACTCCTGCAGCTCAGCACAGTTTCTGTTAAAGGATCGAGCTGCTGTGAACGAGACCGAACTCTCAGGACCTGCAGGCTTAAAGGCCAGACTGAAGACAAACAGACAGACAGACAGACAGTAAACTCAGAAACTCATTAACATCTATAAAACCACTCTTCCTCCTACAATCATCCATTAATGATCAATAATAGATCATCAATATGTCAGTTTAAGGAGCCTGTTGGACGATGAATGAGAGAAAGATGGAGCAGTTCTAAATAAATAAATAGTTCTTCAGAGGTTTTTGTACCCAAACTGCGTCTCCTTCCCGCGGCGGCGGGCAAGGACGGTGAGCAGCAGTCCGACCACAGTGGCCACCAGAAGACTGAGCAGCAGGCCGACCCACACATGGCTCCGCTGGACATGGACCTGCACTGAGGGACCAATCAGATCATTGGATCAATAATTATTGATGTGTTCATATACAGCGGTGTAATAAACTGTCTCTGAGGTCTACCTGAGGCGGGCAGTACCAGCACCGGGGAGCTCCAGGGTCCACAGCCAACAGAGGTGCAGGCTGAGACCTGGAAGGAGGCATTAAAGAAGCGTCCTCCTCCTGAAAGCTGGGCCAAGTTCTCCTTGAACAGCAGAGGCTCCTGCAGGAGAGGAATAGGGTTAGAAACAGGAAATGGCACCAAGTTGGCCAGACACACTCAGAAAGGTTCTTACCTGTGGTTCTCCTCCCAGAGTCCACTGCACCTTGTAGGCCAACAGCTTCCCCTGAAGGTCCTCATCCTGCAGCCGGGCCCAGTTCAGCGACAGCTGCTGCTCTGACAGCTCAAACGTCAGGTTCCTGGGGGCCACTGAGGGCACTGAGGATAGTTATACTGTTACACTACATGGTAAATGGTAATGGACTGTACTTATATATCCCTCAAAGCACTTTACACTACAGCCACACTCACACACATTCACACAGCGATGGCAAAGCCCATTGAACAGAAACTAACTCATTCATTAACCGCTGTCTCCAAGGTCTTGCTCATGGTGGTACTGTTGGGTCTCTGTAAATGTTATAAGGAGTTCGGTCTAGATCTGCTCTTTTTGAAAAGTGTCCTGAGATAACGTTTATGAATTGGTGCTAGACAAATAAAATTTGATTGAAAATTAACGTTCACACACCAATGACGCAGCATCGGGAGCAAATTGGGGTTCAGTATCTTGCTCAAGGGCACTTCAGCATGGAGCAAGGAGGACCAACAAACTTCCGATTAGTGGATGACCCGCTCTACCTCTGAGCCACAGCCGGCCCTGTAACAGTGTGTGTAAGGGAGGTACTACAGTCTCTGTCGTATATATATATATACACATCAATCAGCCAGAACAAGATGAGCACTGAAAGTGAATAACTCTGATTGTCTGCCTATCATGGCTGCTGTCAGTGGGTTCTGTACAGTAATCAGTGGATAAAGTTATAAAGTTGTGTTTCTGTACTGTAATTAAGGACCAATATCAGATCAATAAGGATGGTTAGTGTCTGACTGAGAACATAGAATTAATGAGCAGAACACATCCTCTTTAATGGCTCTGACCTGCATTCTCATTGGCTGTCAGCTGGATCAATAATATCAATATAATCTTTTCCAGGTCTCCTGCCCTCAGTCTCGCGCTGTGTTTCATTAGTCGTTCAACATGCCCTCGGGGGAATCCCCGCCGCCATCATAAGTGTCGTTCCAATTGTCTGGAAAACTGAAGTGAACTTGGTGAGATGGACCCTCGGAGGGCTGAGGGAGCGAGTGAACAACGATGGTCACTCCGAGGTGGATATCACCCACAATGCATTGCAGTTTACGTCATTGCCGCTATCATGCCGACGGCTGCCAATGAGTAAGGGCAAGTGCGTTTCATTTTAATCCCCTGCTCCTCCCCCGCCCACTTTCCCTCCGCGCTCAAGTGGCCTCCGTGCGACGTATGCTGTTACGTCATACCAAGGGCTGAGGGTAAGTGAACGAGGGGAAGTGGAACTACTAATGAAACGCAGCCAAAGTCCCTGATGTAAACTGCTCTGAGGTCAGCCTCTGCCTGCAGGTGGCTCTGCAGAGCCTGAAGGCTGCAGCACAGTCCTTTCATATGGATTGAGGCCACAGACAAAAGCCGATTGTACGGGGAGGACTGGAATCTACTGGATCACATCCAGCTGGACCACACACACACACACACACACACACACACACACACACACACACTCACTAGTAGTTCAGTGAAAACAGGAAACCAGCAGACAGCAGGATCTCTGCTCATTAAAACAACCAATAAAACTATGTACCCTAACCCAATAAAAATTAGTTTTTTTCAATTCAATTCAATTTTATTTGTATAGCGCCAATTCATAACAGAAGTTATCTCAGGACACTTTTCAAATAGAGCAGGTCTAGACCGAACTCTTTATAACATTAAAAACTGCTGCTCTACTTACAAGTCCCAAATATCAATATCTGATCAATATGATTAATCAGGAGAAGATTCTGCAAAACAATTTAGATATAGATATTTTGTATTAATTTATTTTAATTTTATTTATTTTTCAGCTCATAAAAACTCATCTATCATCAATAACCATCAATGATCAATAACATCTATCGTAACCATCTAGGATCATTAACATCTATCATCTATAGTCAATAACCATCAATGATCAATAACATCTATCATCTATAACATCTATCGTCAATAACCATCAATGATCAATAACCATCAATGATCAATGATCACTAACTTCAAAGATCAATAACCTCAATTATCAATAACTTCAATGATCAATAACCATCAATGATCAATAACCATCAATGATCAATTACTTCAATGATCAATGATCACTAACCATCAATGATCAATAACTTCAATGATCAATAACCTCAATGATCAATAACCATAATGAGCAATAACTATCCATGATCAATAACTATCCATGATCAATAACTTCAATGATCAATAACTTCAATGATCAATAACTTCAATGATCAATAACTATCAATGATCAATAACCATCAATGATCAATAACCTTTAATGATCAATAACTGTCTACAGCCTGTCTCACCTGACTCAGGTGTCTGGAAGTGCAACCAGGAGGAGAACGGTGACGCTCCGACCTCGTTACTGCAGGAGACTCTGACACTGTAATTACAGTGACTCCTCAGACCAGGTAGGACCTGCAGGTGAGGAGGAACCTCCACCTCCTGCTGAGGGAGGTCCCACCTACGAACTGAACGCCTCGACAGCTGGAGGAGAAGGAGAAGGAGGAGGAGAAGGAGTAGCAAGAGGAGGAGGAGAAGGAGAAGGAGTAGCAAGAGGAGGGGGATAAGGAGGAGAAGGAGTAGCAGGAGGCGGAGGAGAAGGAGTAGCAAGAGGAGGGGGATAAGGAGGAGAAGGAGTAGCAGGAGGAGGAGAAGGAGGAGGAGAAGGAGTAGCAGAAAGATGAGGAGGAGCAGGAGGAGAAGCAGGAGGAGTAGGAGGAGAAGAAGGAGTAGCAGAAAGATGAGGATGAGCAGGAGGAGAAGCAGGAGGAGTAGGAGGAGAAGAAGGAGCAGGAGAAGGAGCAGGAGGAGGAAGAGGAGGAGGGGGAGCAGGAGGAGGAGGAGAAGGACGAGGAGAAGGAGTAGCAGCAGTAGGAAGAGGAGGAGAAAGAGGAGGAGGAGGAGGAGGAGCAGGAGGAGAAGGAGCAGGAGGAGGAGAAATATTAAAATTAAATACTGTTTTTCTTTACTGAAATTGACTGTTTGTTTGTTTGTGTCATATTTCTCCTTTAGTGTGTGTGTGTGTGTGTGTGTGTGTGTGTGTGTGTGTGTGTGTGTGTGTTACCTGGAGGATGCAAGTAGACAGCTCAGAGTGTCCAGTGAATCCTGGTTTCCATGACAACGTGACGTTGTTGTCCACCATCTTCAGGACCTGCAGGCCGACTGGAGCCGCTGGCAACACTAAACCCCGCCCCCAGAGAGGTATCAGCCAATCACAGCTCTGCAACACTTCTAACGGCATGCTAACATTAGCATTACAACCAACACTATGCTAACATTAGCATTACAACCAATCAGAATAATGTCTCTACAGGTGAACTTCCCTTTCAGAATAATGTTGACAGTCACACAGTGACGCTCCTGCAGGTGAACTCACCTTTAATGTGAACTGTTCCAGTTCTAGACACTGAGATTCCTCTGGTGTTCTTCGCTTCACAGTAAAACTTCACACTGCTGTTCACGCCTACACAGACAGACAGGTAGAGACAGAGACAGACAGAGAGACAGATGGGTTGTTTTTTAATGTATGATGGAAATATGAAACAATTGTTATTGTTTTTGTGCATGCCAATAAAGTTCTTTGATTTGAACTGAACTGAGAGAGACAGAATATTTGGTTAACAGCTGCTGTCATGATACTGCAGGTAGTAAATACTATATTGTATTATATTATTATATTTAATTATAGAGACTAAATTTAATTAAATAAACTGTATTTAATTATATACATATGCTGTATTTAATGATATAGACTATTTAATTATATCTAATATATTTAATGATATAGACTGTATTTAATGATATAAACTATATTTAATTACATTAAATTGTATTTAATTATATTTAATACACTTAATGATATAGACTGTATCTAATTATATTTAATTGTATTTATCATATCTAATATAGTTATTAAATCTAATATATTTAATGATATAGACTGTATTGAATTATACACACACACACACACACACACACACAGCAGAAGTATTGATTGTCTATAAGTAAGATGCTGAGCTGCTGATTGGACGGTCCTGGTCCACCTCTGACATGTTAAAGAATATTTGACTGAAATCTTCGTTAATAGAGTTATTTGTTTAAGAAAGCAGCATTCTGAGGAGTCATATCATGCTCATGGAGCTCATGGTGGTACTGTTGGGTCTCTGTAAATAATGTTAAAGAGTTCGGTCTAGACCTGCTCTATTTGAAAAGTGTCCTGAGATAACTTCTGTTATGAATTGGCGCTATACAAATAAAATTGAATTGAATTGAATTGAATATCAATCAATATTATTAGTTTATAATATCAATATCAGTCTATAATATCAATATCAGTCTATAAAATCAGTATCAGTCTATAATATCAATATAAGTCTATAATATCAATATCAGTGACTCAATATCAGTCTATAAAATCAGTATCAGTCTATAATATCAATATAAGTCTATAATATCAATATCAGTGACTCAATATCAGTCAATAAAATCAATATCAGTCAATCAATAGTAGTCAATAAAATCAATATCAGTGAATCAATATCAGTCTGTTCTTGGATGTTTTAAATGCTATTTATAATTGTTATTTATTTATTGATTGACTGGTGCTGAGAGAGTGCTAAGGCACATTGTATTTCATTGCTGTGGTACTCTGTACTAAAATGCATATGACAATAAACCTGAACTGAACTGAACTCAATCTATACAATCAATATCAGTATATAAAATCAATATCAGTCTATAAAATCAATATCAGTCTATAAAATCAATATCAATCATCAATCAGAACCAACATGGCGCCAATGTATGGCGATACACTAGGAGCCTCTGTCACGCCGCGCTTAGTGTTAGTTTTAACCTTACTTACTAGTTTGATAATACAGGCTACGTCCTCCTTTATCACTTATGATCGCCAGACTTTACAGGACATCAGACAAAATGCTCCAAAATTGCCTACAACATCTATGATACCTGTGGATATTATCAAAACCACAAAAGAAAAAAAAAAGAGTCCTGGCACGCTGGGTACCGAAGGCGATATGGGCGAAAGAGAGGAAGACGCGGGGGACTGCTGGTGAGGCTACGGAACTGACCTATGCGGCCTCCAATACCAAGCATGCTGCTGGCAAACATGCAATCTATTAGCAACAAGATGGATGAGCTCCGCTGCCGGGTCAGTGTTCAGCGAGACCTGGGGAATTGCTGTGTGTTCTGTTTTACGGAGACATGGCTAACATCGGACTATCCGGACAGTACCATACACTTGGACGGCTTTTCCGTATTTTGCTCGGAACGGACCAAGGACACAACTGGCAAGTCGAAAGGCGGGGGTGTGTGCTTTCTGGTGAACAACTCGTGGTGCACTGACGCAGAAGTGATCTCCCATTCATGTTCGCTGGTCCTCGAACATCTTACCATCAAATGTCGGCCGTTTTACTCACCACGAGAATTCCCATCAACCCTACTCACTGCAGTATACATCCCTCCCCAAGCCAACGCCAAGGCAGCTCTGCGACGCTGTCAACAGATGTGAGAGGCTGCACTCGCAAGCCCTCTCCATCATAGCCGGTGACTTTAATCACTGCAATCTAAAAACAGTGCTGCCAAAATACTACCAACACGTCAGCTGTGTCACCAGAGGCAACAAAACTTTCGACCACTGCTATTCAACCATCAAGGGAGCTTATAAATCTGTCCCCCGGCCTCACTTTGGGAAATCAGATCATTCCTCCGTACTGCTTCTCCCTGTGTACAAGCAGGAGATAAAGAGGGAGAAACCAAGTGTGAGGACAGCACAGCGTTGGACTTCTGAAGGTGAGCTCGTGTTGCAAGGCTGTTTCGAATCTACTGACTGGTCAGTTTTTAGTGATTCCGCTACCTTACATGAGTACACTGACGCAGTTACTGATTATGTTAAATTCTGTGTGGACAGTTGTATTCCCACGCGTACTTTTCGTGTTTACCCTAACAAAAACACGTGGGTAAACAGTGATGTATGCGCAAAATTGCATGAGAGGACAGTGGCTTTTAAATCTGAGGACAACGCTTGTTACAAGAGCGCGAGATATGAGCTTAGGAATGCAATCAAGTCTGCTAAAAAACAACACCGGGACAAGATAGAGCGACATTGCTCTGAAAGGGACTCTAGGTGCGTTTGGCAAGGCCTACAAGCTGTTACTAGCTACAAGGCCAAACCTAGTGGCGTCACAACAACCTCTGCTTCCTTCCCAGACGACTTGAACATTTTTTATGCTTGTTTTGAATGCGCTGCTGAGACATTGGCGCTGGGACCATCTCCAACTGGGGATGCGTTCAGCAGGCAAGCACATCAGGTCTCAGTCACTGACACATGTAAAGTGTTTAAATCTGTGAAAATAGGCAAGGCTGCTACTCCACGAGTCTTAAGGACATGTTGTAGCCAACTTGCCTCTGTTTTCACTGACATTTTTAACCTGTCACTCTCTCTTTGCGTGGTTCCAAATTGTTTTAAAAAAATCAATCATAATTCCTGTGCCTAAGAAAACGACTGCCACTTGTATGAATGATTTTAGACCTGTAGCCTAGACTTCTGTGATAATGAAGTGTTTTGAACAGCTTGTGAAAGCATACATCAGCAACCGCATACCTGTTTCCACTGACACACTACAATTTGCATACAGATCAAACAGAGCTGTGGATGATGCTGTATCCTTGGCTTTACATACGGTGCTCCAACATCTAGAGGGCAGGGATACATATGTCAGGATGCTATTTGTTGATTATAGCAGTGCCTTTAACACTATCAGACCTTCTATTTTAATACCTAAACTGTTAGACCTGGGCCTCTGCAATTCCATCTGCAGGTGGATACAGGACTTCCTAACAGGCCGCCCCCAGACAGTTAGAGCTGGCACTACATACTCAGCCTCTATAGTGCTAAACACCGGAGCACCTCAAGGCTGCTGTCTTAGTCCTCTATTATATAGTCTATACACCTATGACTGTATAGCAAAACATCCCACTAACAGTATTTTTAAATTTGCAGACGATACTACTGTGGTAGGACTCATTGATAGCAATGATGAAACTGTCTACAGGGATGAGGTGAGTAATTTTCGTGGTGCAGTAATAATCTGTCCCTATGGACTGGTACTGCCTAGGTTCTTATCGATCCTGGTGGAGCCTTCTCTGCCATGGCTCCCTGCTAAAATGTAGAATTGAATTTAAAATCCCCCCCCCCCCCTATAAAAACCTTCTTGGTAAGGGCCCCCCAAATATTAAAAAAGAAAAAATAACCAAATAACCCCTTAAAAAAAAAAAAAAGGGGGATTGTGGTTCTATAGTCTCTAAAGTGACGGAGCCAGGCTCAGTTACCAAGCTCCTCTCCTGGGAACCAGTTCCAGTTGTGGTTCGGGAGGCAGACACCCTAATAGGTGGCTTAGACATTCTCGATGTAAGGCTTAACCCGTGCCCTACAGGTGGTGCACTGAGCTCTCTCTCTCTCTCTCTTTCTCACTCAGGTACACTTGTGGCTCTAAATTGCGACAGTCAGTAGTAGTTCTCATCTCTCTCTCTCTCTCTCTCTCTCTCTCTCTCTCATCAAATCATAGATTTCAGAAGGAACAAACCCACACATACACCTGTCTATATTAACAACTCTCCAGTTGAAATTTTCAACACCTTTAAGTTCTTAGGCCTCCACATTTCAGACTCCCTCTCATGGTCCTTCCATATCAGCTGTGCCATTAAGAAGGCACATCAGAGGCTTTATTTCCTGAGGTGTCTCAAGAAATATGGTATGCCATTGCATGCATTGTAGTGTGGTTTGGCAGGGCTACTTCACATGACCTTAATCTTCTGACAAAGAGGGTCAAAACTGCATCTAAAATAATTTGAGTTCCACTTGAACCGCTCCAAAACACTTACAGGAAACGCAGCACTAAGAAGGCACTAGGTATTATGCAGGATTTTAGTCATCCTGCACACAATCTCTTCTCCCACCTTCCATCAGGAAGGCGTCTGCAGAGCATCCCAATGCGCACATCACGTTTCAGGGATAGTTTCTATCCCAGGTAATAAGGTTACTAAATGATAGTACAACAAGAAGGAGAGCTAAGGTCTGAGCTTAGTTACTATGTTTACTGTTCTTGGATGTTTTAAATGCTATTTATAATTGTTATTTATTGATTGACTGGTGCTGAGAGAGTGCCAAGGCACATTGTATTTCATTGCTGTGGTACCCTGTACTAAATATGCATGACAATAAACCTGAACTAAACTCAACTCAACCTATAAAATCAATATCAGTCTATAAAATCAATATCAGTCTATAGAATCAATATCGTTCTATAAAGTCAATATCAGTCTGTAAAATCAATATCAGTCTATAAAATCAATATTAGTCTATAATATCAGTATCAGTCTATAATATCAATATTAATCTATAAAATCCTTATCAGTCTATAAAATCAATATCAGTGACTCAATATCGGTCTATAAAATCAATATCAGTGAATCAATATCAGTCTATAAAATCAATATCAGTGAATCAATATCGTTCTATAAAATCAATATCAGTCTATAAATCAATATCAGCCTATACAATCAATATCGTTCTATAAAATCAATAGTCAATCAATATCAGTCTATAAATTCAAAATATCAGTCTATAAAATCAATATTAGTGACTCAACATCAGTCTATACAATCAGTATCAGTGAATCAATATGAGTGAATCAATATCAGTCTGTAAAATCAATATCAGTCTATAAAATCAATATTAGTCTATAAAATCAGTATCAGTCTATAATATCAATATTAATCTATAAAATCCTTATCAGTCTATAAAATCAATATCAGTGACTCAATATCGGTCTATAAAATCAATATCAGTGAATCAATATCAGTCTATAAAATCAATATCAGTGAATCTATATCGTTCTATAAAATCAATATCAGTCTATAAATCAATATCAGCCTATACAATCAATATCGTTCTATAAAATCAATAGTCAATCAATATCAGTCTATAAATTCAAAATATCAGTCTATAAAATCAATATTAGTGACTCAACATCAGTCTATACAATCAGTATCAGTGAATCAATATGAGTGAATCAATATCAGTCTACACAGTCAATATCAGTCTATAAAATCAATATCAGTCTATACAATCAATATGAGTGAATCAATATCAGTCCATGAAATTAATATCGTTCTATAAAATCAATATTAGTGAATCAATATCAGTCTATAAAATCAATAGTCTATGAAATCAATATCAGTGAACAATATCAGTCTATAAAAACAATATCAGTCTATAAAATCAATATCAGTGAACAATATCAGTCTATAAAATCAATATTAGTGAATCAATATCAGTCTATACAGACTCTACAAAATCAATGTCAGTCTATGAAATCAATATCAGTCTATAAAATCAATATCAGTCTATAAAATCAATACCAATCTATACAATAACCTTTTCCACATTTCCCACAATGCACCAGGGAAGAGTTTCTGACCTTGGACCTGAAGGACGGAGGGGGATGGACCAGGCTCTCCCACCTGGACCCCCCCCAGCCACCACAGCACCTCCACGGGCTCGGGGGGGCCGACAGCAGCACAGGTGAGGTTAAAGGGGACGTTGGGGAACGTGGACACGTCCCGCGGCTCCTGGACCAAGTGAGGGACGCCTGCAAAGCATGATGGGAAAACGTGTAAAAGCTGCAGCCCTGTGAGGCGTTCACTGTCTCCTGTAAAGCAGGCGATGCATTCACTGTCCTCACCCTCCACTGTGATCCAGGCTCGCTCAGAGGAGAACGTCAGGCCGTGGAACTCGACCTCACACCAGTACTGACCCGCATCCTGCTGCTGGACCGACTTCACACTGGAGACCAGAACACAGAACGTTAGGACCTCAGTGACTCCCTTCCCACCAAGACCGGCTTAGAACTGGTTCAGAACCGGTGAACAACCTCAGACCAGTTCTTCAGAACCGGCTCCAAGCCAAGAAAACGGGTTCTAGTGCAGCACAAACCCTCTGCTGGTCTAGAACCAAGAACCATGTACCCTGTGTCCAGCTAGCTGTGCGTTTGTTAGCTGTTAACATATTGGAGGAGGAGGAGGAGAAGGAGGAAGAGGAGGAGGAGGAAGAGGAAATGGAAGAAGTAGAGTAGGAGGAGGAGGAAGAAGAAGAGGAAGAAGAAAAGGAGGAGGAGGGGGAGGAGGAAGAGGAAGAGGAGGTTCCAGGTTCATTCATGTTCCATTAATGCATGTTACTAACTTCACTTCTTCCCCGGAGTTCTTGTGCTTTCTCGTCTCGCAGGTTCTTATCGATCCTGGTGGAGCCTCCTGCCATGGTCCTGCTAGATTGCCATTGCCAATACTGTTGTTGCTGTGCATCTCTCTCTCTCTCTCTCTCTCTCTCTCTCTCTCTGTCTCTCTCTCTGTCTCTCTCTTTGTCTCTCTCGCTCTCTCTCTTTCACCCCAACTGGTCGAGACAGACGACCACCCACCTAGAGCCGGAGGATCTGTCCTAGGTTTCTGCCTTTTAACAGGCAGTTTTTCCTTGCCCTTGTCTCCAAGGTCTTGCTCATGGTGGTACTGTTGGGTCTCTGTAATTAATGTTATAAAGAGTTCGGTCTAGACCTGCTATTTGAAAAGTGTCCTGAGATAACTTCTGTTATGAATTGGCGCTATACAAATAAAATTGAATTGAATTGAATTGAATTGAGGAGGAGGGAGAAAAGGTAGAGGAGGAGGAAGAGGAAGAGGAAGAGGAGGAGGGGGAAAAGGAAGAGGAGGAAGAGGAAAAGGAAGAGGAAAAAGAGGAGGAAGAGGAGGAGGAAAAGGAAGAGGTAGAGTAGGAGGAGGAGGAAAAGGAAAAGGAAGAGGTAGAGTAGGAGGAAGAGGAAGAGGAAATGGAAGAAGTAGAGTAGGAAGAAGAGGAAGAGGAAATGGAAGAAGTAGAGTAGGAGGAAGAGAAAGGAGGAGGGGGAAGAGGAAGAGGAGGAGGAACAGGAAGAGGAAAAGGAGGAAGAGAAAATGGAAGAAGTAGAGTAGGAGGAAGAGGAAGAGGAAAAGGAGGAGGAAGAGAAAATGGAAGAGGAGGAACACTGCAGCCAGTTCTATTTGTTATAGTGTACCGTGCTCCTGGACCGTACTCTGATTTTATATCTGAATTCTCAGAGTTTTTATCAAGTTTAGTCCTTAAATCAGATAAAGTAATTATTGTAGGTGATTTTAATATTAATGTGGATGTTAACAATGTCAGCCTTAGTAACGTATTTATATCATTAATAGACTCAATTGGCTTCTGTCAGAGTGTAAATAAACCAACTCATTGTTTTAATCACACTCTTGACCTTGTTCTATCATATGGCATTGATATTGAACATTTAATAGTCTTCCCACATAATCCTTTCCTATCTGACCATTATTTAATAACTTTTGAATTCATACTATTAGATTATAAGCCATTAGGCAAAACTTCCTACAGCAGATGTCTATCTGACAGTGCTGCAGCTAAATTTAAGGAGGAGATTCCTTCAGTGTTTAATTCAATGCCATGTCTGAATTTAACAGAATCCTATAACGACTTTAGTCCCTCTGAAATTGATAATCTTGTCGATAGTGCTACAGGCTCACTACGATCAACATTAGACTCTATCGCTCCTATAAAAAGGAAATTATTAAAACATAGGAGACTAGCACCTTGGTATAACCACCAAACCCGCCAGTTAAAGCAAATAGCTAGGAAATCTGAAAGGAAATGGCGCTCTTCCAAATTATCAGAATATCGCTCAATTTGGCAAAATAATCTTAAAACTTATAGAAAGGCCCTCCGTAATGCCAGAGGAGCCTATTACTCAGCACTAATAGAAGAAAATAAGAATAACCCTAGGTTCCTCTTCAGCACTGTAGCCAGGCTGACAGAGAGTCACAGCTCTATTGAGCCACATATCCCCATAAACTTAAGTAGCAATGACTTCATGAGCTTCTTCTATAATAAAATTATTACTATTAGAGAGAAAATTAATCACCAACTGCCATCAACAGTTATCAGTGGCTCTCCAAGTTCAGGAACTTGAACTAATGTAAACTCAGATATATATTTAGACTGTTTTTCTGCTATCTATCTTAATAATAATTTCTACATCAAAGCCATCAACCTGTCTGTTAGACCCGATCCCAACTAGGCTGCTTATAGAAGTCGTACCCTTAATTGGCACTTCTTTACTGGATATGATTAATCTTTCTTTATTATCAGGATATGTACGACAGTCCTTTAAAGTAGCTGTAATTAAACCCCTTCTTAAAAAGCCCACTCTTGACCCAGGGGTTTTAGCCAACTATAGACCAATCTCTAACCTCCCCTTCCTCTCTAAGATTCTGGAGAAAGTAGTCGCCAAAGAGTTGTGTGACTTTCTACATAACAGTTTATTTGAGGATTTTCAGTCAGGATTTAGAGTTCATCATAGCACAGAGACAGCTCTGGTTAAAGTTAATTATGACCTTCTGACTGCTTCTGACAATGGACTTGTCGCTGTACTTGTATTATTAGATCTTAGTGCTGCATTTGACACCATTGACCACAATATTCTTTTACAGAGACTTGAGCATCAAATTGGCATTAAAGGAACCGCACTAAGATAGTTTAAGTCATACTTATCAGATCGTTCTCAGTTTGTACATGTTAACGATGAATCTTCAATAAATACTAGTTAGTCATGGAGTACCACAAGGTTCTGTACTTGGACCAATACTATTTACTTTATATATGCTCCCTTTAGGCAACATTATCACTCCATTAACTTTCACTGTTATGCAGATGATATGCAGTTATATCTATCGATAAAGCCCGATGAAATTAATCAATTATCTAAATTACAAACATGTCTTAAGGACATAAAATCCTTGGTAAGCTGCTACTTTCTAATGTTAAACTCAGGAAAAAAAACGAAATTCTAAAGATACAGTTACTCTAGATGGCATTACCTTGGCCTCTAGCACCACTGTCAGGAATCTTGGCGTTATCTTTGATCAGGATTTGTCATTTAATTCCCACATAAAGCAGACCTCTAGGACTGCCTTCTTTCATTTACGTAATATTACAAAAATTAGACACATCCTACTGACAAGTACTAGAAAAGAGATTGAATTGAATTAAAGAGGAGGAAGAGGAAAAGGAAGAGGAGGAAGAGGAGGAGGAAAAGGAAGAGGGAGAGTAGGAGGAAGAGGAAGAGGTAGAGTAGGAGGAAGAGGAAGAGGAAAAGGAAGAGGTAGAGTAGGAGGAAGAGGAAGAGGAAGAGGTGGGTAGGAGGAAGAGGAAAAGGAAGACATAGAGTAGGAGGAGGAGGAAGAGGAAAAGGAAGAGGTAGAGAAGAGGAAGAGGAGGAGGAAATGGAAGAAGTAGAGTAGGAGGAAGAGGAAGATGAAAAGGTAGAGGTAGAGAAGGAGGAAGAGGAATACATGAATTCATAATCACAATATAATCAATATTGCAGAAGCTGCAGTTTATTGATTATGATAAAATATGATAATCAGATTTATAATGAAGTTCTGAACTACAAATATTGATAAGTACAGATATTGTTGCATGTATTGATTTATGTATTGATGAATATACTGATGTATGTATTGATCTATGTATTGATGAACCTGTGGTAGGTCTCCCAGTGCTGCTCTCCCAGTGTGATGAACATCTGGTCGGTGCTGTAAAGTTTCTCTCCGTCCTTCATCCACCCGATGTCCGGCTCTGTCACTCCCTGAACGGCACAGCCCAGCCTTGCCGCATTCCCCTGAGACACCGTCTGATTGGACGGGTGCTTTGTGAACAACACGCCTGCTAGAGGAAGAGGAGGAGGAGGAGGAGGAGGAGGGAGGTTTACATACAAGAGAGGACGACAACATCAACAATCAGTTTTACACAGTTTATTTCCACTCAGGTCCTTCATGAAAAACATCTTCAATACTGAACCAGGAAACCCTGTGGGTCCTGAACACACCTCCCTGCTCATAATGCACCTGTTACTGTTACCTGAGTGGGCCCTGAACACACCTCCCTGCTCATAATGCACCTGTTACTGTTACCTGAGTGGGCCCTGAACACACCTCCCTGCTCATAATGCACCTGTTACTGTTACCTGAGTGGGCCCTGAACACACCTCCCTGCTCATAATGCACCTGTTACTGTTACCTGAGTGGGCCCTGAACACACCTCCCTGCTCATAATGCACCTGTTACTGTTACCTGAGTGGGCCCTGAACACACCTCCCTGCTCATAATGCACCTGTTACTGTTACCTGAGTGGGCCCTGAACACACCTCCCTGCTCATAATGCACCTGTTACTGTTACCTGAGTGAGCCCTGAACACACCTCCCTGCTCATAATGCACCTGTTACTGTTACCTGAGTGGGCCCTGAACACACCTCCCTGCTCATAATGCACCTGTTACTGTTACCTGAGTGGGCCCTGAACACACTTCCCTGCTCATAGCCTCAGATACAGCGTCCTACTCAATAATTACATTATTGATTGTTAGTGTGCGACCAACAGTGCATGATGGGAAAAAATGCAGCAAAAGCGTCACAGAGAGATGACATCACCAATCATCAACTCACGTCCCTTCCTCCCACTGATGACATCATCAGGTGTTATTTCCCTCCACTGATGACATCACCAACCATCAAATATACGTGTGTGTGTGTGTGTGTGTATACATAAACAGTGTGCAGCTCACAACCATCACAAACAGCTGTGAACCTGCACTTTGCACAGCTGTGCGACCAGAGTCCTCGCGCCAAACTCCACTGGAAATTGTGGTAAATTAAGATTTATTCGTTTTTTAGTTCCTTTCTTAACAGGATGAAAAACATCTCACTCTTTGTTTATTTGACACGTGTCTCCTGGTAAATTCGGCACAAACAAACGAACCAATAAGCAACTTATTCAAGAGACTTTTAGGTTTTTACCGACTGAGGCTGCGCCCAAACTGGCCTCTGAGTGCACTTTAAGGGGCGAAGGCAACGATAGAAGAGTTGCACATTACTTCAGATAAACAGCTGCTTGGTGTGCTGGCTGTGTGCCGAACAGATGAGAGGCTCTCTCACATATATTTACAGTATTTACAAGAGTTTTATCAGATGACAATATTTGCCGAAAAGTGACAAAACATCAAACTTGGTATACTTCGAATAGAGTTCGGCGTCGTAAACTTCTCAGTGATTTATCTTTGAGTTAAACTTTGTTGTAAAAATGTTTTATCCCTCACCGTTTCCACAGCTCCCTCCGGGACTCAGTAGTAAAAAGAAAAGAATCCACACAATCATCTTGTCATTGTTTCTGCGGGACTCTGATCCGGGCTGGCTCGGCTTGGACTCGGCTCGGCTCGGTTCGGCTCGGTCTCACTCCCTCAATGAAGTCTCATTTCCAGGCGGACAAACGGGGTTTCCACCGGAGAGTAAACCGGCAATAAAACGAAACATTCGTGAAGAAAGATTCAAACAAAGTCATTAAAAGAGCGATTAAGGGTCCAGTGATTACCGAGCAGCCGCTGTCAGGATCTTTTCTCAAACTGAGAACAAAGGTGAAGCTGAACCATTAAAACACGACCGCACCGGAAATTAGCTGCCTTCAAAATAACACTTTAGATCTTTGACAGATTTCTAGTATTTAATTGGTCATTTCTTATGTTTAAATGTTATTTAGTGAAATCATAAAAAGCTCTTTTACAGTCGGTTTATATCTGATTTGTAACTTAATCATTCTGTTTCCAATCATTATTTTCTATGTTTACAATTATTTATTTATGTGTTAAATATTTCCTCCAACAGGAAGCTCAAATATACACAAACAGACAGTAATACGTTTGTTTGACACGAACTCTGTCGTTCGTTATTATTATACTATAATTACATTATTATTATTTATATCGATGTTAATCAATTCGATAAAAATACTAACCGGAAGTTAAGTTTACATTCGTTCATACTTTACACTGTTGGTGCTCCCTGAGGAATGTGTGTGTGTGTGTGTGTGTGTGTGTGTGTGTGTGTGTGTGTACTCACTGCGCATGAGCGCCACCTGGTGGTGTGACATCAGAGCTCAGGTACAGCAATGAATATATTTATTTACTCGTACTTTAGTATTTCTGCTTTATGCCCTCTGACAGCTTCATTACTTTCATTATTAATAAAATAAAATGATTATTATATGATTTGATCAGTTTATAAAATATGATCCATTGTAATTAATTAAACAAACACTGCTTGTAAAAAACTGCATTATGGGAGTATTATCAGTGTTTGTAATGATTATTACTGTATGAATGTGTGTTGTATCTTTAAATATAAATAATATATATATATATATATATATATATATATATGGTTGACTGCCATTGCTAATATCGCTGATATTATTATTATTACTATTATTATTACTACAGTTACTGTTATTACTATTGTCACTGCTCATTGTCCCCCATCGTTGTTGTCATTGTCATCATCTTCTTCATGTTCATCAGTCACTACTATTAGTGTAGTTGTTGCTACTGTTGTTGCTGTGCACCTGTCTGTCTGTCCTTCTGTCATTACATCTGTTCTCTCTCTCTCCCACCCGCCTACAGTGGGTACGGAAAGTATTCAGACCCCTTTAAATTTTCACTCTTTGTTTCATTGCAGCCATTTGCTAAAATCAAAAAAGTTCATTTTATTTCTCATTAATGTACACTCAGCACCCCATCTTGACAGAAAAAAACAGAAATGTAGAAATGTTTACAAATTTATTAAAAAAGAAAAACTGAAATATCACATGGTCATAAGTATTCAGACCCTTTGCTCAGTATTGAGTAGAAGGACCCTTTTGAGCTACTACAGCCGTGAGTCTTCTTGGGAATGATGCAACAAGTTTTTCACACCTGGATTTGGGGATCCTCTGCCATTCTTCCTTGCAGATCCTCTCCAGTTCTGTCAGGTTGGATGGTGAACGTTGGTGGACAGCCATTTTCAGATCTCTCCAGAGATGCTCAATTGGGTTTAGGTCAGGGCTCTGGCTGGGCCAGTCAAGAATGGTCACAGAGTTGTTCCGAAGCCACTCCTTTGTTATTTTAGCTGTGTGCTTAGGGTTATTGTCTTGTTGGAAGGTGAACCTTCGGCCCAGTCTGAGGTCCTGAGCACTCTGGAAGAGGTTTTCTTCCAGGATCTCTCTGTACTTGGCCGCATTCATCTTTCCTTCAATTGCAACCAGTCGTCCTGTCCCTGCAGCTGAAAAACATCCCCATAGCCTGATGCTGCCACCACCATGTTTCACTGTTGGGATTGTATTGGGCAGGTGATGAGCAGTGCCTGGTTTTCTCCACACATACCGCTTAGAATTAACGCCAAAAAGTTCAATCTTGGTCTCATCAGACCAGAGAATCTTATTTCTCATAGTCTGGGAGTCCTTCATGTGTTTTTTGGCAAACTCTATGCGGGCTTTCATATGTCTTGCACTGAGGAGAGGCTTCTGTCGGGCCACTCTGCCATAAAGCCCCGACTGGTGCAGGGCTGCAGTGATAGTTGACTTTGTGGAACTTTCTCCCATCTCCCTACTGCATCTCTGGAGCTCAGCCACAGTGATCTTTGGGTTCTTCTTTACCTCTCTCACCAAGGCTCTTCTCCCACAATTGCTCAGTTTGGCTGGACGGCCAGGTCTAGGAAGAGTTCTGGTCGTCCCAAACTTCTTCCATTTAAGGATTATGGAGGCAACTGTGCTCTTAGGAACCTTGAGTGCTGCAGAAATTCTTTTGTAACCTTGGCCAGATCTGTGCCTTGCCACATTTCTGTCTCTGAGCTGCTTGGGCAGTTCCTTCGACCTCATGATTCTTATTTGCTCTGACATGCACTGTGAGCTGTAAGGTCTTATATAGACAGGTGTGTGCCTTTCCTAATCAAGTCCAATCAGTTTAATTAAACACAGCTAGACTCCAATGAAGGAGCAGGACCATCTCAAGGAGGATCAGAAGAAATGGACAGCATGTGAGTTAAATATGAGTGTCACAGCAAAGGGTCTGAATACTTATGACCATGTGATATTTCAGTTTTTCTTTTTTAATAAATTTGCAAAAATGTCTACATTTCTGTTTTTTTCTGTCAAGATGGGGTGCTGAGTGTACATTAATGAGATGAGAAATAAAATGAACTTTTTGGATTTTAGCAAATGGCTGCAATGAAACAAAGAGTGAAAATTTTAAAGGGGTCTGAATACTTTCCGTACCCACTGTAGAGTTGAAAGAAAAGTGTCCTGAGATAACTTCTGTTATGAATTGGTGCTATACAAATAAAATTGAATTGAATTGAAATTCAATTGAATGCAATATTTTATTAATATATAATGTAATATAATATTAATGTAATATCCACCAGTGTGTGGGATTCAGGGACATCTAGTGGTCAAGAAGCAGATTACAACCAGCTGAATACAGCTCAGCCTCAACAAATCTCTGAATATTAACCTCCTGAACCCCGACCCTGTACAAGGAGCGCCCCCTGTGGACAACAGCGGTAGTGTTTTTAATAATAAAGCAAATATCAAGTTCAACTGTTTCAATTCACAGATCTGAAAATCTGAATAATCCATTACAAGTTTGTTTAAAGGGACAATAATCAACAAGAATCAACAATAATCAATAATTGTCCAGAACACAAGCAACTTCTGAACAAACTGGAGCAGAAAGTGAAACTGGTGGATCAATCTTCAAACATGCAGCAGACAGAAAGAAGTTCATTATGAAATATTAATATTATTAACTCTTATGCTTCGTCCACTTTTATTGAAATAAATATCAAACTGTCAGAATTAATATTTAAGATGAATTTACAAACATGGACACATTTCAACCAACAGAATATTTCTAATATTTGATTCATTGGACTGAAATCGTTTTTAACAAAAACACTGAAAATCTGAAAATATCAAAATAAAACCTTTAGCTTTGAATATAATGTCATTAAATCAATAATCTATAACCTCCTGAATCATGAACACTGAACCTAACCGGGAGAAGCTGACTCAATGACTCAATGGTGGTGAAGACAACAACTCCCATGATCCCACGCTGCTATCTCAATATCAGAGAGGAAATGTGCTCAATGCTGTTAAAGAAGCAAATCAATAATCAGAACTTATTAATAAACTACTTTATCAATAACATTCCCGTCTCTTTATTCTATCCATTATAACTGTCTATTATTAACTATTAATCTGTCAGTTATTGGTTTATTGTTGTTATTGTTGGTTAATATTGACTTTGAATGGTGGTTTCAGTTGATTCTTTATTATTGATTATTATTTTCTCTTTCTCCACCTGGTGAACGGAGCTCCAGAAGATCATTTCCAACGTAAATGAGACAAACGTTCATTAAAGAGTCCAACAAACAAACACTGAAAGTTTCTTCTCCTCTCTCTCAGCAGTTTGATGACTCTGAAGCAGGTGTTGGTGTCTGAGCGGCGCCCCCCCTTTGTCCTGGCTGTGTGAGATCTGGATTTTAGCAGCAGAAGAAGCAGCAGTGGTGGTGGGCGGAGTCTCCGCTGACCCCCCCTCCAGGTGGTGCTCTGAGATTCAGACTCTTCATCCAACATCTTCAGGTGAACTTCTTCTTGGTGGCTGTGAAACGCTCCATGTACTGAGGGGGACACAACAAAGACCATCAGAGACCTGCAGGGACTACAGGGACTACAATGAACGTGACAGGAAGTTGGTCTGACCTTGTCGTAACCCTCCAGGTCTCTGAGATTCTTCACCTCAAACAGGTTCCCCTCCACAGAGAACAGGGACACCTGGGAGTCCTTCAGGATGGACTGAGGGATGGAGGACAGCTCCAGACAGTTCTCCTCCAGACGGAGGACCTTCAGACGGGGGCACAGAGAGACGTCTGCTGACAGCACGGAGATCTGGAGGAAGAGGAGGAAGAAGAGGGTCCACTGTAAACCAGATCATACAGCAGGAAGTGCTTCAGGGCGGGACTACCTTGTGATTGACAGGTTATTCCCAGCGAGTGACATCTGAAACCAGAACCTGGACCTCACAGGGTCCCAACCCCAAACTCTCCCATAAAGTAACAACAGTGTGCTACACTAGCTAACGTTAGCTTATAAACACCCCAAAGTCAAAGCTAACATTACTGCTAAGCTAGTGGAACATATTATGTGATCGTGCTGTTAGCTGGATAACGCTAACACAGGCAAACTGCTTACTAGCTAATGTAGCAAAACACTGTCAGATAACTTCCTCCAGACTCGATGGGCTGGCTAAATGATGTAGCAATACAAAGCTAACGATAGCTTTCTACTAGCCAAGAGTGATGTGAGGCAGGGGCATCCAGCTAGCTAACTGTAGCTAAGCTAAGCTGGGGTTGTCTGGCTGGCTGTGTCTCGGCTGCGCGGTGTGGGTCTGGTGTTGGTTGCTTCGTGGTGTTGGCTGATGGCTGATTTGTAAACGGCGAGCTAGTTAGTAGCATGGAGCTAACGGTCCAAATAAACTACAGGAACATTGCAGATAGCATGATGCAACAGGACGCTGACTGCAGTTCACTGAACGGCCACTGGTGGCGCTGTTAGCTACAGTTTAATGAACGGCCACTGGTGGCGCTGTTAGTTACAATTTAATGAACGACCACTGGTGGTCAGCCCGGGCTGACTGATCCCTCTCACGGACGTGCTACGGTAAGCGTACTGACTCATTCCCGGTTCACTTCCTGCTCTGTGTACACTGTTTGGTGCTGTAGCTCTGTCAGTGAACGCTAAATATAAATTTGTTTTACACGTTACAGCGGTTATTTACCCGCTTAACATTTAAACGTAGACTAGTTCTACTTAAACACTCGGAGTTTCTCCCTCTTTTAGGGACTTTTCACTACTTTCAAAGTTTTTCATACACTCTAGTTTCATTAGCATTAGCAGTTAGCTATGGCTTCTCCCTCTCCCTCTCCTCTGTCCTGCTCAGTGTGTCAGATGTTCAGTTATTCCTCTGCCTCCTTTAATGATAATGGTACCTGTATTAAATGTAGTTTATTTACTGCGCTGGAGGCGAGGCTTAGTGAGTTAGAGGAACGGCACCGCACCACGGAGATATCTTTAGCCGCTATAGTTAGCCAGCCCCCGGTAGCCGGTGCGGTCCGACCGAAGGTAGCTTCTGTTAGCTCTGTAGATCCCCCGGTAGTTCCCGAGCAGCCGGGAAGACAGGGAGGCTGGGTGACTGAGCGAAGGAAGACTAGAACGGCGAAGCCCACAGGTCACCACCAACCCATTCACGTTTCTAATACATTTTCCCCACTCAGCGACACACCCGCTGAGGAACCAACTCTGATTATTGGCAGCTCCATAGTCAGAAACGTGAAGTTAGTGAAGCCAGCGGCCATAGTTAAATGTATCCCTGGGGCCAGAGCGGGAGACATTGAATCAAATTTAAAACTGCTGGCTAAAGATAAACGTAAATACAGTAAGATTGTTATCCACGTCGGCGGTAGCGACACCCGTTTACGCCAATCGGAGGTCACTAAGATTAATGTGGAGTCGGTGTGTAATTATGCTAAGACAATGTCGGACTCCGTAGTTTTCTCTGGACCCCTCCCCAATGTGACCAGTGATGACATGTATAGCCGCATGTCGTCATTCCACCGCTGGCTGTCGAGGTGGTGTCCAGCAAACGATGTGGGCTTCATTGATAACTGGAAGCCTTTTTGGGGAAAACCTGGTCTGATTAGGAGAGACGGCATCCATCCCACTTTGGATGGAGCGGCTCTCTTATCTAGGAATATGGCGAAGTTTATCTCTAAAACCTGACAGTCCAGAGTTAGGACCAGGAAGCAGAGCTGCTGTCTTACACACTTCTCTGCTCTTTCTTTAGAACAGTCACCCACCCAAACCCCCATAGAGACTGTGTCTGTCCCCCGACCACCTAAATTATTTAAAGAAATAAAAACAAGAGGAGTTCAACATAAAAATCTAATAAAAATTAAAACTAACTCCCCAGTAGCACAAAATAAGAGAATGAAATGTGGGGTGTTAAATATCAGGTCTCTGTCCTCTAAAGCTGTTTTAGTGAACGAATTAATATCAGATTATGATATTGATTTACTTTGTCTTACTGAGACCTGGTTGTCCCATGAGGAGTATGTTAGCCTAAATGAATCCACCCCCCCAGTCATATTAATACTCACATTCCTCGAGGCACTGGCCGAGGAGGTGGAGTGGCAGCCATATATGATTCGAGCGTTTTAATGGACCCTAAACCTAAACTAAATTATAATTCATTTGAAAGCCTTGTTCTTAGTCTTTCTCACCCAAACTGGAAAACACTGCAGCCAGTTCTATTTGTTATAGTGTACCGCGCTCCTGGACCGTACTCTGATTTTATATCTGAATTTTCAGAGTTTCTATCAAGCTTAGTCCTTAAATCAGATAAAGTAATTATTGTAGGTGATTTTAATATTCATGTGGATGTTGACAATGACAGCCTTAGTAATGCATTTATATCATTAATAGACTCAATTGGCTTCTGTCAGAGTGTAAATAAACCAACTCATTGTTTTAATCACACTCTTGACCTTGTTTTATCATATGGCATTGATATTGAACATTTAATAGTCTTCCCACATAATCCTTTCCTATCTGACCATTATTTAATAACTTTTGAATTCATACTATTAGATTATAAGCCATTAGGCAAAACTTCCTACAGCAGATGTCTATCTGACAGTGCTGTAGCTAAATTTAAGGAGGAGATTCCTTCAGTGTTTAATTCAATGCCATGTCTGAATTTAACAGAGTCCTATAATGACTTTAGTCCCTCTGAAATTGATAATCTTGTCGATAGTGCTACAGGCTCACTACGATCAACATTAGACTCTATCGCTCCTATAAAAAGGAAATTATTAAAACATAGGAGACTAGCCCCGTGGTATAACCACCAAACCCGCCAGTTAAAACAAATAGCTAGGAAATCTGAAAGGAAATGGCGCTCTTCCAAATTATCAGAATATCGCTCAAATTGGCAAGATGATCTTAAGATTTATAGAAAGGCCCTCCGTAATGCCAGAGGAGCCTATTACTCAGCACTAATAGAAGAAAATAAGAATAACCCTAGGTTCCTCTTCAGCACTGTAGCCAGGCTGACAGAGAGTCACAGCTCTATCGAGCCACATATCCCCATAAACTTAAGTAGCAATGACTTCATGAGCTTCTTCTATAATAAAATTATTACTATTAGAGAAAAAATTAATCACCAACTGCCATCAACAGTTATCAGTGGCTCTCCAAGTTCAGGGACTTCTGTCAATGTAAACTTAGATGTATATTTAGACTGTTTTTCTGCTATCGATCTTCATCAGTTAACTTCAATCATTTCTTCATCGAAGCCATCAACCTGTCTATTAGACCCGATCCCAACTAGGCTGCTTAAAGAAGTTGTTCCCTTAATTGGCACTTCTTTACTGGATATGATTAATCTTTCTTTATTATCAGGATATGTACCACAGTCCTTTAAAGTAGCTGTAATTAAACCCCTTCTTAAAAAGTCCACTCTTGACCCAGGGGTTTTAGCCAACTATAGACCGATTTCTAACCTCCCCTTCCTCTCTAAGATTCTGGAGAAAGTAGTCGCCAAAGAGTTGTGTGACTTTCTACATAACAATAGTTTATTTGAGGATTTTCAGTCAGGATTTAGAGTTCATCATAGCACAGAGACAGCTCTGGTTAAAGTTAATAATGACCTTCTGACTGCTTCTGACAATGGACTTGTCTCTGTACTTGTATTATTAGATCTTAGTGCTGCATTTGACACCATTGACCATGATATTCTTTTACAGAGACTTGAGCATCAAATTGGCATTAAAGGAACTGCCCTAACCTGGTTTAAGTCATACTTATCAGATCGTTCTCAGTTTGTACATGTTAACGATGAATCCTCCATAAATACTAAAGTTAGTCATGGAGTTCCACAAGGTTCTGTACTTGGACCAATACTATTTACTTTATATATGCTCCCTTTAGGCAACATTATTAGGAATCACTCCATTAACTTTCACTGTTATGCAGATGATACGCAGTTATATCTATCAATCAAACCCAATGAAATTAATCAATTATCTAAATTACAAACATGTCTTAAGGACATAAAATCCTGGATGACCTCCAATTTTCTGATGTTAAACTCAGAAAAAAACGAAATTCTTGTTCTTGGCCCCAAAAACCTTAGAGACTCATTGTCTAAAGATATAGTCACTCTAGATGGCATTACCTTGGCCTCTAGCACCACTGTCAGGAATCTTGGAGTTATCTTTGATCAGGATTTGTCATTTAACTCCCACATAAAGCAGACCTCTAGGACTGCCTTCTTTCATTTACGTAATATTAAAAAATTAGACACATACTATCACAGACAGATGCAGAAAAACTAATCCATGCATTTGTTACTTCAAGGCTGGATTACTGCAACTCTTTATTATCAGGTTGCCCCAATAAGTCCATTAAAACGCTCCAATTAATTCAGAACGCTGCAGCACGAGTACTGACAGGAACTAGAAAAAGAGATCACATCTCTCCTGTACTAGCTACTCTGCATTGGCTCCCTATAAAATGTAGAATTGAATTTAAAATACTCCTCCTCACCTATAAAGCTCTTCATGGTCAGGCCCCTTCATATCTTAAAGAGCTCATAGTACCCTATTACCCCACTAGAACACTACGTTCTCTGAATGCTGGGCTACTTGTGGTTCCTATAGTCTCTAAAAGTAGAACAGGAGCCAGAGCCTTCAGTTACCAAGCTCCTCTCCTGTGGAACCAGCTTCCAGTTGTGGTTCGGGAGGCAGACACCCTCACCACATTCAAGAGTAGGCTTAAGACATTCCTCTTTGATAAAGCTTATAGTTAGGGCTGGATCAGGTGAGTCCTGAACCATCCCTTAGTTATGCTGCTATAGGCCTAGACTATCGGGGGATTTCCCATGGTGCACTGAGCTACTCCCTTCCTCTCTCTTTCTGCACTCATTCATGTCCCTTTAATGCATGTTACTAACTCCACTTCTTCCCCGGAGTTCTTGTGCTTTCTCGTCTCGCAGGTTCTCATGGATCCTTGTGGAGCCTCCTGCCATGGTCCTGCTTGACTGCCATTGCCAATACTGTTGTTGCTGTGCACCTGTCTGTCTGTCTGTCTGTCTGTCTCTCGCTCTCTCTTTCTGCTCTCTCTCTCTCTCTCTCTCTCTCTCTCTCTCTCTCTCTCTCACCCCAACTGGTCGAGACAGACGACCACCCACCTAGAGCCGGAGGATCTGTCCTAGGTTTCTGCCTTTTAACAGGCAGTTTTTCCTTGCCCTTGTCGCCAAGTGCTTGCTCATGGTGGTACTGTTGGGTCTCTGTAATTAATGTTAAAGAGTTCAGTCTAGACCTGCTCTATTTGAAAAGTGTCCTGAGATAACTTCTGTTATGAATTGGCGCTATACAAATAAAATTGAATTGAATTGAATTGGTGGCGCTGTTAGCTACAGTTTAATGAACGACCACTGGTGGCGCTGTTAGTTACAATTTAATGAACGACCACTGGTGGCGCTGTTAGTTACAATTTAATGAACGGCCACTGGTGGCGCTGTTAGCTACAGTTTAATGAACGACCACTGGTGGCGCTGTTAGCTACAGTTCACTGAACGACCACTGGTGGCGCTGTTAGATACAGTTTAATGAACGACCACTGGAGGCGCTGTTAGCTACAGTTTAATGAACGACCACTGGTGGCGCTGTTAGCTACAGTTTAATGAACGACCACTGGTGGCGCTGTTAACTGCAGATCACTGAACGGCCACTGGAGGCGCTGTTAGCTACAGTTTAATGAACGACCACTGGTGGCGCTGTTAGCTACAGTTTAATGAACGACCACTGGTGGCGCTGTTAGCTACAGTTTAATGAACGACCACTGGTGGCGCTGTTAGCTACAGTTTAATGAACGACCACTGGTGGCGCTGTTAGCTACAGTTCACTGAACGACCACTGGTGGCGCTGTTAGCTACAGTTTAATGAACGACCACTGGAGGCGCTGTTAGCTACAGTTTAATGAACGGCCACTGGTGGCGCTGTTAGCTACAGTTTAATGAACGACCACTGGTGGCGCTGTTAGCTACAGTTTAGTGAACGACCACTGGTGGCGCTGTTAGCTACAGTTTAATGAACGACCACTGGAGGCGCTGTTAGCTACAGTTTAATGAACGACCACTGGTGGCGCTGTTAGCTACAGTTCACTGAACGACCACTGGTGGCGCTGTTAGATACAGTTTAATGAACGACCACTGGAGGCGCTGTTAGCTACAGTTTAATGAACGACCACTGGTGGCGCTGTTAGCTACAGTTTAATGAACGACCACTGGTGGCGCTGTTAACTGCAGATCACTGAACGGCCACTGGAGGCGCTGTTAGCTACAGTTTAATGAACGACCACTGGAGGCGCTGTTAGCTACAGTTTAATGAACGACCACTGGTGGCGCTGTTAGCTACAGTTTAATGAACGACCACTGGTGGCGCTGTTAGCTACAGTTTAATGAACGACCACTGGTGGCGCTGTTAGCTACAGTTTAATGAACAACCACTGGAGGCGCTGTTAGCTACAGTTTAATGAACGGCCACTGGTGGCGCTGTTAGCTACAGTTTAATGAACGACCACTGGTGGCGCTGTTAGCTACAGTTTAGTGAACGACCACTGGTGGCGCTGTTAGCTACAGTTTAATGAACGACCACTGGTGGCGCTGTTAGCTACAGTTCACTGAACGACCACTGGTGGCGCTGTTAGCTACAGTTTGATGAACGACCACTGGAGGCGCTGTTAGCTACAGTTCAATGAACGACCACTGGTGGCGCTGTTAGCTACAGTTTAATGAACGACCACTGGTGGCGCTGTTAGCTACAGTTTAATGAACGACCACTGGTGGCGCTGTTAGCTACAGTTTAATGAACGTCCACTGGTGGCGCTGTTAGCTACAGTTTAATGAACGACCACTGGTGGCGCTGTTAGCTACAGTTTAATGAACAACCACTGGAGGCGCTGTTAGCTACAGTTTAATGAACGGCCACTGGTGGCGCTGTTAGCTACAGTTTAATGAACGACCACTGGTGGCGCTGTTAGCTACAGTTTAATGAACGACCACTGGTGGCGCTGTTAGCTACAGTTTAATGAACGACCACTGGAGGCGCTGTTAGCTACAGTTTAATGAACGACCACTGGTGGCGCTGTTAGCTACAGTTTAATGAACGGCCACTGGTGGCGCTGTTAGCTACAGTTTAATGAACGACCACTGGAGGCGCTGTTAGCTACAGTTTAATGAACAACCACTGGTGGCGCTTTAGCTACAGTTTAATGAACGACCACTGGAGGCGCTGTTAGCTACAGTTTAATGAACAACCACTGGTGGCGCTGTTAGTTACAGTTTAATGAACAACCACTGGTGGCGCTGTTAGCTACAGTTTAATGTTACATACAGAAGCTTTGATTAAGTTCTCAGCAGTGATCCTGTAACAGTGAGTCCAGAATCTCTGAGTCTGATCCAGAATCTCAGAGTCTGATCCAGAATCTCTTGAGTCTGATCCAGAATCTCAGAGTCTGATCCAGAATCTCTGAGTCTGATCCAGAATCTCAGAGTCTGATCCAGAATCTCTGAGTCTGATCCAGAATCTCTGAGTCTGATCCAGAATCTCTGAGTCTTCAATGTAGATCAGAATGATCTGGATTTAGATGTTCTTGGTTCGGGTTTTAGAAAGACCGTTCAAATTATTGTGATCCAGACATCACAGGAACAGGATTACAGAATCTGGATATTATTGTGATAATTATCATAAACACGTTTTATGAAGAAACTTTAAACTTTAGTTGTATCACAGCCAGAAGCCCTCAGACAGGAAGCTGGGGTTACTGTTTCTGCAGCTGACAGCTTTAGGACGCCCTCTACTGATCAGTTCACAGCAATTATTTTATTTGACAGAAAATGTATCTGTTTTTCCAGTTCAAGTGTTCATTGTGATCACTGTGTGTGTATTTATCCACCACAGCAACCAGATATTGATCATTAACAGGCTGGAATGAGGATGAGATGTTCACTGCAGCTCTGGAAAAATCTGATCCTCTTTAGATCTTTAACCTGCTGTAAACAGTCTGTTTATCCTCCAACTAAATATACACCCAGGTTTCATTTAAGCAATTTCCAGGGGTTTCCATGACAACCATGTGAGAATATAAGACGTTAGCGAGCTGGACGGCTTTTTAAAGTTACTCATGAGAATATTAAGGAAGTTTTTCCTTGCCACTGTCTCCAAGGTCTTGCTCATGGTGGAACTGTTGGGTCTCTGTAATTAATGTTATAAGGAGTTCGGTCTAGACCTGCTCTATTTGAAAAGTGTCCTGCGATAACTTCTGTTATGAATTATACAAATAAAATTGAATTGAACTGAATTGAAATGAACGATTATCCTAATAATTAATTTCACCACAAGATACTATTAAAAATATATTGAATATATATTGGATAATACTGAACACTGACTCTCTGAAACTACACACTCTTCCTCTACATTAGATTTTAGGAAGGACACAATGTGGTTTCCTAAGGTACCTGGTTCTGGTTCAGGTTGATCTCGATGGCCTGCAGCTCCGACACCTGCGCGGGGACGTTTTGGATCTGGTTGCGGGACAGGTCCAGCAGGTCCAGATGCCTCAGGGTTCCCAGTCCAAGGGGTAACTCTGAGATCTGGTTCCCAGACAGGCTGAGGGTCCGCAGCGCTTTGAGCTGGCCCAGAGTGGGGGGCAGCTGTTGGATCCGGTTCCCATTCAGACTCAGAGTCTCCAGCTTCTTCAGCTTCGAGATCTCAGACGGGAGTCCGGCTGAGGACAGAACCACAAACATCTGGATCTTACTATAGAACTCCAGAACCAGATCTGGTCTAATGATCTGTAGAACAATCCAGAGACCGGGATCAAACCTCCAAGACCGACAGGGAATAACGTTACACTACCGAGGTCATTTACAGAGTTTCCTGATCGACAGATTGATCAGTAGCCAACGGCTAACTGCCGTTAGCTCTTTCAGCCGTGCAGCTAAGCTAACTGACTCAGCCCCGGGACACCAGGAGCCAAACCCGGCAATAAATTCACCTCGGTACTGGATTCAGTCAGTCTGTGTTCGGTCCCGGTCTGGCTGTGTTCACTGGAAGGTTGACGTTAGCTCATAGTGCTAGCCGCTAATAGCCAATCAATATCTGCTGCTAAGTACCTCCCTAGTTCCTGTAAGAAGAGGGTCCGACCAAACAGAAACAAACAATAAATAAACATTCAACCCTCCAACAGTAAACACATAGCAAAGGGCTGCAGGTCGGATTCCAACCCTGAGCGGCTGCAGCAGGGACTCGGTACCTGAGGCTCTACCAGGTGAACTCCTCTGGACATTTTAAATCTAGGCTTCATTATAAGTTGGAGATTTAGTGCCGAAGTCATGTGACAGTTTAAATGGAAAAATCTCATTGGCTGTCTGTGGAAGGAACCAGGAAGTCGTCAGCGTTGGACTACAGAAATACTTCATGCTCCACTACTATTATTGATCTCACTTATTGATCATTTACTGCACAGGATGTGAATAATTACTGACCTTAACAATCATTTATTTCTCCTACAGTTAAACTGCCTGTTGATCTACTAGTCAATAACTTAACCCTAACCCTAAATAATCAACAGATGAACTGGTGATGATCAGTGATGATGATCAGTGATCAATGAACTCACTGAGTCTGTTGCAGTTGAGCGTCAGACTCTTGAGCTGCAGGAAGTTTCCAATGGCAGCAGGAAGAACCTCGATCTTGTTACCGGACAGATCCACCGTCCGCAGGTTGCTGCTGAGCCTCTGCAGCTCCTCTGGGAACTGCAACACAGAGACACAACAGGTAAACAACAAACCGACAGGTAAACAACAACAACAACAACAAACCTTTAACTGCAGATTATTTCTGACTCTGGATCAAAACATTTAACAACAAACACAATGACTGACTATAATAATAATTTATAATAACATATAATAATAATAATATATATAATAATAATTATTATTATATGTTATTATTATATTAATATTATTATTATATATTATTATATTAATATTATTTTATATTATATATTATTATATTTATATTATTATTATATATTATTATATTTATATTATTATAATATATTATTTATTATTATTATATATTATTATATATTATTATAATTATATAATTATTATATATTATTTATTATTATTATTATTATATATTATTATATTTATATTATTATTATTATATATTATTTATTATTATATTATTATATTATATTACTATTATTATTATTATTATTATATATTTATTATTATTATTATTATATATTATGTATTATTATTATTATTATTATATATTATATTTATATTATTATTATATATTATTTATTATTATTATTAGTATTATATATTATTTATTATTATTATTATATATTATATTTATATTATTATTATATATTATTTATTATTATTATTAGTATTATATATTATTTATTATTATTATTATATATTATTATCATTATTATTAATATTATTATTATATATTATTTATTATTATTATTATATATTATTATTTATTATTTATTATTATTATATATTATTATTATTATTATATATTATTTATTATTATTATTATTATTATTATATATTATTATATATTATATATTATATTTATATTATTATATATTATTATTTACTGTTATTATTATATATTATTTATTATTATTATTATTATTATTATTATATATTATTATATATTATTATTACCTCCTGCAGTCCCTTCGCTGTCAGCTGGAAGACTCCGGTCTTCTGGGACGTTTCCAGGTGAGACTTCAGAGCACTGTTCCCCATCTGTCTGTCTGTATCTGTCTGTCTCTCTGTGTCTGTCTGTCTGTCTGTATCTGTCTGTCTCTCTGTGTCTGTCTGTATCTGTCTGTCTCTCTGTGTCTGTCTGTCTGTCTGTATCTGTCTGTCTCTCTGTGTCTGTGTCTGTATCTGTCTGTCTGTCTGTATCTGTCTGTCTCTCTGTCTGTCAGTCAGTCTGAGTTCATCCTCACAGGATCAATCCTGTGATCAGCTGATAATGAGATCAATCCTGTGATCAGCTGATAATGAGATCAATCCTGTGATCAGCTGATAATGAGATCAATCCTGTGATCAGCTGATAATGAGATCGATCCTGTGATCAGCTGATAATGAGATCGATCCTGTGATCAGCTGATAATGAGATCAATCCCTGCAGAGAGCAGAGTCATCATCAACAACAACATGTTCGAGGAGCTAGCTATATTAGCTTTAGCTCAATAGCAGATAAAGTCATGTGTTGTTTAATAAGCTAACAAACACACAGTTAGCTAGCTGAGCTAGCTGAGCTAACTGTGCTAGCTGAGCTAACTGTTTATCCAGAGCAGAGTTAGCAGAGTTAGCTTAGTAACGTTAGCCTGGTAGCTAACAGTTAGCCACCACAAACATAGCTCAACAAACCGGAAACGGACGGGTTTACTTACATCAGCAACAAGATGAAAATGGCGCCATCCGTCTAGATGTGTAAAATGTTGTCTGAAATATTTCTGATAAATAAAATCTGTGAATAAAAATTAAAGTGTGTAAAACGTAAACGTCCGCTTCAGTCAGCGATTAACTGCTGCACTCAGGTCCCGCCCTACTCTCCCTCTGATTGGCTCACCGTAACACTGACCAATCACATGCCTCATTCCCACCAGTACGAGCCAATCAGAAGCAGAGGAGGGCGGGTCATGACTTCGCCACCCTGGAAAAACGAACAGCTGTAGAAACCCAGGAGGGCGAGGCAATGGCAACACTATGTCACTTCTATGGGCATGCGCACTTTCCTCTGTTGTCAATACACACGAGATAAAAGCAGGTAGGAATAATCAATAATTATTATCAATAAATATTAACTGTTATTAACAAGGTAGATTATACATTTTAATACATATTAACTGTTATCAACAAGGTTAGTTATATATTTTAATACATATTAACTGTTATCAACAAGGTAGATTATATATTTTAATACATATTAACTGTTATTAACAAGGTAGATTATATATTTTAATACATATTAACTGTTATCAACAAGGTTAGTTATATATTTTAATACATATTAACTGTTATTAACAAGGTTAGTTATATATTTTAATACATATTAACTGTTATCAACAAGGTTAGTTATATATTTTAATACATATTAACTGTTATTAACAAGGTTAGTTATATATTTTAATACATATTAACTGTTATTAACAAGGTTAGTTATATCTTTTAATACATATTAACTGTTATCAACAAGGTAGATTATATATTTTAATACATATTAACTGTTATCAACAAGGTTAGTTATATATTTTAATACATATTAACTGTTATCAACAAGGTTAGTTATATATTTTAATACATATTAACTGTTATTAACAAGGTTAGTTATATATTTTAATACATATTAACTGTTATTAACAAGGTAGATTATATATTTTAATACATATTAACTGTTATCAACAAGGTTAGTTATATATTTTAATACATATTAACTGTTATCAACAAGGTAGATTATATATTTTAATACATATTCACTGTTATCAACAAGGTTAGTTATATATTTTAATACATATTAACTGTTATCAACAAGGTTAGTTATATATTTTAATACATATTAACTGTTATTAACAAGGTTAGTTATATATTTTAATACATATTAACTGTTATTAACAAGGTAGATTATATATTTTAATACATATTAACTGTTATCAACAAGGTTAGTTATATATTTTAATACATATTAACTGTTATTAACAAGGTTAGTTATATATTTTAATACATATTAACTGTTATCAACAAGGTAGATTATATATTTTAATACATATTAACTGTTATTAACAAGGTTAGTTATATATTTTAATACATATTAACTGTTATCAACAAGGTTAGTTATATATTTTAATACATATTAACTGTTATCAACAAGGTTAGTTATATATTTAAATAAATATTAACTGTTATAAACAAAGAAAATTTTCAAAGGTTTTAATAGTTTATTTAACAGTTTGGTTTTACTTTGACTAACATAACATACTTCTACTAAGATAAAAAGAAAGAAGTATTGAAATCAAAGGAATAAACAATTTAATAATTAAGTACTAATCATTTATTGTTATAAGCTCAGACTGAAGTGAAGGAGGAATATTAAAGTTGCGTTAATAAGGACCAGCTCTTATTTTATCTTATTCAGGATATTCCTTCATTCAGCAGCTGCAACATTAGAGTGATGAACACACTGATGCATCAGTAATAATAATCCATTAATCATATATTATACTTTACTACATTAAGGATATTTTGATGCTAATACTTTTACTTGTAGTGGAGTATTTTCACAGTGTGATAGGAGGACTTATTTTAAACTGAAACATTAATGAACTGAATTTATCTCGATTACTAATTAGAGACTGTGGATCAGCTGTGTTTGTCCTAATGAGTATTCAGTATATTAGTAAAAGTACTAATACCACAGTCTGTTACCAGTCAGGATGTATTTGTCGAAATGTTTACAGCCTGGGACAGTTGTGGTCTCTGTAGCTAATTTCCCTGTTTATGACAACATTACGGGGATGATTTTTGTACAACTCACACCTTTAAATTATATTAATGGCTAAGAATATACAGTAAAGGTCCACTACTAACAATGTGCGTGTGGGAATCTATATAAATATTAATATATGTAAGTGAAACCGTAGTAGTAGTGCAAAGAGGGACTGTGAGAAGTGTTGACAGATGTTACAGAGACAAACAGTGCTACGTTACGTGGTTGCTGAGTTATTGCGTCTGACAGCTGCGGTATAATAATAATTATTATTAATAATAATAATAATAATAATAATAATAATTACAGAGGTGTTGTCCATCCTCCTCTGTGGGGTGCCTAAAGTAATATAAAGTATATAATATAATTATAACCTATAATTTATTTGTGGATTATAGGCACCGCTTCATGTACTGCAGGAAGTGACTCCCTCCACACGGTGGCAGTAATGAGACACTGACGAGGGCAGCTGCCGTTAAAGCTACCGCAGAAGAAGAAGCAGACAAACTGTCGGGCGGTAGAGAAGCAGCCATTGTTCAATATCTGCAGTATTAACGGTAAGAACAAACTTTATTTAACTTATTAAACTGTTCAGATTCACATCAGACACAGTCAGTATTCATGTGTTCATGTAAAAATGACTGTTAGCCGCGTCGGTTCCAAACCCCGTTTATAAATCTGCCATTTTAAATTCTGAGTTTGTTCTGTTGTAACACACAGAGTCTTCAGGAGAAGATACTCACATATGTAGAGTCTGTAGGAAGGAAACGTTAGTTCGGCACAAATACAGAACCACACTGATCAACTGTGTGCATGAAATACACGTTATTGTATGAAAATGTCTGTTATTCAACCAAACGACTTATAACAGAAACACACGTTCTCCTGTTAGTGGAGCGAACATGCAGAGACACTAATGTCAGTTCAGAGTAAAAGTACCAGCAGGAGGAGACACACACGTAATCTATCTATCTATCTATCTATCTATCTATCTATCTATCTATCTATCAAGCAAAAAATCTGTGTCTGTCTGTGTCTGTCTGTCTGTCTGTCTGTGTGTCTGTGTCTGTCTGTGTCTGTCTGTGTGTCTGTGTGTGTCTGTCTGTGTGTCTGTGTGTCTGTCTGTGTGTCTGTGTGTGTCTGTCTGTCTGTGTGTCTGTCTGTGTGTCTGTGTGTTGTCTGTCTGTCTGTGTGTCTGTCTGTCTGTCTGTCTGTCTGTGGCTCAAATATCTCTGCAGATCAGGATCAGACTGACCTGAGAGTTTCAACATGGCTTCTGTGTGGTTTAAGGGTGTGAAATGTCGGCTTTGTTTGGACTACAAAGATACCGTTGATAAATTATTTCATAAATTATTTCATAAATTATTTAGAATTCCGCTAGCATTACCAACGACAGCCACCAGAGCCAATCACTGCAGAGCCCTAATGTGTAGTGATTGAGATCCTGACCCACCAAACATCCTGGAAAGTGACAAAGTTACGTTTTTCACTCTAAATTACACAATTCTACATAATCACCAGCAGTAAACTGGACGCTGTCTGACTCCCTCACTCGCAAGACAGAGAATGTTCTCCAGTGGAAAGTAAACTGATGTCTCGGTCCGGAGGGCTGGCGGTGGCGGTGATTTTTGATCACAAACGCTCCGTGAGTTTTTCGCCGGTGACAGACACTGTTTTTTGGGCAGAAATGTGACGAAGAGTCGGTAGGACAGGCGGGAGGACAGACAGGAGGACAGACAGGAGGACAGACGTTTCTCCACGTACAGCTGTGGTATTTTTTTTCCTCATATAAGTTTCCAAAGACAGTTACAGTTACTACGTTACTGTTGTTTGGTCCTGTAACGTTGCTTTGTGGGACATTTCTCTGTATTAAGTTGAGTGAGAGACCTGTGCAGTTATCAGACTGTCTGACCGACACGCCCTCGCTCCGCGCCGTCGGCTTATCCGTTCACACTATTTTGGTAGTTTCAAAACAATTTTTTGATGTGGAAACCCTTACTGCCATTGCTCTGTTGTTGCTGTTGTCACTGCTCATTGTCTCCCATTGTTGCTGTTGTTGTGTTCATCATCATCAGTCACTACTATTAGTGTAGTTGTTGCTACTGTTGTTGCTGTGCGTCTGTCTGTCTGTCTCTCTCTCTCTCTCTCTCTCTCTCTCTCTCTCTCTCTCTCTGATGTATGCTAGCCTATATTACAGGGCTAAATAATATGTCCTGCCCAGTTCATTTACTAGGCTATGCTAGAAGTTAGTCTGTTTATGCTGCCAGGTTTCATCCCATTTCAGATGTATTTCACTTTGTTCTTTCAGAATTTATATGTGCTGACCATGAGGTGTGGTACTTTCACATTAGTGGAATGGGGTTCATCTCCCTACAGTGTCCTTGCTAAAAGCCAAATTACATGAAAACACAATAGTTATAAATCTACACATTTCACAACAAACCTAAATGTCCCTGACGTCCCACCTTCAAACACAACCTCATTTGGCCATCCATGAAAAAGCTACTTAACCTCCCACTTTTCTATAGCAATACATACTTCCTACGGGCACTGCACTAGTTAAACTAATGTAACAAACCTGTGTGTGTGTGTGTGTGTGTGTGTGTCTGTGTGTTACAGATGTGGGATTTGTCTCCGTTCTCAGTGTCTCCAGCTGTGAGTCTGCTGTCCAGATGTGTCTCAAGAGGAGTTCTGTCTCAGGTCTGTATCTCTATCAGGTCATTTTGTCTATTGATGATGATCATACTATATGTATACAGTTTTACATATTTATATATAACTATATATGGACTGCCCTTCAGGAAATTATTGAATGAATATATTGAATGAAACTTTGAATATATGGAATGAAATGTCATGTGATCGAGGCATTGCACAATCTTGTGTTATTGATATTGATATTATTCAGTGAGGATGTTACTGTGGGGCTGAAGCTGCACAGAATCGGAATCAGTCCTAACTGATGAACAGATCATTAACACCCTGGAGAATGTTACTGTCGCTCTACGTTCAGACACAATGAATCAATGGATCAATGTGGGTGATTCTTACAGTATCTGTATCTACTGTAATGACTCTATATCGTATAATAAACTTCTCCTTTAGTTCAGGAAGTCCCTGCAGCAGTCTTTACACCCAACTGTTTGCGGAGTTTACCTCCATTAAATAACCACACAGAGCCCTGCACACACTCCCCATTGTGCTGTTTATGAAGGAGACTCAAGCCTCATCCAACTTCCTGTTTTAGCAAACGTCTCATGTTTGATGTGTGAAACAGTGCAAACGTTGCTGTGTATATATAATATTCAGCTTCACCCTCCTGCAGGTTGCTGCTGAACAGACATGGACCACATATAATGATAATAATAATAATAATAATAATAATAATTATATAGAAAACCTTATACGTGACTTTAAGGGTGCAATGTATGTTTGACCCTTCGTACAACCTGAATATAAAACTACTAGAATTATATATATTACATATATAAAATAGCAATGAAAAAAAAAACATATCAAAAATGTGATGAGTCATGTGACCTTCCAGCTTAATTTAACTAAAGGTTCACAATCATTACTGCTGTTTAACAGATTATAATCAATACAGTGATATCAGAAAGAGATATATAGATTATAATCAATACAGTGATATCAGAAACAGATATACACGTTATAATCAATACAATAATATCAGAAACAGATGTACACATAATCAATACAGTAATATCAGAAACAGATGTACACATTATAATCAATACAGTAATATCAGAAACAGATGTACACATTATAATCAATACAGTAATATCAGAAACAGATGTACACATTATAATCAATACAGTCATATCAGAAACAGATGTACACATTATAATCAATACAGTGATATCAGAAACAGATATATAGGCTATAATCAATACAATGATATCAGAAACAGATGTATAGGTTATAATCAATACAGTAATATCAAAAACAGATACACATCATAATACAGTAATATCAAAAACAGATACACATCATAATACAGTAATATCAAAAACAGATACACATCATAATACAGTAATATCAGAAACGGATATATAGGTAATAATCAATACAGTAATATCAGAAACAGATATACACATCATAATACAGTAATATCAGAAACAGATATATAGGTAATAATCAATACAGTAATATCAGAAACGGATATATAGGTAATAATCAATACAGTAATATCAGAAACGGATATATAGGTTATAATCAATACAGTGATGTCAGAAACAGATATATAGGTTATAATCAATACAGTAATATCAGAAACAGATATATAGGTTATAATCAATACAGTGATATCAGAAACAGATATACACATCATAATCAATACAGTAATATCAGAAACAGATATACACATCATTATCAATACAGTGATATCAGAAACAGATATACACATCATTATCAATACAGTGATATCTGAAACAGATATATAGGTTATAATCAATACAGTGATATCAGAAACATATATTTATATATATATATATATATTTATATATATATATATATATATATATATATATAGGTTATAATCAATACAGTGATATCAGAAACAGATATATAGATTATAATCAATACAGTGATATCAGAAACAGATATACACGTCATAATCAATACAGTAATATCAGAAACAGATATACACGTCATAATCAATACAGTAATATCAGAAACAGATATATAGGTTATAATCAATACAGTAATATCAGAAACAGATATATAGGTTATAATCAATACAGTGATATCAGAAACAGATATACGGTATTATCAATACAGTGATATCAGAAAACAGATATACAGGTTATAATCAATACAGTGATATCAGAAACAGATATAGCAATAGCAAATGTATGTTCCATTTTGTTACCTTGTGTACAGGTCTATTGTATTGGTGTACAGGTGTATCGGTATACAGGTGTATTGTATCTGTGTACAGGTGTATCGATGTACAGGTATATCAGTGTACAGGTGTATTTCAATTCAATTCAATTCAATTTTATTTGTATAGCGCCAATTCATAACAGAAGTTATCTCAGGACACTTTTCAAATAGAGCAGGTCTAGACCGAACTCTTTAACATTAGTTACAGAGACCCAACAGTACCACCATGAGCAAGCACTTGGCGACAAGGGCAAGGAAAAACTGCCTGTTAAAAGGCAGAAACCTAGGACAGATCCTCCGGCTCTAGGTGGGTGGTCGTCTGTCTCGACCAGTTGAGAGAGAGAGAGAGGGGAGAGAGAGAGAGAGAGAGAGAGAGAGAGAGAGAGACACAGACAGACAGACAGACAGGTGCACAGCAACAACAGTATTGGCAATGACAGTCAAGCAGGACCATGGCAGGAGGCTCCACCAGGATCCATGAGAACCTGCGAGACGAGAAAGCACAAGAACTCCGGGGAAGAAGTGGAGTTAGTAACATGCATTAAAGGGACATGAATGAGTGCAGAAAGAGAGAGGAAGAGAGTAGCTCAGTGCACCATGGGAAATCCCCCGATAGTCTAGGCCTATAGCAGCATAACTAAGGGATGGTTCAGGACTCACCTGATCCAGCCCTAACTATAAGCTTTATCAAAGAGGAATGTCTTAAGCCTACTCTTGAATGTGGTGAGGGTGTCTGCCTCCCGAACCACAACTGGAAGCTGGTTCCACAGGAGAGGAGCTTGGTAACTGAAGGCTCTGGCTCCTGTTCTACTTTTAGAGACTATAGGAACCACAAGTAGCCCAGCATTCAGAGAACGTAGTGTTCTAGTGGGGTAATAGGGTACTATGAGCTCTTTAAGATATGAAGGGGCCTGACCATGAAGAGCTTTATAGGTGAGGAGGAGTATTTTAAATTCAATTCTACATTTTATAGGGAGCCAATGCAGAGTAGCTAGTACAGGAGAGATGTGATCTCTTTTTCTAGTTCCTGTCAGTACTCGTGCTGCAGCGTTCTGAATTAATTGGAGCGTTTTAATGGACTTATTGGGGCAACCTGATAATAAAGAGTTGCAGTAATCCAGCCTTGAAGTAACAAATGCATGGATTAGTTTTTCTGCATCTGTCTGTGATAGGATGTGTCTAATTTTTTCTAATATTACGTAAATGAAAGAAGGCAGTCCTAGAGGTCTGCTTTATGTGGGAGTTAAATGACAAATCCTGATCAAAGATAACTCCAAGATTCCTGACAGTGGTGCTAGAGGCTAAGTTAATGCCATCTAGAGTGACTATATCTTTAGACAATGAGTCTCTAAGGTTTTTGGGGCCAAGAACAAGAATTTTGTTTTTTTCTGAGTTTAACATCAGAAAATTGCAGGTCATCCAGGATTTTATGTCCTTAAGACATGTTTGTAATTTAGATAATTGATTAATTTCATTGGGTTTGATTGATAGATATAACTGCGTATCATCTGCATAACAGTGAAAGTTAATGGAGTGATTCCTAATAATGTTGCCTAAAGGGAGCATATATAAAGTAAATAGTATTGGTCCAAGTACAGAACCTTGTGGAACTCCATGACTAACTTTAGTATTTATGGAGGATTCATCGTTAACATGTACAAACTGAGAACGATCTGATAAGTATGACTTAAACCAGGTTAGGGCAGTTCCTTTAATGCCAATTTGATGCTCAAGTCTCTGTAAAAGAATATCATGGTCAATGGTGTCAAATGCAGCACTAAGATCTAATAATACAAGTACAGAGACAAGTCCATTGTCAGAAGCAGTCAGAAGGTCATTATTAACTTTAACCAGAGCTGTCTCTGTGCTATGATGAACTCTAAATCCTGACTGAAAATCCTCAAATAAACTATTGTTATGTAGAAAGTCACACAACTCTTTGGCGACTACTTTCTCCAGAATCTTAGAGAGGAAGGGGAGGTTAGAAATCGGTCTATAGTTGGCTAAAACCCCTGGGTCAAGAGTAGACTTTTTAAGAAGGGGTTTAATTACAGCTACTTTAAAGGACTGTGGTACATATCCTGATAATAAAGAAAGATTAATCATATCCAGTAAAGAAGTGCCAATTAAGGGAACAACTTCTTTAAGCAGCCTAGTTGGGATCGGGTCTAACAGACAGGTTGATGGCTTCGATGAAGAAATGATTGAAGTTAACTGATGAAGATCGATAGCAGAAAAACAGTCTAAATATACATCTAAGTTTACATTGACAGAAATCCCTGAACTTGGAGAGCCACTGATAACCGTTGATGGCAGTTGGTGATTAATTTTTTCTCTAATAGTAATAATTTTATTATAGAAGAAGCTCATGAAGTCATTGCTACTTAAGTTTATGGGGATATGTGGCTCGATAGAGCTGTGACTCTCTGTCAGCCTGGCTACAGTGCTGAAGAGGAACCTAGAGTTGTTCTTATTTTCTTCTATTAGTGCTGAGTAATAGGCTCCTCTGGCATTACGGAGGGCCTTTCTATAAATCTTAAGATCATCTTGCCAATTTGAGCGATATTCTGATAATTTGGAAGAGCGCCATTTCCTTTCAGATTTCCTAGCTATTTGCTTTAACTGGCGGGTTTGGTGGTTATACCAAGGTGCTAGTCTCCTATGTTTTAATAATTTCCTTTTTATAGGAGCGATAGAGTCTAATGTTGATCGTAGTGAGCCTGTAGCACTATCGACAAGATTATCAATTTCAGAGGGACTAAAGTTGTTATAGGACTCTGTTAAATTCAGACATGGCATTGAATTAAACACTGAAGGAATCTCCTCCTTAAATTTAGCTACAGCACTGTCAGATAGACATCTGCTGTAGGAAGTTTTGCCTAATGGCTTATAATCTAATAGTATGAATTCAAAAGTTACTAAATAATGGTCAGATAGGAAAGGATTATGTGGGAAGACTATTAAATGTTCAATATCAATGCCATATGATAAAACAAGGTCAAGAGTGTGATTAAAACAATGAGTTGGTTTATTTACACTCTGACAGAAGCCAATTGAGTCTATTAATGATATAAATGCATTACTAAGGCTGTCATTGTCAACATCCACATGAATATTAAAATCACCTACAATAATTACTTTATCTGATTTAAGGACTAAGCTTGATAGAAACTCTGAAAATTCAGATATAAAATCAGAGTACGGTCCAGGAGCGCGGTACACTATAACAAATAGAACTGGCTGCAGTGTTTTCCAGTTTGGGTGAGAAAGACTAAGAACAAGGCTTTCAAATGAATTATAATTTAGTTTAGGTTTAGGGTCCATTAAAACGCTCGAATCATATATAGCTGCTACTCCACCTCCTCGGCCTGTGCCTCGAGGAATGTGAGTATTAATATGACTGGGGGGGTGGATTCATTTAGGCAAACATACTCCTCGTGGGACAACCAGGTCTCAGTAAGACAAAGTAAATCAATATCATAATCTGATATTAATTCATTCACTAAAACAGCTTTAGAGGACAGAGACCTGATATTTAACAGCCCACATTTCATTCTCTTATTTTGTGCTACTGAGGAGTTGGTTTTAATTTTTATTAGATTTTTATGTTGAACTCCTCTTGTTTTTATTTCTTTAAATAGTTTAGGTGGTCGGGGGACAGACACAGTCTCTATGGGGTTTTGGGTGGGTGACTGTTCTAAAGAAAGCGCAGAGGAGTGTGTAAGACAGCAGCTCTGCTTCCTGGTCCTAACTCTGGACTGTCAGGTTTTAGAAATAAACTTCGCCATATTTCTAGATAAGAGAGCCGCTCCATCCAAAGTGGGATGGATGCCGTCTCTCCTAATCAGACCAGGTTTTCCCCAAAAGGCTTCCAGTTATCAATGAAGCCCACATCGTTTGCTGGACACCACCTCGACAGCCAGCGGTGGAATGACGACATGCGGCTATACATGTCATCACTGGTCACATTGGGGAGGGGTCCAGAGAAAACTACGGTGTCCGACATTGTCTTAGCATAGTTACACACCGACTCCACATTAATCTTAGTGACCTCCGATTGGCGTAAACGGGTGTCGTTACCGCCGACGTGGATAACAATCTTACTGTATTTACGTTTATCTTTAGCCAGCAGTTTTAAATTTGATTCAATGTCGCCCGCTCTGGCCCCAGGGATGCATTTGACTATGGCCGCTGGCTTCGCTAACTTCACGTTTCTGACTATGGAGCTGCCAATAACCAGAGTTGGTTCCTCAGCGGGTGTATCGCTGAGTGGGGAAAATGTATTAGAAACGTGAAGCGGTTGGTGGTGACCTGTGGGCTTCGCCGTTCTAGTCTTCCTTCGCTCAGTCACCCAGCCTCCCTGTCTTCCCGGCTGCTCGGGAACTACTGGGGGATCTACAGAGCTAACAGAAGCTACCTTCAGTCGGACCGCACCGGCTACCGGGGGCTGGCTAACTATAGCGGCTAAAGATATCTCCGTGGTGCGGTGCCGTTCCTCTAACTCACTAAGCCTCGCCTCCAGCGCAGTAAATAAACTACATTTAATACAGGTACCATTATCTTTAAAGGAGGCAGAGGAATAACTGAACATCTGACACACTGAGCAGGACAGAGGAGAGGGAGAGGGAGAAGCCATAGCTAACTGCTAATGCTAATGAAACTAGAGTGTATGAAAAACTTTGAAAGTAGTGAAAAGTCCCTAAAAGAGGGAGAAACTCCGAGTGTTTAAGTAGAACTAGTCTACGTTTAAATGTTAAGCGGGTAAATAACCGCTGTAACGAGTAAAACTAATTTATATTTAGCGTTCACTGACAGAGCTACAGCACCAAACAGTGTACACAGAGCAGGAAGTAAACCGGAAGTGAGTCAGTACGCTTACCGTAGCACGTCCAACCAGATGAAAGCAAAGAATGTTCAGCCAGCTGAAGATGGTATTGTATCTGTGTACAGGTGTACAGATGTATAGGTGTATTGTATCTGTGTACAGGTGTACAGATGTATAGGTGTATTGTATCTGTGTACAGGTGTACAGATGTATAGGTGTATTGTATCTGTGTACAGGTGTATTGTATCTGTGTACAGGTATATCTGTGTTCAGGTGTTTTGTATCTGTGTACAGGTGTACGGCTGCATCCCAATGGGTTACCACCTGAAAGCTGTATGTTCTCCAGACCCAATGTTCTGTCTCTACCTGTCTGCAGGAGCAAATAGACTCCGCCTCCTCCAGGCTTAGCCCTGCGTTCTCCTCTGACCTGAAGGAGGCTGAACAGCGAATCACAGCGCAGAGACAGCTGGACAAGGTAATCCTCAGTGTGATGTCACATCAATATTAGTTTTTGTTTATATAAAGTTTTTACTGGATTTCAGATTATAATATATAAATTAGTATTTATTCATTGATTTATTTAATATTCTGCAATATTAAAACAATGTAAAAAAAAAATAATAATTTACTGGAGTTTACAAATGTTTTTCTTCTTTCTGCTCTTTGCTTTATTCAGAGAAAACTTTCTGTTGATGAACTGGATGTGAAAAGTTTAAAGATTATTTGTTGTAATATTTCTTTAGTAATATTTCCTTTGTGTTAACCTGCAGTGTTTTCTTATATAACTCGTGTATATAAATGTTGCAGCTGCAGCTCCAGTTGGATCTGCTGAAGATTGAGAAGGAAAGCGCCGACGTTACTCACAGTTTCTACCTCGGTGAGAGTCTTTTTCTTCTGCTAACCGATGTTCTGTCACAGCGTGGCGTCGTTTACTTGCCGTACTGTCACAGCGTGGCGTCGTTTACTTGCCGTACTGTCACAACGTGGAGTCGTTTACTTCCTGTAACCGTAACATTAGCTCAGGGTTAACTGATGTTTGCTGTACGTCACTGCTGCTCGGTGTGAAATGGGAGGAGGAAACTGTGAGGTTATTAATCTCTTCCTCTCCTGCAGCCCAGAGGTTCCACATGGTCCAGATGTTCTGTGGTCACCTGCAAGACCTCCTGAAGGATCAGAACAGTCTAAGGCAGAGACTGATGAGACCTCTGGGTCACACCAACCTGCCTGTTCAGGCTCACCTGCACAAGTAAGCACCTGTCTGACAGCACTCTGTACTGCTGCTTCTGATGCTGTGATCGATCACAGAACTGATAACTGATCATAGTCACATCATTCACAGCTCACTAGGTGGTTCATTAATTACTGAGTAAACTATAGATAGATATCAATAACAGCAGAGAACAGCTGATAAACTGAACAATGAAGCCAAACAGTGAACTCAACTACTGCAGGAAGTTTGAGGAAAATTGGAGATTTCATTATTTCCTGTGATTATTGATCAGAAATTAGCTTTACTGATATTTTGATATAATTCTCTGTCGGTCAATACACAGTGTTCAATAATAATATTTATAATTAAAAACAACAGTTTCAGTTTGTTTGGCTGCTTTTATGTTTTGTTTTTTTTTTTGTTTTTTTTATGTAAAGTGTCTGAGTATTTAGAAAAGCGCTTATAAATAAAATGTATTATTATTATTATTATTATTTTATTCACACCAATGATATATAAATATATTTATCAATCATTGAGTGATGGGTTTGGGTTATCATGCTATATCATGATATACTATTTGTTGACCCTAAATGACCCAACAGATACTGGAAATGCTATTTTAAACCTAAACACACAAACAAAAACCTTGATGGATATTTATTTATAACAAAAATGGATTAAAGTCAGTCGAAACATTCCTGATAATGTGATGAATGTTATCAGTTTCTACTGATTAACTGACCAGGGCTCCTCTCGTGGGGGTGGTATATCAGGGCTCCTGTCAGTGCAGACAGTGAACAGAGCGTAACGTAAATATAGTAAGATTGTTATCCACGTTGGCGGTAATGACACCAGATTACGCCAATCGGAGGTCACTAAAATTAATGTGGAGTCGGTGTGTAATTATGCTAAAACTATGTCGGACTCCGTAGTTTTCTCTGGACCCCTGCCCAATGTGACCAGTGATGACATGTATGGCCGTATGTCGGACTTCCACTGCTGGCTGTCGAGGCGGTGTCCAGCAAATGATGTGGGCTTCATTGATAACTGGAAGCCTTTTTGGGGAAAACCTGGTCTGATTAGGAGAGACGGCATCCATCCCACTTTGGATGGAGCGGCTCTCTTATCTAGGAATATGGCGAAGTTTATTTCTAACGTGAAAGTATAAAACGTGATACTTCCTGTTGCCACTAGGTGGCACTCTGACTATTACCGAATATTATCACATAGACATGTTCAGGGCGGGACTCTTATCGAACATGTGAAGTTTCGTTGCAGTCGGATCATGTACGCAGAAGTTATGACGAATCCCTCTTTCATGGCGAAGGTTTGAAATTGGATGCCACGGGACGCCACACCATGGGCACAATGTTGGACGAAAAAAACTGACTGCACTGACCAATTTTGAAGTAGATCCAATAAAACCTGTAGGAGGAGTTAGTTAAAATAGAAGCCCTGAAATGCCAAAAATGCCATCACAGTGTGACATTCGTTCAAAATGGCCAACTTTGACGGCACGCCACAGACACGCCCTTCAACGTACAGTCACAAATAGCACAACTTGTAATCAGCAATATTATTCAAGAGTACTGTCCAGTTTTGAAGCAGATCTGATAAATTCCCTAGGGGTTTGTTTGTTCAAATACAAGACCACAGACTTCAAAATGGCCAACTTTGACGGCACGCCACGGACACGCCCTTCCATGTACAGTCAGAAAATGAACAGCGTTCATTCAGCAACATTTTTTGACTGGACTGACCAATTCTGAAGCAGATCCGATAAATTCCCTTGGAGGAGTTTGTTCAAATACAAGGCGAAAATTCACCAAAAATGACCACGGACTTAAAAATGGCCAACTTTGACGGCACGGCACGGACACACACTTCAACGTAGAGTCACAAATTGAGCAGCGTTCATTCAGTACCATTTTATGACTGTACTGACCAATTTTGAGGCAGATCCCAGAAATTCCCTAGGAGGAGTTCGTTCAAATACAAGCCCAAAAAGTCAAAATGACCACAAAATGATGAAAATTAAAAACGAAATTGCAGACGTCCTGCAGGTTTTGGGGCATGGGTACAAGAGGCTTTTCTGCTTCTTTTATCATGATACACATGCGTAGCAATTTTCGTACATGTGGGCCTTACATGTCTTGGGGGCTGATTCTGGGGGGCGTGGCTTAGACGTTTGGCGGCGCCCGTGCACGGGGACAATGTCATATCGGTAGTTTTGCTACGTTTAAATTTTGTGCAAATTTTCATGACTTTCTGAGCATGTTGCGGGGGCCAAATATGCGGTCGTACTGGCAGAAAAATAATAATAATTCCTAGAAGAACAAAAGGGTCCTTGCACTTGTTAGTGCTTGGTCCCTAATAATAATAATAATAATAATAATAATAATAATACATTTTATTTAAAAAGGGCTTTTCTGAAAGGCTTGTTTCATTAACGTAATATTAAAAAAATTAGACACATCCTATCACAGACGGATGCAGAAAAACTAATCCATGCATTTCTTACTTCAAGGCTGGATTACTGCAACTCCTTATTATCAGGTTGCCCCAATAAGTCCATTAAAACGCTCCAATTAATTCAGAACGCTGCAGCACGAGTACTGACAGGAACTAGAAAAAGAGATCACATCTCTCCTGTACTAGCTTCTCTGCACTGGCTGCCTGTAAAATGTCGAACAGAATTTAAAATCCTCCTCCTCACCTATAAAGCTCTTCATGGTCAGGCCCCTTCATATCTTAAAGAGCTCATAGTACCCTATTACCCCACTAGAACACTACGTTCTCTGAATGCTGGGCTACGTGTGGTTCCTATAGTCAGAGCCTTCAGTTACCAAGCTCCTCTCCTGTGGAACCAGCTTCCAGTTGTGGTTCGGGAGGCAGACACCCTCACCACATTCAAGAGTAGGCTTTACGTTCCTCTTGATAAAGCTTATAGTTGGGGCTGGATCAGGTGAGTCCTGAACCATCCCTTAGTTATGCTGCTATAGGCCTAGACTATCGGGGGATTTCCCATGATGCACTGAGCTCCTCTCTTCCTCTCTCTCTCTTTCTGCACTCATTCATGTCCCATTAATGCATGTTACTAACTCCACTTCTTCCCCGGAGTTCTTGTGCTTTCTTGTCTCGCAGGTTCTCATGGATCCTGGTGGAGCCTCCTGCCATGGTCCTGCTTGACTACACTTGCCAATATCACTGATATTAGTGTTATTATTATTATTATAAAGTATTATTATAGCTACGGTTACTGTTGTTGCTGTTGTCACTGCTCATTGTCCCCCATCTTTGCTGTTGTCATGTTCATCATCATCAGTCACTACTATTAGTGTAGTTGTTGCTACTGTTGTTGCTGTGCACGTGTGTGTGTGTCTCTCTCTCTCTCTCTCTCTCTCTCTCTCTCTCTCTCTCTCTCTCTCACCCCAACTGGTCGAGACAGACAACCACCTACCTAGAGCCGAAGGATCTGTCCTAGGTTTCTGTTGCCCTAGGTTTTCCTTGCCCTTGTCGCCAAGGTCTTGCTCATGGTGGTACTGTTGGGTCTCTGTAAATAATGTTATAAGGAGTTCGGTCTACACCTGCTCTATTTGGAATGGAATTGAATTGAATTGAACAGAGCCAGGGTCATGGGGGGGCCGAGGCTCACTGATGCAGGTGGGGAGTGAAGGCTCGGGGTAGGGTTGACCCAGACAGGGTCCACATCCAGAGAAGACTAGCATTGTGTTGTTGTGTTGCAGGTTTGTGGTGGATGCTGTGAAGATGCTGCTGGACTTTATCGAGACTCTGGAGGAGAACCTGATCTCAGTCCGCTCCAGTCCGGCTGCCAGAGACCGTCTCGCTCAGCTGGTGAGCCAAATAATCCAATTAAATTCTTCCAACAAAATAATCTCCAAGTATGTGGGAAAGTAACTTTTATTCAGCCGTTATTAACTCCAGAACAGAAAGAGAAACTGACACTTTCTCGCCATCATTTAAGAATGAAATGGACGGGGCACCCGGTTAGCTCAGTCGGTAGAGCTGGTGAACCATGTTGGTAGTTGCTGCAGCAGCCTGGGTTCGGATCCGACCCGTGGCCCTATGCTCCGTGTCATCCCCTCTCTCTCTGGCCCCCTTTCCTGTCTATCTTCGGCTGTCACTATCAATAAAGGCAATAAAGGCCAAAAAAATAATGAAATGGACAATTTTACCGATTTCACACATGGCGACTGTGACGATACAATGAGTAAATAATAATTAGTTCTGACTTTGATCTGTTCATGTCATCCATTCTGATTGTTTCTTTTAGCCAAAAATATATTTTATTCCTTTAATTCCTTGAAAATATATATTGTTTCTGGACAGGCATGTAAACTCATCTCTCTCTCTCTCTCTGTATCAGAACGCCTCTCTTGCCCAGTTACTGGCTCACGTAGCGGAGGTCGAGTGTTTGTCCAATCAGGTTCTCCGGTGTAAGGAAGTCTGCAGCTGCAGTACGCAGAGTGACAGCTCTGCATGCTGACCCCTGACCTTCCTCCTCCTCCTGTTCCTCCTGCTGGATGGACAAGACGTTGTCTTGTTGTACTCGGTGTTAACTTTCTTTATTGTGTTTGTTGCAGTTATTGTGTCAAATATTGATTACTTAATTTTTCTTGGAATAAAATCAGATTTTGTAAGAAACCATGAATCCTGTTTGATCTCTGCCGTCGGCCATTTTATGACTTCCAGCTGTGTGTAGCTGAGGAGAACACCTGCACCACTCCCCTGGCAGATATCTGAAATATATTTACATCTACAGTTGTACACATCTCATGTACATCACCTCCATTGTTCTCCTGACCTCGGTCTCATCTGGAGAAGCACTAGAAATTCAGTTATGGAAATAAAATGAGGATATGTGCATTATTTTTTAGATTTTAATGACAAGTGCTGCTACTGCCGAACTCAACAGTCTTATCCAACACATTATATTGAACCCTTCATCCTGTTACAGTTTGTATAATCACTCATAGCCTTTATTCCACTCTATACTCACATTTTCAAAACTTTACAGTTAACATCCATCTGTTACCATATGAACACAATTTATGTTGTTTTCACACAATATGCAATCAATGAACATTTTTCTAAAATGTTCAAATTTTTATTACATACAAGATGACCCTAAACCAAAATGATGGATCTTCCTGTCATTGCTTCACACACAGCAAATAAAACCTAATGTTCAAAATCTTAAATATAGAAAAAAGCCTCAACAGCTCAAAAGCTTTATCAAAAGAGTTGATGAGCATTTATGAAAGAACATCATTGAAACATTGAGACACAGCTGATTGAAGTTGTGTGAAATAGACCAACCACAGCTGAACAGTGAAAACGTATATAGAACAACACAGAGAGGTGGAGAGAGGAAGAGGAGTAGTTGGACCAGATTGGGTAGGGGATGAGTCACAATGACTACATTCACGTGCACATTTAAATCAATTCAATTCAATTTTATATGTATAGCGCCAATTCATAACAAAAGTTATCTCAGGACACTTTTCAAATAGACCAGGTCTAGACCAAACTCCTTATAATTCAATTCAATTCAATTCAATTCAATTTTATTTGTATAGCGCCAATTCATAACAGAAGTTATCTCAGGACACTTTGCAAATAGAGCAGGTCTAGACCGAACTCTTTAACATTATTTACAGAGACCCAACAGTACCACCATGAGCAAGCACTTGGCGACAAGGGCAAGGAAAAACTGCCTGTTAAAAGGCAGAAACCTAGGACAGATCCTCCGGCTCTAGGTGGGTGGTCGTCTGTCTCGACCAGTTGGGGTGAGAGAGAGAGAGAGAGAGAGAGAGACAGACAGACAGACAGACAGACAGACAGACAGACAGACAGGTGCACAGCAACAACAGTATTGGCAATGGCAGTCAAGCAGGACCATGGCAGGAGGCTCCACCAGGATCCATGAGAACCTGCGAGACGAGAAAGCACAAGAACTCCGGGGAAGAAGTGGAGTTAGTAACATGCATTAAAGGGACATGAGTGAGTGCAGAAAGAGAGAGGAAGAGAGTAGCTCAGTGCACCATGGGAATCCCCCGATAGTCTAGGCCTATAGCAGCATAACTAAGGGATGGTTCAGGACTCACCTGATCCAGCCCTAACTATAAGCTTTATCAAAGAGGAATGTCTTATGCCTACTCTTGAATGTGGTGAGGGTGTCTGCCTCCCGAACCACAACTGGAAGCTGGTTCCACAGGAGAGGAGCTTGGTAACTGAAGGCTCTGGCTCCTGTTCTACTTTTAGAGACTATAGGAACCACAAGTAGCCCAGCATTCAGAGAACGTAGTGTTCTAGTGGGGTAATAGGGTACTATGAGCTCTTTAAGATATGAAGGGGCCTGACCATGAAGAGCTTTATAGGTTAGGAGGAGGATTTTAAATTCAATTCTACATTTTATAGGGAGCCAATGCAGAGTAGCTTATAACATTTACTCTGATTACTGTTAATGAAGTGCTGTATATTGTCCTGCTCAAACTGCAGTCATGTTGCTCTCGTGGTTCAAGTGGAACAGCTGAAGCTGCAGGAGACATTTCTTCTCTTTGTATTTTTTTTTCAGCCTTCTTCTTTCACTCATCAACTACCTTCTTGAAAATGTTGGCGTTGTTATATTTGCACATATCCAGAAACCTGTTGTTATCCAAATCTTTCTTAATGTTTACCAGTAGGGATGTCTCAATCTAAGCTCAATGATCGGTATCAGTGCTGATCAAGATATTTTTTAACTGTTCATAACCGATCAGTTCTTTCACTATATATTTCTACTATTCATTGTATAAAGATAACATTTACTTACTCATTTACTTTTAGATAGCATGTTTCCAAAAAGCCACACATTATACCCTCAACCAAAGCATGTATAGTGGTTTACAGTAAAGGAAACAATGATTTCATATTTTCTGTTGTATGCAGGTAGAACTGGCCCTTCCTCAACCTAAAGAAAGTGTTTCTCTGCATGGTGGTGGAAGGTGTGTGACTGAAACCACTATAATACCAGGGAAAAGGGAGTTTTATCAAGGCTGGATCAGCACACTAGAGGGTTTCTCCTCTGTTGTCTGTGATGTAGATGACCCAACCCAGGGTTGACATTTACCATTGCACATTGTCATTTTACTGTAATTCTTTGTTTCTGTGAGTTTACAGTAATAGGTCTTGAATACTGTACTGTAACTCTACCTCTTGTTTTTTGTTGTTGTTGTAAAATGGTAAAAAATAAGCTGTAACTGTACTGGAACAATCTTTCACAGCCTGTATGAGAACATTTAAAAGGTATATAAAGTACTGAAGAAAGCAGTGTTTTTTTAAAATATGTTTTATATAAAGTAATTTTGCTTTAAATATGCCTTTTTGAAAAATACATCTTATACAATGCTAATTAACAGAAGGAGGTTAGGGAGAGATGAGGAGACAGCTGGACCCAATGAGATACTCCTATCTCCTAGATACATTGTTCTCCTGAACACTATCTAATCTATGGAAGACTAAAGATCTAGATGGTATTACCTTGGCCTCTAGCACCACTGTCAGGAATCTTGGAGTTATCTTTGATCAGGATTTGTCATTTCATTCCCACATAAAGCAAACCTCCAAGACTGCCTTCTTTCATTTACGTAATATTACAAAAATTAGACACAGCCTATCATAGACAGATGCAGAAAAACTAATCCATGCATTTGTTACTTCTAGGCTGGATTACTGCAAGTCTTTATTATCAGGCTGCCCCAATAAATCCATTAAAACGCTCCAATTAATTCAAAACGCTGCAGCACGAGTACTGACAGGAACTAGAAAAAGAGATCACATCTCTCCTGTTCTAGCTTCTCTACATTGGCTCCCTGTAAAATTTAGAATAGAATTTAAAATCCTCCTCCTCACCTACAAAGCTCTTCATGGTCAGGCCCCTTCATATCTTAAAGAGCTCATAGTACCCTATTACCCCACTAGAACACCATGTTCTCTGAATGCGGGGCTACTTGTGGTTCCTATAGTCTCTAAAAGCAGAACAGGAGCCAGAGCCTTCAGTTACCAAGCTCCTCTCCTGTGGAACCAGCTTCCAGTTGTGGTTCGGGAGGCAGACACCCTCACCACATTCAAGAGTAGGCTTAAGACATTCCTCTTTGATAAAGCTTATAGTTAGGGCTGGATCAGGTGAGTCCTGAACCATCCCTTAGTTATGCTCCTATAGGCCTAGACTATCGGGGGAATTCCCATGGTGCACTGAGCTCCTCTCTCTTTCTGCTCTCATTCATGTCCCATTGGTGCATGTTACCAACTTCACTTCTTCCCCGGAGTTCTTGTGCTTTCTTGTCTCGCAGGTTCTCATGGATCCTGGTGGAGCCTCCTGCCATGGTCCTGCTTAACTGCCATTGCCAATATCACTGATATTAGTGTTATTATTATTATAAGTATTATTATAGCTACTGTTACTGTTGTTGCTGTTGTCACTACTCATCAGTTTTTCCTTGCCCTTGTCGCCAAGTGTTTGATCATGGTGGTACTGTTGGGTCTCTGTAAATGTTATAAGGAGTTTGGTCTAGACCTGCTCTATTTGAAAAGTGTCCTGAGATAACTTCTGTTATGAATTGGCGCTATACAAATAAAATTGAATTGAATTAAAATTCAGTTTTGCAAATGAAACTGTGATATGCTGGGAAATTTGAATTGTGTTTTATGTTTTTATGACTAGTGCTTTTATAACTGAGCTCAGCTGTTTTGCCTTTATTCCCATCTCTTCACATTTCCAACCTTTTTAATCATCAATCACCTTCTTGAAAAGGTCAGCATAGTGATAATTGCTCATATCCGGAAACCTGTTGATATCCGAGTGTTTCGTTTTTGTCTTCAGTGTGTGAATGTGCATGAATGAGTTAGTTTCTGTTCAATGGGCTTTACCATCACTGAGTTAATGTGTGAAAGGGGGAATGTGACTGTAGTGTAAAAGCACTTTGAGTGGTCAAAAGGCTAGAAATGAATTATACAAGTACAGTCCATTTACCATTTTACAGTTAGTGCACGTACCAGTCTTAGAGTTGTTGTTTAATGAACAGAAAGTGGTTTTGTGTAATGTAGGTGTGTTGCTGTGTTAGAAAAAGAATCTTAAGTAATAGCTTGTTAGCATTTGTAAAAAAATAAATAACTTTAATTTTCTTATGTAGTATGAATATATTCTGATTCCATCCACACACTGATACATATTCAATATAATATATATTAGTAGCAGCCATGAGGCCAATCCACACACAGGTTATCTTATATGGGTGTGGGCTTTACTCAGGAAAGACAGCCCAATCATATTTCAGTAATGTTGTTAACGTACCACTGCATCAGTGGATGTGTCCTCGATGGTATATAAAAGCAGGTACAGCTCTTAACTCTGAGACACACAGACCATCAGACCAGATACTCACCTGCTGAGTCCACACACCTTTCTGATCTACACTCTACCCAGCAAACAGGTGAGTTTTATTTAATTAAATTTTTTTAAGTTATTCAAGGCAAATACAAATTACTGTAACTTCAAAATTTTAACACCTTGTGATAATAATATCAATAATGATCCTGATATTTACAAATTGGTAAAACAGCAGTTTGTATGACAAGGCTGAGGAATGAAATAGCTTACTATA